GGCAAAATGCAATTTATTCCTGTCATGTCTTCTGTTTTCAACCACAGATCTGAAGTAAGTCAACATCATTAATTAACTATAGTAAAAACCATAAAGATTCTAATCTAATAATGTTACTACTACAATTTCAGTGGTCATGGGAAACTATTGTCATGGGGGTTGGCTTCTTGAGCATTCTCTTAACCACAAGACACATTGTAAGTGTACTTACAAAAACTTCCAAGCATTTGCAAAGAGCGATTAACCGCAATCGAGTATATAATATTTCGTGTTGTTTTTTCGAATATATAGAGCATGAGGAAGCCAAAACTTTTCTGGATATCAGCTGCATCACCTTTGGCATCAGTTATTATCTCAACTCTGCTTGTATACCTCATTAGATCCAAGACTCATGCAATCTCTTTCGTAAGTACATTTTTTAACAGGACTAACTTTGTTATTGTGATAACTGAATTGAGAAAACTCAAACTCATAGAGATTCAATATTTAATGCAGATTGGACATCTACCAAAGGGTTTGAATCCACCTTCATTAAACATGTTGTACTTCAGTGGTGCTCATCTTGCTCTTGCCATCAAAACCGGTATCATCACCGGGATTCTTTCTCTTACAGTAAGCTCTCCAAAATCTCTAGCTCCTTGGTAAATTTCAGAGTTAATAAGTGACTAAGTTTTGGAAGTTTTGGACTTGACTTTGATTTTTCAGGAAGGGATTGCTGTAGGGAGAACTTTTGCATCTCTAAAGAACTATCAAGTTAATGGAAACAAAGAAATGATGGCTATAGGTTTTATGAACATGGCTGGTTCTTGCACCTCTTGCTATGTTACAACAGGTTCAAACCAACTTGAAACCAATCTCTTTCACATTGTGGCTCAGGGAACAATGTTTTGACTCTGATTTATTGTTTTCTTCAGGGTCTTTCTCTCGATCTGCGGTAAACTACAATGCAGGAGCGAAAACGGCGGTTTCTAACATTGTGATGGCCTCTGCAGTTCTTGTGACCCTTTTGTTTTTGATGCCACTTTTCTATTACACTCCTAATGTGATCCTAGCTGCTATCATATTAACCGCGGTGATTGGCCTCATTGATTATCAAGCCGCTTACAAGCTCTGGAAAGTTGACAAATTCGACTTCTTCACTTGCTTGTGTTCCTTCTTTGGCGTTCTCTTCGTTTCTGTACCTCTTGGCCTAGCAATAGCAGTAAGTTTACAACTATTACTCAAGGTTCTGGTTTCCAAACTTTCAGGGTGTTCTCTAAGTTTGATATCTTTTTGTTGCAGGTGGGAGTTTCGGTTATCAAGATCCTGTTGCATGTAACTCGGCCAAACACTTCAGAATTTGGGAATATCCCAGGGACTCAGATATATCAGAGTCTTGGAAGATACAGAGAAGCCTCAAGAATCCCTGGCTTCCTAATCCTTGCTATTGAATCTCCTATATACTTCGCTAATAGCACTTACCTTCAAGATAGGTCAGTGTTCTTACTTTACTTATCTCTTCTTGCTATGGTTTCTCTCTATTTTTAATATATTTTTACTTATGGAAATGAGTTTGTGATTCTGTAGGATCTTGAGATGGACAAGGGAAGAGGAAACTCGGATAAAGGAGATCAATGGTACTACCTTGAAATGCATAATTCTTGACATGACAGGTAACTTTTGTTCTTTGAGCTATGTTCAAGAGTTTTCAACCCGTCTCTCTGCTCATACTTTTTCTTTCTGTGGAATTATTTCAGCTGTGTCGGCGATAGACACAAGCGGCCTTGAAGCGGTGTTTGAACTTAGGAGGAGGCTCGAGAAGCAATCACTTCAGGTTAGAATTTTTACTGAAAACAAAGATCAATATATACCTATCAAAAGAAAACACACATTAACTTTTGTCAAACTCTTGTTTAAATAGCTTGTGCTGGTGAATCCTGTGGGGACTGTGATGGAAAAGCTACACAAGTCCAAGATCATTGAGTCATTGGGTCTGAGTGGACTTTATCTAACAGTTGGTGAAGCGGTGGCTGATCTCTCATCAACATGGAAAGCTCATGGCCAGCCATGAAACAAAGCAAAACTTTGAACTTCTAATGGAGAGACTGTTTCTGAAGATGGAACAGCCTCTTGTGAAACATTTTTGGTGCTAGCTGTAAACTCCTTGAGGGAGTTTCTGTTTTAATTGTAGAATAAAATGTAATTTCATCTTTTAACAAATCGGTATAATACATAATTTGGATATAAATAGCCTATGCAAAGCATTCATCTTCTCAATAGGAATTTTCTATCATCACTGTTGGGATGATCTCAGTGATGAAACTCTAGAACCATTTGCCTCTTGTCAAAATTTACACAAAGGTTTAATATTGGCTACAAATAAGAGATTAGATTTGTATGATAAGTGAAGCAAGCGCTGGTCATTCAACTGGTTCTTCAGCTGTATGCTATGGTTATCGGTAGCTTAAGTCAAAAAAGGATCGCATGTTCGTTTGATCATCTTGCATTTCCATCCAGATGGTCCATCTAAATGTTCTATCTAAATATTCCATCCAAATGTTTCATCTTAATGTTGTTCGTTTTAATTTTTAGATGTTCATTTAGATAGAGCATCTAAATGAACTTTTCTTTATTTGCTTAATTTTTATAAATTTCATCTAGATGACTTTAATAAGAAAGGGATGACTAAAATACTCATACTTTTAATCTAATTATATTTTAATCTCAATCTTAGCTATATTAATTTAATTATTGCTCTAAAATATATTTACAAAGAAATAATTTTCAAACTATTATTTTAACATAGAAAAAATAATTATACGGTTTTGGCAGGAAAAACCATGATTTGCGGGTTTGGCGAAAACATGATTTGCCGGAAAATATGATTTTGCGGTTTTGGCGGAAAAATATGATTTGGAGAGAAAATATGATTTTAAAGGGAAAATTAAGTTTTGTGGTTTTAAAGTATCAAACACATGAAAACATATTCATTCCTCAATTAAAGAATTCAAATCGAGAAGGTCTAAGAGAGTCTTACAACCTCAATTTCTCTTTATCTCATTGTCTCCTGGAATTTAAAAGAACAATTGATCACATCAATGAATAAAAAAGATAACTAGAAGAAAATTTGAGGCATTCTGAGCAACAGACATCAATAAAAAAGAGAGTAACCAACAAACTCACTTTCATCAGCCAAAGCCGGTGATCGAAGCTGCAAAAAGAGAAGAATAATCCATATTCAAATTTGACTTGAGAATTGAGAATTTGATAGATGCAATCGATTTCAATTAACCATAAAAAGTACACACAATGCAAAAATTAAACTAAAGATTACATCAGAAATTGTTCAAACCAACATCAAATCAAATCAACATGTTAACAAAGGCATCTCCTTCAATTGATCCCAAGATACACTCCAGCAGAAGCTTCAATTGATCCCAAGATACACTCCAGCAGAAATTGTTCAAACCAACATCAAATCAAATCAACATGTTAACAAAGGCATCTTCAAAATTGTAGCATTGGATTTGAAGATGTTCATTCCATACACAAATCCATTGAAGGCCAGAGCTCTTGCAAGATACACTCCAGCAGAAGCTTGCTCTTCAGACACACTGATTTGTCTCTCAGCATTCATCTCTGTAATCTTCTTGACTTCAGCCAAATTCTTCTCCAATCCGTCATCAATATGCTTCTTCAACTCCGTAAATTTCTTGTCACAAGAACGCCGCATGCCGCAAATCTAAGAATTTGATGATGCAAGTTTGACTTCAATTAACCATAAACAAAAGTACACACGATTATTCAATTCAAAAGATTAAACAAAATTAAGATTACACAAGAGATTATTCAAAACCATCAAAGCCAACATCAAAGCAACATCTTCTTCTCTTTAGTATAAGAGATTAAAAAAGCCATCCCCTTCAAGCGATCCCTCCTTCTTGGGCAATAGCCGGTCTATGGCATAAGCGATCGCTATGTGCACATTTTGTACATGTCATATAGTATTTTTTGTTTTTAAGTTAATGTTTTGCTAATTTGTTTGTTTTTCATTTGTTTAAAGATTTAGTTTCAACCATATATTATGTAGGAGTATTATTTTGTAGTAATCATGTGGTTCCACCATTTTTCGTAGATGTATGAAATAATTTGAACAAAAACTTAAAAATATTAGTTTTGTTATCGTAAAATTGATATATTAATTAAATTTATGGTGTTAGCATCTTTATATCATTTGTGACAACTAAATAATACAAAAAATATTGCATTATTTATCATTTATCAATTTTAAATAAAACAAAAAATTTATATAACAAACTACAAGAATTTTTTTAAACTTGTTTGTTAAATATCTTATTTTTTATTTTCTCTTAGGACACTATAAATGTTTGGACCGGTCCTGCTTGGGCACTTTTATGGCTTCTAAGATGGTAAACCCAAAATCTTCTTCTTTCTTTGTATGAATGTAAAATTTATTTATAAAAAAACTATGACTAAAATGTATGCATCCTTAAGAGAGATTTTTAATTAAAGAGAACAGATGATCTTTAAATTAGAAAAACAAAGCTAAGAAGTATAACGGCCAAGAAATGCAGACTTCAAATTCTTGCTCGAAACCATTCACAATTATCCAATTTAGTTACCTATAAACAAATATATGAACGAATATTGGATAATATAAGGAATTAAATTTTTTTTTAAAAAAATAATAATAATATAAGGAATTAAACGTAGCAAAACATAATGACTGAATTTGTATACTTACAGAAGCAGTGGCGGATCTTGAGATGGACCAGGGAAGGGGAAACTCGGATAAAGGAGAACAATGGTACTACCTTAAAATGCATAATTCTTGACATGACAGGTAACTTGTGTTCTTTGAGCTATGTTCAAGAGTTTGTTTTAACCCGTCTCTTTGCTCATGCTTTCATTCTGTGGAATTATTTCAGCTGTGTCGGCGATAGACACAAGCGGGCTTGAAGCGGTGTTTGCACTTAGGAGGAGGCTCGAGAAGCAATCACTTCAGGTTAGAATTTTTACTGAAAACAAAGATCAATATATACCTATCAAAAAGAAAAACACACTCTTAAGTTTTGTCACTCTCTTTTTCAAATAGCTTGCACTGGTGAATCCTGTGGGGACTGATGGAAAAGCTACACAAGTCCAAGATCAAAAGCCTATGCAAAGCATTGATCTTCTCTATAGGAATTTTCTAGCATCACTGTTGGAGTGATCTCAGTGATGAAACTCTAGAACCATTTGCCTCTTGTCAAAATTTACACAAAGGTTTAATATTGGCTACAGATAAGAGATTAGAGTTGTATGATAAGAGAAGCAAGCGTTGGTCACTATAACCTTATCTCTTCAAGAACTGGTACTGCTCTTTCTCCTCCTGACAACTTTCTTCACAGTAACTTTGTTGTCGCTCTTCTCTTTGTCGTCTGTACTATTCACAGCTTTTACTGAACTTGGTTGGCTTCTCATGCGCAGTATCTCACCCTTTGCAGAGCCCAAGTCTTCCTCGAGCTTTTTCACTTTCTTCTCTAGCACTTCCCTCTCTTTTCCTAGACTCATCACCAAGATATGTGCATCTTCCACATTTTCCTTAGCTTCTTTTGATGCATTCTTTGCCTCTCCTAGCGATCGTTGAAGTACTTCTTTCTCGTCCTCCAAGCTCGAAGCATGGGTATTCACCTTCTCAAGCTCTCGTGACAGTATTGATGTGTTCTTGTTCATCTCATCTAAAGACTTAACTGCTTCTTCCAAGTCTGTTTCAAGAGATTTTCTCGCCTCCCTGTCCATCAAGATCTGCTTTTCCATTCCTTTCACCTCTTTGTTCAACGACAAAACCGTCTTTTTCTCCTCTTCTAATTCCTTGTTAGTGGTTTCAACTTTCTTGTAAATCTCCACTAGTTCCTTCTGGAGGCTCTGGTTCTTGACAGAAGACTCTTTAAGTTCATGAGTTACTCCCTCAAGCTCGTCTTTAACTCTCTTCAGAAGATCTTTCTCCACTGCAAGTTGGCTAGCCAAAATCTCATTTTTTTGTTTTTCCGCATCGAGGTTCTTTTCATATCTTTCCTTAGCTTCATTCCATTCTGCGTGAACTATAGCAAGCTCTGATTCTAACTTTGAACACAAAGCTCTTGACTCATCAAGCATCGTTTCCAGGTCAGAGACCCGATCTCTAGATGCCTGCAGAGTTTTCTTTGTTCCTTCAAGTTCATGTCTCAAATTTTTTACATTAGTCAGTTCTCTATCCAGCCTTCTCTTCGAGTCTTCGTACTTCTCAGTTAAGTCAGCAACTTTGTCTTTATTTTTATTTACATCATCTAGCGCACGATCCAGATTTTCATGTAGCTGCTGAATCTCCTGCTCTTTCCTGCTGATGAGCTCTGCATCTGCAGCTGCTTGCGTCTCAGAAGTCAATTTCAAAGCACTATACTCTTTTGAAACGCCATCAAGCTTCTGGATATAACTCTCTTTCTCAGCCTCTAAAGTTCTTGTTCTGGTGTTTAACTCCTCAATCGCAGAATTCTTCAAGTCCAATTCACTTTGATTTGTTTTGAGTTCTTCGTTCAGCTGTTTGATGTCTAAATTCGCTTTGGAAAGATCTCGGCTAATTTGAGTGTAAGCAGAGTTGAGATTCTTCAATTCTGATTCCTTTTCTGCCAGCAATGCATTAATACGTTGAGCTTTTTCTTCACTATCTTTCAGCTCCAAACTAAGCAAGTTGATCCGATCTTGTAGCCCTTCAACCAAATCAAGCTTTTCCCTGAGCTTTGTTTCTAGTGCCTTTTTGTCTTCGCCAGCCTTTGACAGACTATTTTGCAGACTTTCGATTTGAACTCTAAGCTTCTCACATAATTTCTTCTCGCTACTTAGCTCCCGGCCTAATTCTGTCACCAAATCTTTTGCAGAATTCAACTGGTTGATCAATGACAACTGCTCCTCTTTAGCCTTTTCTACTTCCTTTTTCCGCTCTTCCTGCTCATGCTGCAGTTTTGCTTCAAAATCTTTCTCCTTCAACACTAATGCTCTTTCTCTGTCTTTCAACTGGTTCTTCAGCTGTATGCCATGGTTATCGGTAGCTTAAGTAAAAAAAGGATCAAATCCAGGAACAAGATATTCACAACCTCAGAAAGCTAAAGAAAAAAAAGAAGAGAAGCTCGAACTAAATGATATTACTACTTAGACAAGAACGTTCAGCCATAAATTGTAAAGCAAAATCCTTAAGTGCGAGTAGCTTACAGATTCAATGGTTTCTTCAGCAGCTTTTGTATCTTGCCGAGCAAGTGCATAGAGTGCACCAAGAACTCCAGCACTAAAAATTCCAAGACCATTTAGAAGAGACAGAAATGGATTTGGGGATGTTCCTTCACTTAATACTGCAACCTAATCCACCAAACCAATACTGATTCAGTAAAGTATCAAACACTTGAAAACATATTGATTCTCAAACAACGGAAAGAAATGAAGGAGGTTTCAGAATTTCAAATTGAGAATGTCTAAGAGAGTCTTAAAACCTCAGTTTCTTGATCAAGCTTTGATGTCCTTATCTCACTGTCTCCTGGGAATAAAAAGAACAAACTGATCACAGCAATGAAAAGATAACCAGAAGCAACATTTGAGCATTCTCATCAACGCACATAAATGAAAAAGAGAGTAACCAAAAAAAACTCACTTTCATCAGCTAAAGCCGGCGATCGAAGCTGCAAAAACGGAAGAACAGAGATACCCACAAGAAGAAAAGCCCTCCTCTTGAGGGAATCAGCGTCATACTCGTACCCATCTTCCTGGTTTAAAGAAGCCAATGTCGTTCGCCGGCGCTTGAACTTGGCGACATTACTCGAGCAGAGAAGCCCAAACTGAGACGGAGAAGGAGAAGAAGAAGGAGACGGAAGGAATCGAGAGTGGAGAGGAACAGAAGGGACGAAGCAAGAGCCCCCTATGAGGAAACCCATCTTCGCCGCCAAGTACTACTAAGAGATTGGAAATGTGTGGCAAATGAAGCAATCCTAAATTCACAGACACAAAGCAGACCCAAAAAAATAAAAAGGAACTTCCTTTATATGTAGTTTGACCTCGGATAATCTCAAAGAAGAATGATTACACAAAATTCAGAACTATCCTTCGATTTCTGAAATAAAATATCTTAAAATCCGACGAAATTGGGTATCAAAGATTGAAACTTTTTTTGTTTTGTTTTTGTTTAGGAGGGCAATGGCATATCTGCAATTTTGGAATAGTTCGGTTCTTTGTGTACATATTCACCAATCAAAACTTGCCAGCTTAGACTTCCCTGCCTCGTTATCCTCAATCTCTGGGTTCGCTCGGTTTAAGAAAACACGTGAACCTCACGTGCGTCTTCTTCCGCTATCTGACCCTAATTTTCTCATGTTTTTTTTATTAACTGTTCTGTCTTAAAACCACCGACGGCGACTTGAAATATCGATTGCTCGGCGTTGGAGTTTGGTCGCCACCGGACTGTTACATGTAAAACACGTTTATAAAGATGGTGTATATATCGGCGCGATCCATATTCGCGAAGCGAAGTGTCTCAACTCTACCTTATCTCTCTCAGAGATTTAAACAAACAGGTAATGTGCACATTTTGTCCCTCTTACGCCTCTTCGTCAATAAGCGAAATGTCTTCTCAAGATTGATGATTTAGGGTTTTAAGAGAAAAGGGATTTGCAAAAAAAGTCTAAAGTCGCTTCCTTTGAAGTAAGAAAACGAGATAAGGTTTTGATTTGAACATTTGTTTTATCCATGAATTTGCAGAGAATGAGATTGTTCAAATGTTTAGTATTCCAAATCATGAGGAATCTGAGAAGCCGCAAGAGAAGTGGAAATTATCTAGAAAGGATCCGTCAGTGCGAATGTTGGATGAGAGATTCATTAGGATAGTGAAAATCTTCAAATGGGGACCTGATGCTGAAAAAGCCCTTGAGGTACTTAAACTGAAAGTTGATCATCGGTTAGTTCGTTCGATTCTGGAAATAGACGTTGAGATAAATGTCAAGATTCAGTTTTTCAAATGGGCTGGTAAAAGAAGAAACTTTCAGCATGATTGTTCCACTTACATGGCCTTAATACGTTGCCTTGAAGAAGCTAGGCTTTACGGTGAAATGTATAGAACGATACAAGAGGTGGTTCGTAACACATATGTTAGTGTTGGTCCGGCAGTACTCTCTGAGCTTGTGAAAGCGTTGGGGCGAGCTAAGATGGTTAGTAAAGCTTTGTCGGTTTTTTATCAGGCGAAAGGACGCAAGTGCAAACCTACTTCGAGCACTTATAACTCGGTAATTCTAATGTTGATGCAAGAAGGACAGCACGAGAAAGTCCATGAGGTTTATACTGAGATGTGTAACGAAGGTGACTGTTTTCCAGACACGATTACTTACTCTGCGCTTATATCCTCGTATGAAAAGCTAGGTCGTAATGATTCTGCGATAAGGTTGTTTGATGAGATGAAGGATAACTGTATGCAGCCTACAGAGAAAATATACACCACGTTGCTGGGAATATACTTTAAGGTGGGTAAAGTTGAGAAAGCTTTGGATCTTTTTGAGGAGATGAAACGAGCTGGTTGCACGCCTACAGTTTATACTTACACAGAACTGATAAAGGGACTTGGCAAAGCTGGGAGGGTAGACGAAGCATATGATTTATATAAGAACATGCTTAGAGATGGATTGACTCCTGATGTTGTGTTCTTAAACAATCTGATGAACATTTTAGGCAAAGTGGGTCGATTGGAGGAGTTAACGAATGTCTTCAATGAGATGGGATCATGGAGATGTACACCGACTGTTGTTTCATACAATACCGTGATTAAAGCTCTATTTGAGTCAAAAGCACCTGTTTCGGAAGTAAGCGCTTGGTTTGATAAGATGAAGGCAGACGGTGTTTCCCCTAGTGAATTCACTTACTCAATCCTTATAGATGGTTATTGTAAAACGAATAGAGTAGAGAAAGCTCTGTTGCTTCTCGAGGAGATGGATGAGAAAAGTTTTCCACCTTGTCCTGCAGCGTATTGCAGCCTCATAAATGCTCTTGGAAAGGCGAAAAGATATGAAGCAGCGAATGAGCTATTTAAGGAACTAAAAGAAAACTTCGGCAATGTAAGTTCTCGAGTGTACGCTGTGATGATCAAACATTTTGGGAAATGCGGGAAGCTCAGCGAAGCTGTAGATCTCTTCAATGAGATGAAGAACCAAGGAAGCGGTCCTGATGTTTATGCTTACAACGCCCTCATGTCAGGAATGGTAAAGGCTGGTATGGTAAATGAAGCTAATTCGTTGCTTAGAAAGATGGAAGAAAACGGTTGCAGGGCGGATATAAATTCACATAATATCATCCTCAACGGATTTGCGAGAACAGGTGTGCCGAGGCGAGCAATAGAAATGTTTGAAACTATGAAGCATTGTGGTATTAAGCCTGATGGTGTGACTTATAATACTCTTCTTGGATGCTTCGCACATGCTGGAATGTTTGAGGAGGCTGCAAGACTGATGAGAGAGATGAAAGATAAAGGATTTGAGTATGATGCAATCACTTATTCATCTATACTTGACGCTGTTGGCAATATGGATCATGAAAAAGATGATGTTTCATCTTTGTAAGAGTTGATTTCTCTAATTGGAATAACAAAAAGAAAAAAAAGTAGAAGCTGAAAAATTACTACATTGCTTAAGTTTAAGTATAATGAAGACTGAAAACTTTAGAAGAAACAACAAATCTAGCAGAGAAAGACTTAGAAGACACATCAGGATCTTCGTGATATGCGATAGTTCCATCATTCTCGAAGTTTTGGGAATAAGTAAAAGGATCATAACGAACACGATGATCAAAGATCTGACATTTCTTCTTTTGCTTCAACATCATTATCTTCCTCCATATCAATCTCCAATTTGAGATCTTCTTCAATCTTAAAACATCTTCAGACAGATCTTTGATCCGATCGTAACTGCAAGTCTTTGAACACATTAGAGACGATGAAAATAAACTTAAGATATGTTTTGGTAATAAATAGTGTTTACGATCTTATGATATGTTTGAGGATCTAATCTCTTCTTAAGGAAGTGAAGAATGATTTGTTTAGTTAACACATAAAAGTATCATTCTTGTTACAACTTGCTAATCTTGCAAACATATATATTAATTAGTAGTACATTACATCATATTAATATATTATATATATATTTCTCTTATAAAGCAATTTGAAACATTAATCATTAGAGATATACAATTAATGGCTATCCTTTGTATTTATAGGGCAATGAGTAAGTTGGCATATAAAAATATTTGCCGTTTTGTTTATACGTTACACAAATTAGTCAGGTTTCAGAAATTGTTTAATAGGCCAGTAGTGAGTAGATTGTCTATTTGTGACATAAAATCTACTGTAACACACAGCAATATACATGTAATTTTTCCCGCATTTTCCTTATTAAATCAGATGATTAAACACTAAACATGTAAGATCAACACATTAAGAAAAATTAGAGGGTTAGATCTACAACCAAATTCACATCTAATTTCTTAAGAAACAAACAATTATCTACTGTAATATACTAATATGGATATGTCGTCAGACAAACAAATCAGAGAATTTTCTGGCCCATATTTAGAGCCCAGTAAGGTTTTCCGAAGCCCATATATTGGCCCATTATCACATCGGCTTTCATTATTTTCAATTTCTAATTTTCTATCGATTGAAGAAGAAAGGAAAAATATTGAAGTTGTTATCTTTTCTTTTCTATCGACGGAAGAAATCTGCAAGTTACCGAGGAAAAAGGAAAGAGCTTTCGTTGGTCGCAGGTAACCCAAGTTATATATATTGATTTAGAAGATCAGGAAATGGTGAAAGATACACAGTAAGTTCAAACCCTAATTTTCTGTTCCATCGATCCTTGTTTGAGAGTTGAAAACCAATGACGAAGATGTCTGATCTCTCTATAGATGTGTTGGAGGAGATTCTTTCCAGGGTTCCGGTGACATCTACGAGAGCAGTGCGATCTACTTGCAGAAAGTGGAACACTTTATCCAAAAATCTGAGCTTTAGAAAGAAGCACCTTGCTCAAGCAGCTTCAGCAGTGAGAAGAGAAGGGGAGCTTCAGGCGATTGTGTTGTTAAATTTTAGTCTTTATTTGATGAGCGTCAATCTCCATGGAACTCACAGCGACGACTTTGATCCATCTATAAGGTCTAGAGGTAATCTTATTAGCTTAAACGATTCGGATATACTCAAAATCACTCGAGTATATCACTGCGATGGTTTAGTGTTAGGCGTCACAGAAAACTTCACTAGGCTCGTGCTTTGGAATCCGTATACAGGGCAAACTCGGCGGATCTGCGCCGAACTCAGATCCGCTAAGAACAGTGGGTACTTGTATAATCATGCTCTCGGATACGACAAGAGCACCTATAAAGTCTTGAGGTTTTTAAATGTTTCCTCCGGGATGTATGTGCACGAAATCTACGATTTAAACACTAATTCATGGAGAGTTCTTGATGTCACTCCAGACTGGGATGTGGAGTTTGATAATTTTGGCCTGTCTTTGAAAGGAAACACGTATTGGTATGCTACAGATAAGGAATCACGAGAGGACGTTCCTGGTGTCTTACTCTGTTTCGATTTTACGACAGAGAGATTTGGACCGTGTCTGCCTCTGCCTTTTGAGTCTTATTCTGAAGATGTCGTGACTCTATCCAGTGTTAGAGACGAGCAGCTTGCGGTGTTGTATCAGAACTATGATACTTATGAGATGGAGATTTGGGTAACGACCAAGATTGAGCCTAATGCGATGTCCTGGAGCAAGTTCTTAGCGGTGGATATGAATCCATTAACTGGGTTTGGGTTCTATAGTTGTGGGAGTTTCCTCATTGACGAGGAGAAGAGAGCCGTGGTTGTTTTTGATCTATCAGAAGAAACCAATTGCAACGCAGCTTACTTCATTGGTGTGAATGGTTACTTCAGAGAAGTGGATCTCGGAACAATTACAACAGGCAAAGAGATGGTTTTCCCGCATGCCTTCTCTTATGTTCCAAGTTCTGTGCTTTTTGAGTCTGGATCTGATGAGAAACGTTAAAAACTTTCTTACGATTGACATCAACTTTACTTATCGGTTCCAAGACTCATGTCATCTCCTTTGGCACCAGCTATGCTTGAAGAGTTTCCGGTGAGATATACAGTTTTTCTTGAATCTTTTTTAGTCAATTATGTTACAAACTAAGTCTGATTCTTGTATTCTTTCCTACCATTAAACCAATAAAATTGTCTCCTTACCAATAATTGGGTTATTACTTTGTGCTCCCACAGTGTTTTTCCATTCGATCAACACGAGCTTTTGGATTATTGGTTTGGTTTTTATTTCTTTAATGATTAGGATTTATTTATATTAATATATGGGGTATTATGAATCTGGTGGAAGACTTTTTGTCTTTATGAAAAGAAAATAAAAACACAACTCTGTTTCTCCTCCTTTGTTGGGAAGAATTGGCTTTCTGTTGTAAGACCCTTTTAAATCCTACTTGAGTGTTGTATTCTCGAAAGAGACATAAGTTGTTCGATAAAAACAAAAACTAGTTGTTGCAATACAATGGTTTTGCTCGAGAACATGGCATCTGGTTCTGTTAGTGTCTTGTTTTGGGTAATTTTGGCATGAAATAGTCAACTTTTGTCTGGTATGTTTTTTGTGTGTAACAATTGTAGCTGGGAAACTTCAACGGACAAGACTTCAAATTTGTCCCGCAGCGTAGACTTGGACTTTTGAGTTAGACTTGACCATAAACGAGAGATGTCTTGATAACCACTTTTGAGAGATATCTTCCAAATTATCCATCTTCCAAGTTTCAGATTTTCTGAAACTATGTGGTCAAATGGCATCTTTCTCATTTTTTTTACTTTGTCTCTCTTGTTAGGACAATCATGTTGTGAAACAGATACGCTACTGCAGGGTCAGTACTTGAAAGATGGGCAAGAGCTCGTTTCAGCTTTCAATATCTTCAAACTAAAGTTTTTCAACTTGGAGAATTCAAGCAACTGGTATCTTGGAATTTGGTACAACAATTTTTATCTTAGTGGTAATAAGAAGTATGGTGATATCCAGGACAAAGCTGTTTGGATTGCTAACCGTAACAATCCAATTTTGGGACGCTCTGGAAGCCTCACAGTGGACTCTCTTGGCCGATTGAGGATTTTAAGAGGAGCATCAAGCCTGCTTGAGCTAAGCTCTACGGAAACCACAGGAAACACAACCCTTAAGCTGTTGGATTCTGGAAATCTTCAGCTCCAAGAGATGGATTCTGATGGATCGATGAGGCGGATTCTGTGGCAAAGTTTTGATTATCCAACGGATACCCTTCTTCCTGGTATGAAACTTGGTTTCAATGTTAAGAATGGGAAGAGATGGGAACTGACCTCATGGCTAGGTGATACTTTACCTGCTTCTGGATCTCTTGTCTTTGGGATGGATGCTAATATTACAAACCGGTTGACCATCTTGTGGCGTGGAAACATGTATTGGGCAAGTGGGCTCTGGTTTAAGGGTGGATTTTCCTTGGATGAATTAAATGGATATGGTTTCCTCTTTTCCTTCATTTCAACCGAGAGTGAACACTATTTTATGTATTCAGGTGATCAGAAATATGCTGGAACATTTTTTCCCGCGATAATGATAGACCAACAGGGGATTTTGCATATATACAGGCTTGACAGAGAGCATTTGCATGTTCATTGTTCTCCTTTCAATTTGGACAGTAATTTTGATTGTTATAGGCAAAATCCTAGGGATTGTTTGCACGCAGGTTGCATAGTCCCAGTCCAAGAGGAGCCATATGGGTTAAGGTATTCTTTCAGAGAGACAGTATCGGCTTTCTCAAGCAATGGATTTATACTTAATGAGACTGGTGGAAGGTTTAGTTCAGCTGATTGCCATGCTATATGTATGCAAAACTCTTCTTGTCTTGCCTACGCTTCTACCAATCTGGATGGTACGGGCTGCGAAATCTGGAATATTGATCCTACCGACAAAAAGTCGTCTTCTCAAAGTCCCAGAACCATATATATTCGTGTAAAAGGTACAAGTTGTGGAAATATATTATCTGCCTTTCATTTAAGTGTCATTATAACTGCAGCAAATATATGTGTATGCTAAGTTTTCTGGAATACAGGAGTTGTAGTAAACCAAGAGCACGAAAAAGCGGCAACTTGGCTAGTTGTTGTGGCATCACTATTCCTAATGATACCTGTGACTTGGTTTATCATCTACCTTGTTCTAAGGAAATTTAAAGTAAAAGGTAAAAATTTGTATCAGAATCACTCAAATGCTTCCTTCTCAATTGTGCTCTCTTACTAATAAATTCACCACTTTTTGTGTATTTTTGATTCAGTAACTGTAATATTTCGCGGGATGTTCTACTTTTTATGGGGAAAAGTCATTCCACAAAGTAAGGCTTCAGCTGAATAACTTTTGTGCCAGTATGTATGAAAAATGTCCATGTTGAATTATTGTATTTGTGATTTTTGCTAGTGATTGGTTGCATACGGAGGAGGCTTCCAACACTGAGGGTTGGTTCAACAATAGACCAAGAAATGCTACTACGTGAATTAGGAATTGATAGGAGACGCCGAGGCAAGAGAAGTGCAAGGAAGAATAATAATGAGCTTCAGATTTTTAGCTTTGAAAGTGTAGCCTTGGCAACAGATTACTTCTCTGATGCAAACAAGCTCGGTGAAGGAGGTTTTGGTCCTGTATATAAGGTACTCCAGATTCTTCAGATTTTGATATTAACTTGAGCAGTTTCTGATGTTTCCGCTGCTCTCTTGAAGGGGAAGTTAATAGATGGGGAAGAGGTGGCTATCAAAAGGCTATCATTAGGATCCGGGCAAGGATTAGTGGAGTTCAAGAACGAAGCGATGCTTATTGCAAAACTTCAACACACAAATCTTGTTCAGTTGCTAGGATGCTGCATAGAGAAGGATGAGAAAATGTTGATTTACGAATACATGCCCAACAAGAGCCTTGACTACTTCCTCTTTGGTGAGCTTTCTTTAAAAAGCTAAGAGTTAAATAGAAACCCATCAGAAAAAATATCTCCAAACCTGTGCAGATCCCTTGAGGAAAAACATTTTGGATTGGACGCTGCGGTTCAGGATCATGGAAGGGATAATTCAAGGGCTTTTGTACCTTCATAAGTACTCGAGATTGAAAGTGATACACAGAGACATCAAAGCCGGCAACATTTTGCTGGACGAGGATATGAATCCCAAAATATCAGATTTTGGAATGGCTCGGATATTTGGAGCGCAAGAATCCAAAGCCAACACCAAAAGAGTTGCTGGCACATTGTAAGTTAAGACCAGAAACAATGACGCTCTGATCATCCATAGGCATCAATTTCTGACTAATTCTCTTGTGTTGATATTATGTGTAGTGGATATATGTCTCCGGAGTACTTCAGAGAAGGACTGTTTTCGGCGAAATCAGATGTTTTCAGCTTCGGAGTTTTAATCCTCGAAATCATTTGTGGAAGGAAGAACAATAGCTTCCACTATGACTCAGAAGGACCTCTGAATCTCATAGTTCATGTAAAAGCCAAATTTCTTCTTCTTTGAAATGTTAACATTTTCAGCTTGCTTGTTTAGTCTTTGGATCTCTGAAACTCTGTTTTTTTTATCAGGTGTGGAATCTGTTTAAAGAGAACCGAGTTCGCGAGGTGATAGATCCGTCTTTGGGAGATTCTGCAGTTGAGAACCCTCAAGTGTTGAGATGCGTTCAAGTTGCTCTGATGTGTGTTCAACAAAACGCAGAAGATAGACCAAGTATGTTAGACGTTGTGTCGATGATATATGGCGATGGCAACAACGCTCTTTCTTTGCCTAAAGAGCCAGCTTTCTATGATGGTCCTCGGAGAAGTTCTCCAGAGATGGAAGTTGAGCCACCGGAGCTGGAAAATGTATCGGCGAATAGAGTTACAATCACAGTGATGGAAGCAAGGTGAAGCAAGTGAATTGAAGAGAACTGATCGTTTTAAATCCTAGTTGGGTTGTTGAATTCTCCCGATATATATAAGATGTTGGATAGAAACAAAAACAATTTGTGCAATTAATGGTTTTGCTCGAGAACAGAACATGGCGTCTGGTTCTGTTATGTGTCTTGTTTTGGGTAATTTTGGCATGAACGAGTCAAGTTTTCAATTTCTGGTCACTGTCAGCATCACTTTCTTGGTAATTTTTGTGTAACAGCTGTTGCTCGGAAACTTCAAAGGGCAAGAATTCAAATTTGTCTGCTAGAGTAGGTTTGGACTTCTTAGACTTGACCCATAAACGAGATGCCACTTTTTAGAGAAATCATATTGCCAAATTATATCCTCTTCTAAGTTTCAGATTTTCTGAAACTATGTGGTCAAATTGCATCTTTCTCACTATTTTTACTCTCTCTCTCTTGTTAGGACAATCATGCTGTGAAAAAGATACGCTACAGCAGGGTCAGTACTTGAAAGATGGGCAAGAGCTAAATTCGCCTTTCAATATCTTCAAGCTCAAGTTTTTTAACTTGAAGAATTCAAGCAACTGGTGGTATCTTGGGATTTGGTACAACAATTTGTATCTTCATAATAATAACAAGTTTTATTCTGATACTGAGGACAGAGCTGTCTGGATTGCGAACCGTAACAATCCAATTTCAGGACGCTCTGGAAGCCTCACAGTTGATTCTCTTGGCAGATTGAAGATTTTAAGAGGATCAGAAAGCCTGCTTGAGTTAAGCTCTACGGAAACCACAGGAAACACAACCCTTAAGCTGTTGGATTCTGGAAATCTTCAGCTCCAAGAGATGGATTCTGATGGATCGATGAGGCGGATTCTGTGGCAAAGTTTTGATTATCCAACGGATACCCTTCTTCCTGGTATGAAACTGGGTTTCAATGTCAAGAGTGGGAAGCAATGGGAACTGACATCATGGCTAGGTGATACTTCACCTGCTTCTGGATCTTTTGTCTTTGGGATGGATGCTAATGTTACAAACCGATTGAACATCTTATGGCGTGGAAACTTGTTTTGGGCAAGTGAGCTCTGGTTCAAGGGTCAATTTCTCACGGAGAAATTTAACAAGCTGGGTTTTGTCTTCTCCTTCGTTTCAACCGAGAGTGAACACTATTTTCTGTATTCAGGTGATGACAACTATAGTGGAATATTTCCAAGGATAATGATAGACCAACAGGGTACTTTGCAGACAATCATTCTTAACGGAGTGCAACAACATTTCCGTTGTTCTCCTGTATTTGGTGACAAGCTTGAATATGGGTGTTACCGAACAAAATCCATCAACTGTGTGCGCAAATATTATGGAGATGTAGACAAGAATGGATATTGTTTGCACTCGCAGCATAAGAGTTGTTGGAGCTTTGGTGATCATTTCAGAGATACAGTATTTCCTTCCTTGGGAAATGGATTTATTCTTAGTGAGACTGATGGAAGATTAAGCTCATATGATTGCTATGTTAAATGTCTCCAAAACTGTTCTTGTCTTGCCTATGCTTCACCCCATGCCGATGGTACGGGCTGCGAAATCTGGAATTCTGATCCTACAAACAATGGGTCGTCTTCTCATGCACCCAGAAGGCCAGAACTGTATATGTCCGTGTTAAAGGTACTAGCCTTGTGGATATATATTTATCTGTCTTTTATAAAGTGTTGCTATATAACCGCATAATTTCTATTTGGACACAAAGATTTCTGGTATACAGAAGACCACTATAACGAAAAGGCAGCAACTTGGATAGTTGTTGTGGCATCACTATTCCTAATTATACCTGTGATGTGTTTGATCATCTATCTTGTTCTGAGGAAATTTAAACTGAAAGGTACGATTTTGTATCAGAATCACTCAAACTTTTTACCCAATCGTGTTCTTACTAACAAGTTCACCATTTTTTTTTGTATTTGATTCAGTAACGGTTATATTCCACGAAATGTTCTACTTTTTATTGGGAAAAGTCATTCCACAAAGTAAGTCTCAGCTGAATAACTTTTGTATAAGCATGTATGAAAAATGTCATTTTTGAATCAAGAACAATGTTTGTGATGTTTGCTATTTTATTTAGTGATTGGTTGCATACATGTTCACCACTTTTTTTTGTGTTTGATCCAGTGGCTGTTATATTTCGCGGAATGTTCTACTTTTTATGGGGAAAAGTCATTCCACAAAGTAAGGCTCAGCTGAATCACTTTTGTATAAGCATGTATGAAAAAGTCCATGTTGAATCAAGAACTGTGTTTGTGATGTTTGATATTTTATTTAGTGATTGGCTGCATACGGAGGAGGCTTCCAACACTGAGAGTTGGTTCAACAATAGACCAAGATATGCTACTACGTGAGTTGGGAATTGATAGGAGACGCCGAGGCAGGAGAAGTGCAAGGAATAATAATAATAATGAGCTTCAGATCTTTAGCTTTGAAAGTGTTGCTTTTGCAACAGATTACTTCTCTGATGCAAACAAGCTCGGCGAAGGAGGTTTTGGTCCTGTATATAAGGTAGTTCAGATTCTTCAGATTTTGATATTAACTTGAGCAGATTTTGATGTATCCGCTACTCTCTTGAAGGGGAAGTTAATAGATGGGGAAGAGGTGGCTATCAAAAGACTATCATTAGCATCCGGGCAAGGATTAGTGGAGTTCAAGAACGAAGCGATGCTTATTGCCAAACTTCAACACACAAATCTTGTTCGGTTGCTAGGATGCTGCATCGAGAAGGATGAGAAAATGTTGATTTACGAATACATGCCCAACAAGAGCCTTGACTACTTCCTCTTCGGTGAGCTTTCTATAAAAATCTAAAAGTTCATAGAAATCCATCTGAAAAATGTCTCCAAACCTGTACAGATCCCTTGAGGAAAAACATTTTGGATTGGACGCTGCGGTTCAGGATCATGGAAGGGATAATTCAAGGGCTTTTGTACCTTCACAAGTACTCGAGATTGAAAGTGATACACAGAGACATCAAAGCCAGCAACATTTTACTGGACGAGGATATGAATCCCAAAATATCTGATTTTGGAATGGCTCGGATATTTGGAGCGCAAGAATCCAGAGCCAACACCAAAAGAGTTGCTGGCACATTGTAAGTTAAGACCAGAAACAATGATTCTCTAATCATTCATAGGCATCAGTTTCTGACTAATTCTCTTGTGTTGATATTATGTGTAGTGGATATATGTCTCCGGAGTACTTCAGAGAAGGACTGTTCTCGGCGAAATCAGATGTGTTTAGCTTCGGAGTTCTAATGTTGGAAATCATTTGTGGAAGGAAGAACAATAGCTTCCACCATGACTCAGAAGGACCTCTGAATCTCATAGTTCATGTAAAAAAGCTTAACTTCTACTTCTCTCATTTGCTAACATTCTCAGCTTGCTTGCTTTGTCCTTGGATCTCTGAAACTCTGTTTTTTCAGGTGTGGAGTCTGTTCAAAGATAACCGCGTTCACGAGGTGGTAGATCCATCTTTGGGAGATTCTGCAGTTGAGAACCCTCAAGTGTTGAGATGTATTCAAGTTGCTCTGTTGTGTGTACAACAAAACGCAGAAGATAGACCAAGTATGTTAGAAGTTGTGTCGATGATATACGGCGACGGCAACAACGCTCTTTCTTTGCCTAACGAGCCAGCTTTCTATGATGGTCCTCGGAGAAGCTCGCCGGAGATTGATGTTGAGCCACCGGAGCTGGAAAATGTATCGGCAAATAGAGTTACCATCACAGTGATGGAAGCAAGATGAGCTAGTGAATTGAAAGAAAACTTATTGTATGTGAATCTCATTGTTTTTAGTCGAAACATATTGACTTCTAGTTTGATAATGCTGACTGATCTTATGAGACTCAAAGTTATCGTTTTCTCGTTATGTCGCTTGTGAATTTGAATACAAAATTAGACTTTCCCACGTGGACACGCTTCTGTGGCGCGGAGTGATCGTGTGGATTTAACCTACCACTATATATATGATCGTGCAGAACAAGAATCAAATATCTAAAACTCGAAGAAACAGAGAGTTTTTTCTTGTGTTTTGGGGATTAAGGAAGCTATTTCTGTTCTCGTCGAGTTTCAGGTCTAGCCCTAACCCTAAAATTTAGCCATGTCGTCCAAGCAAGGTTATTATTCTCTTCATCCTCTCATCTTTGTTATCTCTGTTCCAATCAATCGTTTTGCTTTCACAATTTCTGTTGATATGTGGCATCATTCCTGATTTGATCTCACAGATTCTATTAATCTTGTGTGCTTCTTAACGCATCGAAAATTCAAAAATCGTGCTTTTATTTTATTTTACATGGTTCCTTGTAAAACGTCATCGAAATCCAACATTTTCTGCGAAATGTCATATGATTCTTGATTGATAGGTCTATTCTTTTGCTGTTTCAGGAGGGAAATTGAAGCCTTTGAAGCAGCCCAAGTCTGGTAAGAAGGAGTACGATGAGGTATGATCTTTTTTCACAAACTCGCTAATAACCCTTTTATTTTGGAACGTTTTAATGGTTTTACTCTGTTTCAAATGTAGCACGACATGGAGTTACTGCAGAAAAAGAAGGATGAAGAGAAGGTAGTTCCTTAATCTTAGTTTTGATTCTTTGAACCATTTTTACGAGAAAATGATTGCTGATGATCTTGTTTATGTGATGAAAACAGGCACTTAAAGAACTCAGGGCCAAGGCTTCACAAAAGGGATCATTCGGAGGCACAGGACTTAAGAAGAGTGGAAAGAAATAAGACTAATCTGCCTCAAATGTAATCTCAAATCTCCTATCCTATGTATGCTTTTCAATGTACCATGACTAGAAGTAAATATAAATCTAAGACTTGCACCTTCTTCAAAATTCTGCAACATTCATTAAGGTTTTAGTTGTTGCAAGCTTTGATTAAACCAAAAGGATCTTATGCACCAGCATTAACAAAAAACAACCGATATATTAAGAGTCAAACCAAAAAAGATTACGACTTTAGAAGTCCCAAAAAGTTTGTAACTTAAACCTTCCCATCAAACACTTCCTTGGCCAAAATCTTGAATCCTGTCACCACGAACACTTAAGTTTTCCATTGCATTCTCCAATCCAGAACTCATCTCAGCCAACACATGAGGATCATTGTAATGTTGAACAGCTTGAACAATGCTCCTAAGTTTCTTAAACGGATCAGGACCATCAAAAACCTCAGAACCAACGAAAACTCCATCACAACCAAGCTGCATCATCAAAGCTGCATCAGCAGGAGTCGTGATCCCACCTGATGCGAACTGAACCACCGGAACCCTACCCATCTGCTTAGTCTGAGCCACAAGATCATACGGTGCTGAAATCTTCTTAGCAAACGTGAACACCTCATCATCATCCATGTTGTTCAAGACTCTAACTTCACCCATCAATGACCTAACGTTCTTCACAGTCTCTGCAATGTTACCTGTTGCGGTTAAATCTCCTTGGATCCTAATCATAGCAGCACCTTCTCTGATTCTCCTTAAAGCTTCTCCTGTATCACGGCAACCACAAATGAACGGAGATCGGAAATTGTGTTTGTTGATGAAATGATCTTCGTCAGCTACAGAGATAATCTCGCTCTCGTCAATGTAATCAACGGCAAGAGATTCCAAGATCTGAGCCTCAACGAAATGACCAACACGAGCTCGTCCCATCACAGGTACAGACACAGCTCGTTTCACCTCTTTGATAAGAACCGGATCCGGCATACGACGAACACCACCGCGAGATCGAACCGGATCTGAGACGATTACAGAACATGCGCCGGCGGACTCAGCGATCTTAGCCTGGTTAACAGAAGAAACCTCAACAATGGCGCCGCCACGGAGTACTTGAGCTAATCCAACCTTAACAGAAAACGGATGGTTTTTCTTCGCGTCGGTAATGGCTGCGCCGCTGTAGAGAGTAACAGCTCCTTGTTCTTGATCAGTCATAGCTTGATCCGCCATTTTTTGGTTGTTAGTAACAGAGAGCTTTTCGCCGGAAAAATGTTGTTTGTTAGTGACACGATCTGAGACGAGAACGAGAAAGCTGCGTTGAAGGTGAGGAGAAATATAGAGAGAATGGAGAATCGAGAAGAAGAAGAAGAAGAGTGTGGTGTGGTCTAGAAGCTTCTGAGACTGTTTCGTCACTGAGAAATTGATTTTAGGTCGCCGGTTAGGGAGGATTCGAAAACGACGTCGTATAGCAAAAAGAAGAAACAAAGTGGGCTTCCATGATGATGATGATGGACCCAAGTAGACGACTTATTCTTTATCATATTTAAGAGCCGTTGGATGTGAAGAGAACACGTGGCGTAATCGTGTGTCATCCCCGTCCAAAGATATTTTGAAATGATTGTTTTGATGGACACGAGTCAAAGAAGAAAGCAAAGCATGAAAATTTTTACGAAATAAAGGGAGTGGTATATCTAACAACTGTCTTACTTAGTGGCCCACCATGTTATAAATTGTCACGACACTGGACGACGTCGTTTTTAGTGCTCCTCACGTGTTTCAGGTTGTTGGTTCTATACATTTTTACAGTTTTGAAGCAATTTTTTAATAATTGAGTACGTAAATCTTACTCTTCCCTGCTCTGCCACTACCACTGAGATTATAATCATATAAAGTTATGAATCTTGTAGGATTTAATATTGTTAGATGAGACAAAATCAGTCGGCAATAAAAAAAAAATGTGTAAAAGTTCTTTTTTAATTCGTCATTACCTTATGTGTAAAGTAGAAAAGAATTAAAAGATGATATTTGAAATATCATTTTTCCCACTTCGATAATCCGATCATTGGTTGATGACATATGGTAAAAAAAAATTGTTTGACATAAAAACTTGTGATGTTTTGCTTGTGGTTACTGGTTAGATTTGAAAATACCAACGATTTGTTGTTGAGTTTTAGACACGAGTAAATGGTGGGAAATCGATTAAACACACATATGAAGCTATGTATGAAAACAAATATCACCTCTTCTTGACACATGCAATCCCAAAATTATCGGAGAATGGCGACGTTTTATCTAACCATGTATATGGAAGACCATTTATGTTCAAGCTTCGAAATAACATTCACAAACGACGACACATTTGGTTTGCCAAATTCAAACTTGAAAGCTTGAAAATCAATAATAATCTAAAATAAGAACAAAGCTACTTCACACAATCCAAATTTTGAAGCTATCATAATCACTCTATAAAACAACTTATACTTATAAGTGTGAGAATAATATGGTCAAATCAACTAAAATATTACCATTACTTTTGAAAGTCAAAAACGTTATTTATTGTTTTAGCTAATATTGGATCAAAATAACCTTTTGTAGTGATATTATCAAAATTTATTTGACGAATGTAAATTTAACATTGTAAAAGTCCATAGTATTTATGGATAAATAGACTACCATTGTAAAAGTCCGTAGGAGTTTTATCCAAACTATATGGATAAATAGACTACCTTGGTAGTTTTCATAAATTAATATAGTTGACAAAAAAAACTTATATTACAAAATACATAAATAAGTAGTAAAATAGTAATATATTAACTTTGTATAGTAAAGTTAGTAATAACTATAAATATAACTCAATCCAAATCCCATAAAATAATATATGTAAAAATTAAAACCATTTAGAATTGGTCCACAAATCTCTGATTAATAACTAGAGGAATTAAAACGACATATAGAAATGGAGTTTAAGGGAGCGTCAGAGCAAGAAAGAAACAGCGACCAATACTCTTCTCTCTCTCTACTCTCTGCGCTTTAATTTGAACTTGTGGAGAGAGAAAGGGTTAGATAGAGAGATAGCGAAAGAGAGAGACACAGGAGAGCAAACTTCGTCAAGGGATTGTGGTTAAAGATCCGATTAAAGGATCCATTTGGAGCTCCGATTCGAGCTAGAGGCAATGAACGGAAGACAGAGATCTGGCGCAGCGGCGGTGCACCACCAGAGACAGCTTTCCGATAACCCTCTCGACATGTCTTCCTCTAATGGCCGATGGCTTCAATCTACTGGTCTTCAGCATTTTCAGTCATCCGCCAATGTAATCTCAGAATCTGATCCTTTTCTTCTCCTCCTCCTTATCTTTCCATCGATTCAAAAATTTAAATTTCTATGAAGTTTCTAAGAAGATCTGTTAGTTCAGGAGAGAAAATTCTCCGGTGGGACTTATTTTTCTCCGATCTGAAGTTCTGGGCAAATTTGTTTTTGAGTTTATTATGCATTTTCTCGATGAGACTTGTGAACCCAAGTTTAGTATATGAGGTTTTTTAAACTTAATGGTGGGATTATAAACAGGATTATGGATACTATGCTGGTGGACAAGGAGGTGGTCAAGCAGCAAGAGGATATCAGAATGCTCAGAGAGGGTTTAATGGAGGGAATGAGTTTTTTGGGGAACCAACTACTCCTCAATACGGTGCTCGTCCAACGAACCAAAGGAAGAACAATGATGAATCTGAGTTTAGTCCTGGGCTTTTAGATCTGCATTCTTTTGATACTGAGCTTCTTCCTGAGGTAGATTGTTCTTGATTTTTTTTTTCCAGTGATTGGTGTTGGTGTGTTGTTTTCAACTTTTTAGTGACTTTTTCTAATTGCTATTTACATATGTGAGTATGAAAACAGACCTGCAATTCAAGGTTTACCTTTTGTTTAAATGTCGCTGCATTTAGGTGGACATCCATTAAATTGATTGCTTGCTGGAAGAGTGGACTCCTTACACTGCACTTTTAAGTCATCGGACTATTTTTAGTAAAAGAACCTTTTTTCTTCTTTTTTTCTGTGACCATATTATTAGTATTTTTCCTCTAACCAATTTGGTAAACATAAGATAGAAACCTATGGTTATTTGATTCTCTGTTTTACATGAGATAAATTCGTGAATTTCATTTGTGTTTGCCGCTATGGTAATATTGTGTCGGCTTTTAACTTGTTCACTTATCAGCAGATTCCAGTCTCTAGCCAAGTAGATGGCTCCTCACTTTTCAATCCTAATCAAGGCCAAAGCTTTGATGACTTTGAAGCTTACAACAAGCAACCTAACCGAAGTCGCGTGTTGGCTGAAAACTTGGCTGCTGAGAAGGAGAGGATGAATGCTGTTGCAAAGATCAAAGTCGTTGTATGTTTTTCTTTCCTTCAGTTCCTATAACGAATCACTTGAATATGATGATTTTACAGCCTTGTATATTGTGAATACTAATCGTTACCGTATTGTTTGAGAACAGGTGCGTAAGCGACCACTTAACAAAAAGGAGTCGACAAAAAATGAAGAAGACATTGTTGACACCCATGCCAATTGCTTAACAGTTCATGAAACTAAACTTAAGGTCAGTCTCTGATGGTTTGGATTCATGCAATCTCAGTTGTCCGGGTCATCAACATAGCAAGACACTAAGACTGATCTATTATTACATTATTTCAGGTCGACTTAACAGCTTATGTTGAAAAGCATGAATTTGTCTTTGATGCCGTGCTAGATGAGGAAGTATCAAATGATGAGGTAAGTGCTGTTTGAAAGTAACAGGACTGATTATAACTCTGGAGGAAGCCTTATTTACATAATAATGCTTATTTCTCAAATTTCTGTAGGTATATCGTGAGACTGTGGAGCCTGTAGTCCCCCTAATATTTCAGCGCATCAAAGCCACTTGCTTTGCATATGGTCAAACAGGTAATTTATCTCCAAGGAATCATAGATACACAAGATCACTTTCCTGGAAAATCTAACAAGCTAATAGCAAGACCTTAAATCTACCATCTAAAGTATATGGCATGCGTTTCTACTGTGAGTACTGTGGGAGGTTAAGGCCTACTCTACTTTTCCAAACTGTGCATGTCAAAGCCTCTTCAATTTAAATTTGAGAAACGCGATAATCAACATCCACTTATCAGAAGCAGTTACTAGTGTGCTTTTAACTATATAATTACCATTTTCTCTATGTGAACCATATTCTGTTTTATGTTTGCCTCTCAGGTAGTGGTAAAACCTATACTATGAAGCCTTTGCCTCTTAAGGCTTCAAGGGACATCTTGAGGTTGATGCACCACACATACAGAAACCAAGGGTTTCAGTTGTTTGTTAGCTTCTTTGAGATTTATGGAGGAAAGCTATATGATCTCCTCAGTGAGAGGAAGTAAGTTGAAAGACATCTTACACGGTAATATATAGTGACTGCAATGCTTATTATGTAGCTGTATTCAAACTTTGTTTTACCTTAATAGGAAGCTGTGCATGAGAGAGGATGGTAAGCAGCAAGTGTGCATCGTTGGTTTACAAGAGTACAGAGTATCTGATACAGATGCTATTATGGAGCTTATTGAGAGAGGAAGTGCAACAAGAAGTACTGGAACCACTGGTGCAAATGAAGAATCCTCTCGTTCACATGCTATACTACAGCTCGCAATCAAAAAATCAGTAGAGGGAAATCAGTCAAAGCCCCCTCGCCTCGTTGGCAAGCTTTCTTTCATTGATCTTGCTGGAAGTGAACGTGGTGCAGATACAACAGACAATGACAAGCAGACAAGGTAACACTTTACACCATTTCTTATAGCGACACTTTTTAAATTGTTCAGTGTGAATAATGTTTCCGACTATTTGCTTACATGAGTTATCTATATCATATGACACAGATTGGAAGGAGCAGAGATCAATAAGAGCTTACTCGCCTTAAAGGAATGCATTAGAGCTCTGGATAATGATCAAGGTCACATCCCTTTTAGAGGCAGTAAGTTAACTGAAGTTCTTAGGGACTCCTTCATGGGAAATTCTCGTACTGTAATGATATCGTGCATATCTCCAAGCTCTGGATCATGTGAGCACACCCTTAACACCTTAAGATATGCGGACAGGTTGGTTATACTCGTTCCCTTTTGTTTTCTTTATTCATCATATGTGTGTCTCATAAAATTTTGCATTCACTATGCAAATTGTAGGGTTAAGAGTCTCTCAAAGGGAAACGCCTCTAAGAAAGATGTATCTTCTTCGACCATGAACCTACGAGAGTCCACAAAAATTCCTTTGTCTTCTGCACTTCCAACTCCATCTAACTATGATGATGACGTGAATGAGATGTGGACTGAAGAGAACGATGAATTTGATGCATCGGATTATGAGCAAGATAAACAAATGTGGAAGAAAAACGGGAAGCTAGAGCCATCCTACAACGGTATGGCACAGGAGAGAATCCCGAAACCTACTATTCAGATGAAGTCAAGAGACATGCCAAGGCCCGATATGAAGAAGTCAAACTCCGATGACAATCTAAATGCACTTCTGCAGGTAATATTTCACTGTTCTTCAGAAAAAAGCCTCCTCTGTTTTATACCATCCTTGACACTAGAATCTTTTTTCATGGGATTTACCAGGAAGAAGAAGACCTTGTGAATGCACACCGTAAACAAGTTGAGGATACGATGAACATTGTGAAAGAGGTATGAACTTGGTCAGTTGTTTTCGTTTCTGTATCTTAAGCTAAGATTCTCTAAAATCCCTTTTTTAATTACCTGCGCAGGAGATGAACTTACTGGTTGAAGCGGACCAACCTGGAAACCAGCTAGATGGTTACATTTCAAGACTGAACACAATTCTATCGCAGAAGGCTGCAGGTATACTCCAACTACAGAACCGTCTTGCTCATTTCCAGAAACGCCTTAGAGAGCACAACGTATTGGTATCTACCACTGGGTACTGACCTATAATCACTCTCTCGAGTAAATACCGGTCCTTTTATCGACCTCACCCTGGGTTTTGCACTTGCCCCTACTGGCTTGGACTGAAGTTCAGAAGTTTATCTGTTTACAGCCTACTGAGAACTTTACAGCAAAGAGTTATGGATGATTACAGAGTTTCTCATACGTAAAAGGATATGCATTCTGTTCTTGCCGCCGCACTTGAATTCTATCAGATTCTTGTAATGGATTTGTTGCAGAAGATGAAATACCTATGTAATATTGCATTTGTGCTATTAATGAGCTTGCCTTCTATTCTATACCATACTTAGTTCTGCACACCATGCCCTATGATCCAATTGAAAAGTTTGCAGATCGGTTTCTGGGAATGGAAATCTCAAAGCATGAGTTATGATTCTCCAATCGATGATTGAAAGCTTCAAACAGTATTGTTCATCGTTTGACAGCATAAGTTGTTGGAACTGAGAAACGGAGTCACTATCAAGTGATGTTGGTAAAACATGAAACAAATAAACAACAAAGCAGACTAAAAACCAAACAGATGATGAATACGAAAAGACAAAGATTGTAATGGCTTCAGAGTCTCTGGCTAGGTCAAGAGTAGAGATCAGTGAAGAACTTGTCAACGATGTTGAGATACACGGGACTTCTAATACGAGAATAGTAATGAAGTGCCTCTTCAACGTCAAGGGCTTGCTCAATATCTCCTGTCTCAGTCATATACATCTCGTTAATCTTCTTCTCCATTGTATCGCAGTCTCTTGATGAATGCGAAAAGCGAGCTTCTGTTTTCTTCACTTGATGATATTGTTCTTGCTCTTGAACCTTGTGCTCCAACTTGAATGGACCTCCAATTCTGTTGTCCAGATCAGACTCCCAGATGTTGAGGAAACTTGCATATATATTGTCGCCATCGAGAGAATTTGATCTGCAAAATGTGCAGGAGAAGTGAGTTTTTGGTCTAGGAAGTTTCTTACCTGCTCGGAGAATGATGGACTTGAGACTGTGAAGTGTTCTTTGGAAGAAACTGTTTGTTTTCTGAAACATCTCTCTTCACTTCACTGCGACTGATATGTTCTTCTCGGCAGATCAATGTTCTCTTCACATATATATAAATAATTTTTCAGTCATAGAAATCAAATTATCTGTTTTATTAATGTGTTGATGTTACTTTAGTTTCATAGTATTTTGCGAATGTATCTTTTGTGTCTGTCACTCAGCATCAAAAAGGCTAAAGTAGAAATTTGTCATGTCTTGGAATAAAACCTTTCTCTTTCTTTTTTTTCCCATGTTTATAATAATATGTCTTTCGCTTATCTGAAGATCTTAAATTAAAGTGAATAGTATTGGCTTAGTTTTGGATCACGTATATGGAGAACACCGATAATCAAGGAACCGTACTCTTTGTGAATAATCATGTTTCATAAGTTTGACCATTGGACCTACTTCATGTGTTCATTTGAATAAGTGGAGCTATTTCTTTCAACCAAACACTAAAAAGTAATAATAACTGGATTATTGGGAGGCCCATTCATTCATTGTATATCATCATCTAAACACAGAATTTCATATTCAAGCACTTACACGCCCTTGAAGGTTTTCCATAATATCAACATACCTCAATGTTTTTATTTTAGTATATACTCAAACTGTTTCACAATACTTAGGATTTTTAAATGATTTTTCTTCGTTTCATTTTGTTAATTTTTTTGTAACATTTAGATGAATTTGATATCTTGTGATTATATTTTGCACTATTTCCATGAATGCTTAAATTTTTAAAATTAAAATATTAAATAATCTCTAAATTTTTAGCCTTCTTCAATGGCCTAAGAGACACTACGATTGCACTCAGGCCCATATACCTAAAAAAAACATAGACAAACCCATTAGTATAAAGGCCCATTAATTAGCTACAACCCTAGAATCAGAAATACAACATTGGTATAAATTGGCTGTCTTAAAAGTTGAGCATCTTCTTCTCTGAAGCCGTATCCTAGGGTTTTCTTGCACGCAATTCGCTCCAATGGTGATCTCTCTTATCTCTCTCTCTATAGTTTCTCGTCAATTTACACCTAGAAACTATCTCTGATCTTGTTGTGGAACTTTTGAGTATTGCAGGGAAAGGGAACAGGAAGTTTCGGTAAGAGGAGGAACAAGAGTCACACTCTCTGTGTGAGATGTGGTCGTCGTAGTTTCCACATCCAGAAGAGTCGTTGCTCTGCTTGTGCTTACCCTGCCGCTCGCAAGAGGACTTGTAAGTTCCTTCATTTTTTTAAAACTTTCTCTCAAGATGTGTTTCATTTTCTCGATCTAGATTAGCTTAGTCTTCTCATTATGTTCATTCTCCATTTTGGTTAGTGTTTCGTTTGGCACATGATTGTGTTTGAGTATGCTTTGCATTTGGATAGATTACTTAACGAATGGAGCAATTGCTATAATCGTTATGAAGTAGAGCAAGGCTTATCTATGTAGCTCGATTGACTTCTCGATTAGTTCTTATTATAGCTTGAAATGTTTAAACTTTAACAGTTCTTTTATGTCTTTGGTTCAATTGATTTGTTGAGTAATAATCGATGGAATTTGAGGGATTAATGCTCATTTTTCTCTCTTAGCTCAACTCTGATTATGAAAGAGTGTGATTGTTTCTTTCGTATATAGACAACTGGAGTGTGAAGGCCATCAGGAGGAAGACTACAGGTACCGGAAGGATGAGGTATCTCCGTAATGTTCCCCGTCGGTTCAAGACTGGTTTCAGAGAAGGTACTCTTATCTTACCTTGACTTTGATTAACTTGTTTTCTTCTTTTCTATTCGAGTCGAAATGGGGTTTTGATGGCACATTTCTGTCTTTACATAGGTACTGAAGCCAAGCCAAGGAACAAGGCAGCAGCTTCATCAGCTTAAAGAGCCAGTTCGAGTAATCTCTCAGGAAGGACTAAGACTTAGCACTTTTCGCATTTATCTAGTTCAAGATTACTTTTCATGTGGATCTGATACATCAAATGTTTTGTGGGTTTTGTTTCTTTTTCGTCATTCACTTATAAAGTTTTGAACTTGGTTTAAATATCATCTCACATTTGCATCTTCAACAAGCCTTCTTATACCTCCCCTCTTCAAATTACATTGATTGATTGATTGATTCTTACATCTTGAAGCTCATGAAAACCAATAATAATCCATTCAATAACCTAAAAATTGGTTTCAATCGACCAGTGAAACTCTTGTCCCTGGTAGTGTAATAAATAATCGTTGACATTGGGTATAATTGGAATTTCGGAAATAAGCGGAGAACTAAAAAATTTGGTCTCAATCGGAAAAACATAGAAACACCGCTTCCTCCTCCGCTTCTTCGTGTTTCCGTCGTCACTGTCTCTCTCTCGCCACGCAGATTACGATTCGTTGATATTTTAGCTAATCCTCTCTCTTAATTTCTTAGAGACCATCTTCTCCCCAATTTCGCCGCAGGTTAATACTTTCTCTTCCCGTAAGTCTCCAAAAATCGAGTCTTTTTACAATTCTCGTGTTTCTTCTCAATTAGTGATTGGATCAATTGAATTTCCTTCTTCCGATTTGATTTCGTCAATTGATCCGCTCTTACTTTCTAAAGGTCATAACTTTTCACAGATCTATCTTTTGAAATTGTGAAGACGAAGAAGAAGACGATGATTCGACTAAGAACATACGCAAGCCTTAGTTTTATGGCGACTTTGGCTGTAATCTATCATGCATTCAGCAGCAGAGGCCAATTTTATCCTGCGACTGTTTATTTATCAACCTCAAAGATCAGTTTGGTGCTGCTTCTCAATATGTGTTTGGTTCTTATGCTTAGTCTCTGGCATTTGGTGAAATTTGTCTTCTTGGGGTCTCTTAGGGAAGCAGAAGTCGAGAGGTTGAATGAACAAGCTTGGAGAGAACTCATGGAGATTCTCTTTGCCATTACTATCTTTAGACAAGACTTCTCTAGTGGGTTTCTTCCTTTGGTTGTTACTCTTCTGTTGATCAAGGCTTTACATTGGCTTGCTCAGAAAAGAGTTGAATATATTGAGACTACTCCTGCTGTGTCTAAGCTTTCTCATTTTCGTATTGTCTCTTTTATGGGTTTCCTTCTTCTTGTGGATAGTTTGTTTATGTACAGTTCTATACGCCACTTGATTCAGTCGCGCCAGGCTTCCGTTTCTCTCTTCTTCTCATTCGAGTAAGTTGCTTTTGCTTCTTTCATTGTAATGTATGTGTTCCATCTCTAATCTTTAGCAGGACTGAAGACAGTCATACTGGTGATATTATGTAGCTGATGATAGGTTTCTGTTGCAGGTATATGATACTGGCGACAACGACTGTTGCAATTTTTGTGAAGTATGTTTTCTATGTCACTGATATGTTAATGGACGGTCAATGGGAGAAGAAACCAGTTTATACTTTCTATCTGGAGCTTATCCGTGACCTGCTTCACTTGTCCATGTATATCTGCTTCTTCTTTGTCATATTCATGTAAGTTTTTCCATCCAAGTTTTTGGTTCTCCAATCAGATTATTTCAGGAATATATAACGTAGAATGAAACATCTGGGAAATCAAAGATGCTTAGAATTTGTAGAAGAAGCTCTTATTTCTTTGTTAGACTCATTAATATTCTTATTTGCTGTGTAGGAACTATGGCGTGCCTTTGCATTTGTTACGGGAGCTCTACGAAACCTTCAGAAACTTCCAGATTCGTGTTTCCGATTACCTTCGTTATCGTAAGATCACGTCCAATATGAACGACAGGTTTCCTGATGCAACTCCTGAAGAACTTACTGCGTACGTTTCAGATATCCCATTTATTTTGTTATGACTCCACTGAAAGTAGACCAATTCTGAATTTGGTCTAATGGATCTTGGATAGCTCTTGGGGAATTTTATGTTATTGAAGGCATTTCTTTCTTATATGCAGAAGTGATGCCACATGTATCATATGCCGTGAAGAGATGACAAATGCAAAGAAACTAATATGCGGGCATCTCTTTCATGTGCATTGTCTTCGATCATGGTTGGAGAGACAGCAGACATGTCCTACTTGCAGAGCACTTGTTGTACCTCCTGAGAATGCCACATCTGCAGCTGCTAGCCAACGTGGAATACACCAAGGCTCCCAACAGGGTAAATCATATTGCTTCCCATGCAAATTTGCAATAAAATCGAAATCGGTTTATTTATGCATTATAAGTTGAACTAACTGTTTGGTTTTTAGACTCTTAATATAGGGACAGGAAAGACTAATAATTAGTTTTGTGCAAATTGAATCAGGTACATCAAGCTCAAATAACCAGGGCTCTGAAACAAGTTCTGCCTGTGGCGTTTCCAATGATAATTTGAGCAGGCACCACGCCAGGCTTCAAGCAGCTGCTTCGGCAGCCTCCATGTATGGGAAATCAATGGTTTACCCATCTGCAAACACAGTAGCATGGTATGTATTGGTCTGTTGAGTCTATACTTGGTCTCGCGTTGTAGAACTTGTAAGGTGATATATAGGTTCCATAGGATTCTCACCGCATGGTCTAAATAGGAAACTACTGAACTACTGTTCTTAAGAAGCTTTAAGATTTTAAAAGATCAAAGGATACATGTACATCTACAGTTATAGTTTCAGCTTTTCTAGTATCACTTTCCATATCATTTCCTCTTTAGTCCCTCGAGATCTTCCACAATGTGACAAACATGTGATCTCTACATGTTCTTCAGCGATATTTTCTTAACTCCCTTCAATGTGGTAGAGGGAAAAACTGACAAATATGTTTGTCCCTTATGTTAAGGTCGCCGAGTATTCCTGGGACAGAGCAAGTGTCAACTGAACAACATCAAACTCGTCCTTCATCCTTTTCCTCATCTCAGCTTCCTCAAGACAACCTTCCAGGTGAAAACCCTCAAGCCTATGCAAATATGTCAGAGACTAAGCTGGAAGAAATGAGAAAATCTCTCGAGACCCACCTGGAGGTATGTGGTCCCTGAGTAATGTATCTTATGTGAAACTCGAGATGGTGTTTAATTTGATTATTAACGATGCTGGTGTAGATATTGCGAAACCGGCTTCATTTTCTGGAGAAGAGGAAACCAGAGTCCACAGGAGAAGCAGATAACAAAGGAAAGTCGGTTGCGGATGCAGCAGGGGAGTGAAAAAACAAAACTATGGTATGTTAACTGAGGCAGAGCAGATAGAGAGAGGAGAAAGATTGGTGGTTCTTCTCATAGAGACAAAAAAAAAGATGAATCTCCCAAAAGTGTACATGTTTTATTATTAACTGTGATAGAATTTACTAGAAGAAGCTTGAGACTGAATCATAAACCGTGTTTTATTCATTCTTGGGTTTTCATTACTCTCTAGTCTCTAGTATGACTCTTGAATGTTCCAACTTTTATTAAACTATATTTTAAAAAATGCTATCTACCATCTCTAACGTAAAAGTAAAAGCGCTTGATCCTTTGCCCCATACTTTGAGATGCTATCGAATAAAATTAGCGGGTGGGTAGGGGTAGTTTAGGAAAATGAGATTAAATAATTGTTGCATTGCTGTTATTGGGTGGCTCCGTAACTTTCTAGTGGAGAATACACACACGCCCATTGGTGAATCGCCTCAAAAACAGAGACAAGTTTTTTTATTTGCTTCTGCAAAAACATCAATGGCTTCTCGCCGGCGAGTGCTTCTCAAGGTTATTATTCTCGGAGACAGTGGGTAATTTATTTTCCTCTTTTTCGAATATCTCTGAATATTCATTCATTCTCTCTGGATTTTTGGTGTTTGAATTCGACATTTTGGTTATTTGTCTTGCTCAGGGTTGGGAAGACCTCCTTAATGAATCAGTATGTATTCTCTCTTTACTCTTCAGGATCTGACATTTTTCTTCTTAGGATTCGGTTCTTGATTTATCTCCTTTTGTTAGGTTTGTGAATCGAAAATTTAGTAATCAGTATAAAGCTACCATTGGTGCTGATTTCTTGACCAAAGAGGTCCAAATTGATGACCGAATCTTCACTTTGCAGGTAAAATCTGATTTATTGCTCTTAGTGTAGTTTAGTTTTATGTTTTCATTACAAGTTTTAGCTTATGGATTGTCTTTTAAGTGTATTAGAAAAGAGTTATCCAACTAATGTTCAGTTCAATAACTCTTGTTCTTCTCAAAAGAAGAAGATAATTGTTTCAGTGTTCAATGTAACAACAAATAGGATTCATGTAAGTTTTCAATTTTCCCATGTAGATTTGGGATACTGCTGGGCAAGAGAGGTTTCAAAGTTTGGGGGTTGCTTTCTACCGAGGAGCCGATTGTTGTGTTCTTGTGAATGATGTCAATGTTATGAAATCCTTTGAAAATCTTAACAACTGGAGGGAAGAGTTCTTGATCCAGGTTCTAACAAAACCCCCATGCTTTTATCATTTTTTGGGAGTAAATTTTCTGTCATATCAGCGATTGATCAAAATCTTTATCGAGTGTTTAGGCTAGTCCTTCAGATCCTGAAAACTTCCCGTTTGTTGTGTTGGGGAACAAGACAGATGTTGACGGTGGAAAGAGTCGAGTGGTAACATCTTTATTCGTTTTCTCTCAAGTTAGTAAGAATGTTAGAGTTTTACAAATTAATGCTAAGCTACCTCATCTTCAGGTTTCTGAGAAGAAAGCAAAGGCTTGGTGTGCATCTAAGGGAAACATTCCTTACTTCGAGACTTCGGCCAAAGAAGGATTCAATGTCGATGCAGCTTTCGAATGCATAGCCAAAAATGCTCTCAAGAATGAACCTGAAGAAGAAGTGTAAGTCCAACACTATAGCTAAACACCTACATCAGCTCAACTCTGAGCTTGCATTGCCATCACATTCAGTTCATCTTTGACTTTTTCTCGGTTTGTTCATTTAAATGCCTCACAGGTACCTTCCGGACACCATTGATGTAGCTGGGGCTCGACAACAAAGATCAACTGGGTGTGAATGCTAACCAACTTTGTTGCAAGGATTATTAGAAAGAGCATATGTTTTAAAAGAGACCTTTATAGTTTCTTTGACATTATTGTGATGTGTATCAATTAGCATAAGCACCTTTGTTTCTTTCTGCAATTGTATTTCCATCTCATCGATTACAGAGTTAAAAACGAATTTTTGGTCACTTGTTTCATTCTTAATCTCTTCAGCTTCTCGTATATCTTCATTTTCAATGTTAAGAGTAATGAGAGAAAACAACAAACCAAATCTTAAAGATAAAAACAAAATTTCTCAACTTTGCTATTTATATTTCTTATGGCAATATAACTATAAAGTAACATAATGATTTCTATCTTTCCTCTTCTATGTCTTTCTGTGTCTTTTCCTCAAAAGCTCCATTACATTTTTCAACAAACAACTATAAATTTGATCCCTACGTCAGATTCCAGATGCTTCTATAACTCATCTTTAGCAGACGGATCCTTCGATTTCAACTCTTTGTTGATTAAAACAGCCATTTCCTTTGCACTGGATTTCGTCGAAAGCTTTAACTGCGCAACACAAGAGTGTAAGAAAGAAGCTTCGTGGTAGATATAAAAAGAACTGAAGATATAAAAGAACCCTCTCAAAATAGAAATTACCGGATTCTCCTTTTCACCGGCTTTGTAAAGCAAGATTGTCGGATAATCATCAACCTGCATCAACCATCATGATCATGGAAATATCCAATTATAATCACATGATAGGGATCATCTCTTTGCAGTTTGATATTGTTTTTTACCGTTAGCTTAGGATGCTCGTTTGCAGAAGCGTCTATCCTTGCAAAGACAAGATTCTCAAACCCTTGAAAGTGTTTCGACAACTTTTCAACCTGTTTACTCAGAGCCTCACAGTTAATACACCATGGTGTGTGCACCTGTTTCAACGATCATACTCCATGTTACATCCATTTTTATTAGTTCCTTTGCTAAGAGTTTTTGGTTCAGAAGAAGGGTTTCCATTCACAGACCTCAAGAAGAACATTCTCGCTGCTCTTCAAGACCATTTCATCAAAAGTCCTGCCGACCACAGCCACTACGCTTGCATTTTGCTGCAGATTTGAAGAACCCTAAGCAAGATTATTACTACCCAAAATGACATTTAGAAGAGAATATATTATCATACTCACATTATCTGGAATTGGCTGTGACTTATAGTAAGGTGAAACAGTTCCATGCGCAAGTCCGAAACAAAATTCCTACATTCAAAAATTCAATATAGATGACATCAATGAGTTTTCCAAATGTCTAATGAAGGAAATAAAAGTTCTGAGAAAGTTTGTACTTCTATATTGCTAGGAGATGGATCCGACTCAAGCAAAAACTTGGAGTTCAGGTTGTTGTCGAATGCAGCAACCTGATAAAGAAATAAATATTAATCCCTGTGACTTGTAGCTTTACCAATAAATCAAGAAGTGCATAGCCAGCAAGTATAAGCGCTTATTCAGAAAACTTACAACAGTTTTCTTTGCATCTTCTATCCCAAATAATGTCAAGAATGGCATTGCGAGGTTTTCATTTGATATGTCAATATATATCAGCATAAGCTGCACGGTAGTAGCATAAACATAAATACAAGAGACGGTGGGTTTACTAAATCTATTTGGCTTTTAATAAGAGATTTGGGATTGGAAAATACCTTTGATATGAACTTTCTTGCAATATCTTCTAGAGGCTGAGCAAGACTTCCAAAGTCATCACTCTTTGAAAAGACCATAACCTAACCAAGAATATGATATCACAACTGTGTAAGCGAATATAACATAGCAATTTACAACCAACAGAGATAGAGTGAAAACTGGCATCGGATACTAGTTGAATATAGTAAAACATCTCACCTGAAGCTTGACTGGACTGGCGTAAACACGAACGGTGTTGGATTCAGTCAATTTTGTAACCAAAGGGAATTTATTACTGTTCAGAAATTCCAATATCTTTTCGGCTTGGAGAGATCCATCTGCATGGCCAGTACATAAGATTCATAATTTGGACAGTAGCATACAACACAATAGAGTAACCTTTGCATACACCAATACTCCAAAACAAAATTGACAAAAAGAAGCACTTTTTCAAACTTATAACCGATTCTCAGGCTGTAAATAAGGGGAAAAAAATTATGATAATAACAGAAACCTATTAACATCAAGGAGCTTACCGTATACAGTGTACTTTTCAGCCTCAGTTTTAACCAAGCCAACAAACACATTGTTGGTTTTAAGGTTAGGGAAGAGAAGCTTAGCAACATCACTGTTGCTTGTTTCTACAAACTGGATTTCGTTGTCTAACGACGCAGCTTTTACAAATTCATCACGTCCAGAAGAACCCTGAGCAAAAACGTATCCAAAAACACATTACATAAAACCAGTCTTACTCTAAATAAACGAATCTATCCAAGTATCACTATCTGAATACCTCAGACTTTTCGAATAGACCGAGAATGAAAGTATGATGCTTCTTCAGAAATCCTGAAGCTTTATCAACTGTATCAAGTTTAATAGTAGGCACACCAGTCTTCTTTTGCACCCAAATCACTATCTCCTCTCTGAACACAACAAACCAAAATCAAATCCATTAAAAGCTGATGCTTAATTAAAAGCTCAAGACTTTGCATTTCCAAAAAGATACTTTAATCGGTATTGAAGCAACTTACGAGGAAAATCCACCAGTGTAAGACTGAGATGTGCCATTAACAAACAGAAGAAGCGTTGGGAAACCTTTAATCTCAAGCTGCGACGCCACTTTCGAATACCTCTCACCGTCAATCTTAGCCATCAAAACCGAACTACTAATCTCCTTCAAATCCGTCGCCGCCTCCGCAAATCTCGGCATTAGCTCAGCACTCCTAGCACACCACGGCGCGTAACCTAAAACCATCACATACTCATTCCCATCAATCAACCGCTTCGTGTTGTCTCCATTGAGTTCCACCACGATCCTCTGCGCCTTACTCACAGTCTCCACTTCAGATTGTTGCTCTGGTCTCTCTTCCTGCAATTGTTCATCCACCGCTAAGAGCTGCTCCAGATCGTCTAATTCTTCCTCGGATCCGGGTTCTTTACCTTCGACGGCGACATCAGAGGAACGGACCACGACGATTAAGAAACTGAGAAGTATGAGGAAGGTGAACAAGATTGAAAATTTGGAATTGGGTTTTGGTTTCGTCAACATGATTGTTACTGGGTTTTCGTCGGATTTTGAAAAGTGGACGAAGAAGTGATGGCTCTGAAATGTAGAGAAAGATCGGAGAAATGTTTATGAATGTAAATCTCACCATGATTTACGGCGGGAGCTTTATGGATCGTTAATGGAAATTTTGATTAAGATTAATTTTTTTTGCCGTAGCATCATTAATTAAACAAATCTTTGTTTTGAATGTTGACCTTTTTTTTTGAACACCAAAATATTGACTAGTAAATTATATATGAAGAAATAAATTGTTTTCCAAAAACAAAACAAAGAAATTGTTTTCTATAATTAATTAATAAAACAAATATTGTAAGAAATAAGATATTTTAACATTTAAAACATTCACAATGGTCAGGTCAACCATTATTGAACTCTGGTGGATATTTGCAACGATGAATTTTTAAACCACTAAACCACCGTAACATAGTTTTTTTTTTATTAATTATTTGTTCCAAATCGCGTTATTACATGCAATGCGAGAAAAATATCAAATCGATATTAAACTACTACATGGTGTTTGAGTATTACAACTTATTTGCACAATAACTTCAAGACAAATCACCCTCGTCTTATTATGTATGCATTGAGTTGCAAATTGCAATAATCACTCGCACTAATTCATTAGATATGGGAGTGAGTGAATCATGAATAGCGGCAAGAACTCTCATTGAACGGTATGGGCTTATTACTAGCAACATCGATTACAAATGTGCATGAGATTCGCTTTGTGTGCCAAATCCTAACCAATTTTCCGACCACATCTCCTCTCGATTGGACTTCAAATTTTAGCTTCACCGGAATCTTTCCGCCTCTCTCCGTCGCCTCTAGGCTTGCTCCGGCACCATATAATGGAACTCTTCTCCCTTCTATAACCACTGATTTCATTTCTTGCCTCTTCTTCAATTGATAATATTCTTTCAACTATCAAAGAAAATTTATGGCATACGCAAAAATATTTATAAAACAAAAAAAAACAAACCGGAGAAGAAACAATCTAAACAAACATTGATCAAAAGTGAAACAAAACATGCAAAATATTTTAACTGAAAAATGTTTTGCTAAAATCCAAATTAAATCTGGATAGAAATTAAAAACCATAACCATATCAAACTAAATAGAACGATATTTTTAGGTAACTTTAACGTGTGATTATTACAAAGACGTTCGGTAATATGCAAAATAAATTACCTCACCGGTGGCAATAGAGAGTTGATAGAAGAAGAGATTGATTGGGGTCGAACTAACATGAACACCAAATATTGGGGCAGGATTGTAAATACGAATTCTTAAAGTTCCATTTAAAGTCACCACTTTGGTACTTACTCCAGAGAAATCTGATCCTTCACCAACATAAAAGTTGTGTAGTTCGAATGTCTGCATCACTCTAATTAATCACTAACCACACATTTCAAATTAAGAGAAAAATTAATATAAATCTTTGAGGAAAAAAAAAATGTATTACCTGAACAGAGATTTGAGCCTTGTAAGGTCTACTAGCTCCCCAAACAATAAAGCAGAAGAAGATAAAGAGAACCACCAAAGTAAAAACGGCAAGTAGTGCTTGACACCTTCTTATAGACGTCGCATCGTCCATTTCATCGTATGATGAACCTTCTTCAAGTATAAGGTCCTTACATTCTTGCTCGTTAGACTTCCACTTCCTGCCGTTTTTTCTCCCTGAAGATGATGATCGGAACCCGGAGAATCTACTCGCCGATGAGTTACGTGAGTGACGGCCTAAGGAGGAAGAATCGTGTGTAGGCGAGTCCATAGGGCTCGGCTGAATAACTGACGTCGAAGAGTCATCACGTGACGGGCTTTGCACGTAGTAGAAAGTGCGTTTTGAAGATCGTGACGGTGACAACGACGAAGCCGCGAGACTTGTTTCTGAATCTGATTTCGCGGAAAGCATCGTGAGTTACTTATCACTCGACCTAATCTAGACTACATATACGTACACTCAAAATTAATGAAAAAAAAAAACAGAGAATTTGAGAGTAGAACATCAGAAGAGAGAATGTGGTGGTTTTAAAGACATTTTGACGTGGGAATAAGACAGAATATGCGAGGAAATCAATAGCTGGAGCCTGGAGGAGTGGGATGCTGACCGTTGATGGAGATAGATGTTTTAATTTGGGAATGTTGTTTTTTCAAAGTGGGTAAAAGAAGAATAGCATTTTAAAAGGAAAAAAAAAAAAAAAAAGTGAAGCAATGGGTTTCTTGTGGTTGAGGTATACCCGAGGCTGAATCCAAACCTGTTAGCTTAGGTTTGGAAGGGAGTGAGTGAGTGAGTGAGTAAATGTGTATCGGTGGAGTGAGCTTACTTGTCGAGCTATTATTCGTTAGATGTTCTACAATTGCATCACCGTTGGTTTTGAAACTTTTGATTAATTAAATGATGGAACTAAGGCTGTAAGTTAACTAGTGGATTAACTTTTGGGTATCTTTATAGAAAAATCTTTGTTTTAAAGCTAATTATTAATTTGGAGAGGAAGGTTTTACCTACAAAAGAATCCTTAATCCATAAGTTTGTATTCTTTGTTATTTCTATCTATTATATGGAAAGTTGATGGTGCTCATCTCTACTTCCAATATCTGTAATTTAGATTTATTTAGCTGTCAAAAAAAAAAGTGTTAAATTTATTATCAAAGAAAATAATTATTCATAACAATAGAAAACATTATTAGGTTTGATAATTTCATTTTTGGTGGTCTATTAAGTATTCTTTTTTCTAATCAGAAATGATATTATGACTTAAAGGTTGGGCCTTAGTTTGATCGGCCCATTTAGCAACAAACAGAAACAGAGACACATTACTCAAGATCACATGCAGTTTCAGAACTCACAAAATCGGAGTTGATATATATGAGCCTCTCCATCGTTATCCTCTCAATCAGAGGTCTGAAAACGACGTGGACACACGTCAGATAAATCATTCCTACAACTCTGATGACTCATCAACATACCCTATAATCAGCACACCTTAATTATCAAAATCACAACAGAACCGATCCATTTATGATTTGTTACTATGTCCTCTCTTAAAACTTGTGACCAAAAATAAAGTTAAAGATAAGAAGAAAGAAGAAGAAGAAATATTTTCTTATCTAGATATCCACAAGGTAATACAGTTCCTTAAACTCAGGAAGAAATTAAGAGAAAACGACAGAAACACATGTGGAGATTCTCTCCCTAAAACATGTCCAAAACGTGACGTACAATTCATTTTATCTTCTCCTTACGAGTTATCTTCTAATAGGAATCTCTTTTTTGTTTTAATTTAGAAATTTTGAGTCTTTGAGTAAAAGATGTTGGAAGGGAAAGCGAAGGTGGAAGAGACAGACATGCCAGTGAAGATGCAAATGCAAGCAATGAGGATTGCTTCTCAATCTCTCGATCTTTTTGATGTCTTTGACTCTATTTCCATCGCTGCTCACATCAAGAAGGTTAGTAGCTTTTCTTTATTTGAGCGAGATTATAAAGTCTTCTCTGGCTAATAGAAAAGTTGGTGTTATAACTTTTCAAAAATCATCAGGAGTTTGATGAGAGATATGGAAGTGGATGGCAATGTGTTGTGGGAACCAATTTTGGGTGTTTCTTCACTCATTCTAAAGGAACTTTCATCTATTTTCATTTGGGGACTCTCAACTTCCTCATCTTCAAAGGCGCCACTCTTTAGTTTCTAAACCACATCCATCTTTTTTTCTTTCTCTTTTAAACTCAAAGTAGCTTTGTTCGTGTAAGAATTAGCTGTTCTTTTTGTCTTTCTCTTTTTTTTTTTTTTTTTTTTTTTGTAATTATAGCTCTTGTTTCCAATAAAATTGTGAGATAATGTATCATTTTGGGGCTAAATAAAATAAGAGGTTAATTAAGAGAAGTAAATGGCTTTTAACTAGGAGAATAAATATATTGAAAAAAATAAACAGATTATTATTTCGGTGTGGCATATCAAATAATTTAAAATAGAATTATGAAAATCTAATTAATTTAGTACTAGAATATAACATATAAAAGCTATATTATAAACAATATGATCTCTTAAACTTCAAATGCGAAAAAGTGCATAGATATTTTTACTTGGTTACAATTTATATAAATAGTAAAGTGAAAAAGTTCAGCTCATATGTTTTTTTCTATATGTTAACACAGCATCTTAAAATATAAACTCAAAATCCTAAATTTGTTTATTATAACTGTAAATGAGATATTAATCGAAGGCATTTTTGGACAACAAATCGGTTAGTTAGTTAGAGAATATAATGAGGCAAAAGGAGAAAAAAAACAAAGCATCAACAGAAGTCAAAAGCTATTCTGGATTTGCCTTTGCTCTCGAGTGTTATTATTACCACACGGTTTCGTTTATGAGTTTTAAGATGTTTTTTTCTTAATTCTTCTTCACAAACAAATTAAAAACTCTGTTTTTGAATCTCTCTTGTTCTTTTGTTTCTTTCTTTACATTATTATGTCTCTCCCGCCTAAAAACTCCTCTGTGTTTCAAGAGGAGAAAACAGAGAGATTAAAAAACAGAGAACCTCTCATTAGATTTAAGAAAATCATGGAAATGGTGAAAGCGGGTGAGCGAGAACAAGAAAGCTACAAGTCTAAATTGGTTGATTTGGAGACCGTGAAGAAGAGGTCATCTTCAAGGCACTTCAAGAGATGGAACTCAGATTCCGCCTTGAGAATTGAAGATCCAGACATTGATGATGGCACTGTTTTCAGGAAAACGGCGACCTCAAGCATCCAACCAATTCTACCGCTTCGATCGCCTCTGGCTAAGGATGAGCCACCTCAGCCGCGTGAAGCAACTGATGAAGAATTACAGCAAGATTTAGGTATGAGAGAAAACATTTTTTATCCATGCTTAAAATTTAAAACCTTCTTCTTTGATCGATGAGTTATACCGAGGTTTCTTGGGATGCAAACTAAGACTATAATGAGTTACTACATTATAGGTTTGAGGTTCGTGGGTCGCAAGATAACACAAATGAGAGATTCATAAGATTCACTCATGTTATTGGATTATATGTCCAGGCTTCCTAGGTTACATTGAGAAATTCGTTATAGACTAAGTTATTTTGAGGTTTCGTGGATTGCAAGCTAAGTCATGTTATTTTGCATATGTTGCAGAGAAGGAGCAGATGAAAGATAAGTTTGCGAAATTGCTTTTAGGAGAAGACATGTCAGGTGGAAGCAAAGGTGTTTCGTCAGCTTTGGCATTATCAAACGCAATCACAAATCTTTCAGCTTCTGCGTTTGGAGAACTAAGGCGTTTAGAGCCAATATCCGAGGATAGAAAAGAACGATGGAGAAGAGAAATTGGATGGCTTCTCTCTGTTACTGATCATATAGTTGAATTCTCTCCAACACACCAAACTAACGAGGATGGATCTTCCATGGAGGTTTCTTACCCTTCTTATTATAGTTTTTGATAGAAAGTTTCGTTTGTGTCTGTGTCTGAATCTGAATCTTTTCTTGTAGGTAATGACTACAAAACAGAGAACAGATCTTGTCTCCAACATTCCTGCTCTTAAGAAACTCGACGAAATGCTCCTCGTAAGTCAAAACAAATACTTAAAATTGTTTCTTTGTATTTGCATCAAAAAGATCTGAGGTTGTAACATGTCACAAAATTCTGTAGGATTGTCTTGATCAATTCAAAGATCAGGATGAGTTTTACTACGTCACACCGGGTTCTCCGGAATCTGAAAACAGTAACTCGACCAGGAACGATGATAAATGGTGGCTTCCGATAGTAAAAGTTCCAGCTAAAGGCTTATCTGAAACGTTGAAAAGGTTTCTACTGAGTCAGAAAGAGTGTGTGAGCCAAGTGCTTAATTCCGCAATGGCCATAAACTCTCAAGTTCTTACTGAAATGGAGATCCCTGAGAGCTACATCGACTCACTTCCTAAGGTATAAACTCTAAACCCTAAACCATAAAGTCCGAGACCTATCAACACATCAAGAATTGGTTCCCTTTTGATTTGGTATGCTTATTGATGTGTGTTTTTCTTTAACTGAACAGAAAGGGAGAGCTAGTCTTGGAGACATGATCTATAGAATGATAACATTAGAGATGTTTGATGCAGAGCAGTTCCTTCTTGAAATGGATTTATCATCTGAGCACAAGATTCTTGATTTAAAGAACAAATTCGAAGCTTCGGTTGTGATATGGCAGAGAAAGATAGTGCAGATAGACAACAAGTCATCGTCTCCATGGAGTACGAATTTGAGTATGGATAAGAGACAACAGTTAGAAGAAAGAGCAGCAACCATTTTGCAACTTATCAAACAAGAATTCCCAGGGATCTCTCAATCTACACTTGACATTAGCAAGATTCAATTCAACAAAGTAATCAATCAGATAACTTTATATTAAAATCACATTAGACGAATAATTCTTTGTGTTCTGTTTTAAGAAAATCTTTAATATTGGTTTTGTAGGATATAGGGTTAGCTATAGTGGAGAGTTACTCCAGAATTCTTGAGAGCTTGGCGCACACGGTAATGTCAAGAATAGAAGATGTTCTTGAAGCTGATCAGCTAGCACGAGACCCTGAGCTCGCGGTTTGTAAGAGATATATAGTGGAGGAAACAGAGAGTCCAAAGAAGGAAGAAGAACCAAACTTTTGTCTTTTAGAGGAGAGACCGAAAAAGCAGAAGCCTACCATTTCACTCTCTGAGGTAATGCAATGGAATATCGAAACCAATGAACCGAAGAAAGAAAAGAGTGATGCACAGTTAAAAGATTCAGGCAAGAAACTGTTGACGAGAGTGTCAAGCATGATCATGTCTAACAACAAGAAGACTACTTCTTATCTTGAATCTCTTGGAACCACAAGAAGTCCAACCGCTGGGCGATACTCTTGAAAAAAAAAAGATTTCTTTTGTAAAATTAGGGGAAGAAAAAACGTTTCAAATGTAACGGATAAACAGAATATACATAAATTCACTTAAAGGGTTTCCAGTATTGAGAAGTGTTGATGAGTTTTAGAAGAAGGATGAGAGTAACATGAATATAAATTAGAGTTTGCCGCGAGGACCGAGCTTAGGCGGCTCCTGAGGACCTCTCTTGATGGGAAGAACCTCGCCAGTGGAGGTAGCGCTGACATAAGTAAGCAAAGAGCCTCCTCCAAGGATCAAGAACTTGAGGAGCAATCCTCTCTTTGTGAATGGGGCAGCGAATGTCTCAAAGAACTTGCTCTACAAGTAAACAAAGAAGAAGAGAAACACTTCTCAGAATAGTGTTTGTTTGAAGTTGAAAATTCAATTTAGGTTATGAGATAAACAAACCTGAAGAGGATTGTAAGGAGAAGGAGCATCAGAGCCGTATACGTCCCATTGACCTGTTGTGTTACCCAAATCTTCTAAGTCAAAGTAGACACTTTTGTCTCCATACTTAGCCACCACACCACCAGCCCTAGTACACATGAACAACCTCAAGCTAATTGATGAAAATACCAAAATTTAATCCGTTTTAGCTAATCATCACTATCTATAGTTTTGATACACACTTTTGAATTTACTGTATCATATAAAGTTATGACCTATATGAAATTTGAAGTCCAATTTATAGTGTGGTTTTAGTGGCATTTTGATCCTAAAGTAGTACATAAATGAAGAGCTTTAATTACCGAATGGATTTAGGTTTGAAGCTCAGGCGGGAAGGCTTGATGGAGAGCTTAGCTCCGGCAAGTGAGCTTCCGCCGAGGCCTTTTATGGCGGCGGATGGTTTCACGGCGGCGACGGTTGCAAGAGACGCCATGAGCTTCGATCACTATTCTTTTGTTGTGTGTGGTGAATGGGAATTTGTTGTTCAGGAGATAATAGCCTTCACAAACTCAAAATGTGTGGATTTTGATCTTCTTCTGACACGTGGCAACTGAGATTTCCTCTCAAAGATTTTCTTACGCCACTTGGAAAATGGCACGTGGAATCTAGTAAGATAAGCCTATCTTCTAAAGGTTTTAGGAACCCTTCTTAATGTTTTGGTTTTGGAAAAAAACCCAATACTTTTTAGGTGTACTAAAAGCCCCACCCAGTGGCAATTTCCCTAAATCACGATATTTTTGTTGTTTTTTTATAGATTTGTGAGTCACCACCACTTTTAATTTGGGTTCTGATCTTGGGTCTAGAAAATTAAAAAAAAAAATCAAAACAAATAGTTAACGTTAACAATTTTTTAAAAAAAGTTCGATAACCTTTTGTGTCATCTTTGGCTTCGATTGGTGTTAGTATTTAAATTTGTGAATGGAGAGACGAAAAAGCAGCCGTCGTGGACGAGGTGATTCCATATGTAACATTATTCACCATTTAGCATAATTGCAGTGTACGTGTGACTTTTAGCATAATTTCACACTAACAATTACTTGTTCTAATCTATCCACATATTCCACACTGCCTAATTCATTGTTATCAGTGACACCTTAAATGGACAAAATCATCACTCAGAAGTCTTTCACAAACCATTTTTTGATGAAGGTCTAAAAATCTTTTAAGTACCTCTCAGTAGAAGTTTTTGATGAACTAAAATAAAATTCGTTTTGCAATGGTTAATGTCGTGTTTATTTAGGTTTTTTGAAGTATATTTCTATAAAAAGTACGTAAACTGAAGTAGTGAATCGAGATTAATCATTTTGCAATGAATCTCGTATAAAAAAAAAGACGAGAAGTGGGGTCATCAAACACATGTTTGAGAGGACAAGAATATTCCACGAGAGTGTGGGGATCTAATTGACCCCTAAGAGATGGGAGAGGCACTAAAGAGAGAAGGAAATAGACGTCTTTCTAAATGGAGTTTGTCACGTGACGGAATCTTATTGGAATCCACAACCAAAGTCACTAGGCTCTGTCCTTTTCCACACATGAAGAGAAAATCTCGGAGATTCCAAACTTGTGGCGAGACTCGAGAGAGATGCGACTGGCCAACAATAAATAAACATATTTAGACACAAAATCCTGCGGTAAATAATTAACCATTGCTAATGCCTAATGCATAGGATCCTGCTACTTTGCTAGCAAATGCGTGCCACAGCTACTTTACCACCTCACTTAAAGAAATTAGAATCGAACTTCGTTGAGAATGATTATATACCACTAGACCAATAAACTTCTGTCAACATTGATCTAAGCTATATTTTTTTTTTTAAATGAGGTTCAATTTTTTGAATAGAACCAAATATTTTTCAAACAATGTTATGTTACCAAAAAAAGGCTTGTAATAGACTCGTTGCATATGAGGAAATGTTTTGGTGCATGATTTAAAAAGATGAATACGATAGAAAAAAACATATCCGATGAATCTGACGAAAGAAGAATATGATGCATACAATTAGGTAAGATTAACTATAAAAATAGGAAATTTGTGATATACCTGTCGAGTTGGACCCAAATAATCGCCAAGATAGACTTTACACATAATATTGAGCTATGTGTATTGACGTCGATTAGCACAAAATTGACGAGATAAACATACGGAAAACGGGAAATGAAAGGAAGTTGTTTAAACAAAAAGGGAAATTGCAGTCCAACTTGCAACTTATAATTTATTTATTCATAAGTTGTTGTGAGAAACAGTTATTTCTCACAAAACATATTTTATCATTAAAAAAACATCCATCCATGTTATGCATGGTAGAATAAGACAATTGTGAGAGAGAAAAACGAACACTAAAAAAATACAAAACAACCAATAGTTATCGCTCCCTTCATGCATGTTATAGACCTGACGTGGAATTCAACATAACAGCTACGATTCCAAGTTCCAAAGACTACTTTGTTTTGTTTGAGATATCACAAAAAAAAGGCACAACGTTATAAAAATTGCAAAAGTCGATTTTTTGGGTTACGAAAACTAGTGGAAATTTCTTTTAATTTATGAAAAGCATTTCAGTTTAGTAGTAACGTTTTATCTTGGTCAATGTCAATATTTACTCATATTTGTTTGGAATTAAATTATTGGTAAGAAAAATCAAGTCAAAAGAAAAAAATGGTAAGAAACAAATCCCAAACTGGTTAAAAAATAACATGAAAAGGGAAATGTTGACAAAATAACTGATAAATAAACAAAATACTATACGGAAGATATTTTTTCATATTTAAAAAAATAATCAGATGGGGGTAATTAAAAAAATGTTTTAAAAATTAAGAGGTAAATTAATAAAAAAGAAAATGAGGGTCTCTCATTGCTCGTAAAAGGCCTATATAATGACCTAATGCGACTCTTCTTTCTTCCATCATTCTCGGTTAAACTGTGAAACACATAAATAAAACAAAGAGAAAGAGAGAATATGGGTGGGTGGGCAATTGCAGTACACGGTGGTGCCGGAATCGACCCAAATCTTCCGGCAGAGAGACAAGAAGAGGCGAAACAGCTTTTGACTCGTTGTCTTAACCTCGGCATAGTAGCTTTACGTTCAAATATCTCCGCCATTGACGTCGTTGAGCTCGTCGTACGTTCTCTCTTCTCTCACAATCAATTTTGATATTTACTCTACGGTGGTTTGTTGATTCATTTATTAAAACAGATTAGAGAATTGGAGACGGATCCTCTGTTTAATTCAGGCCGTGGATCTGCTTTGACGGAGAAAGGAACGGTGGAGATGGAAGCTAGCATTATGGACGGTACGAAGAGACGATGCGGTGCCGTTTCGGGGATAACCACCGTGAAGAATCCAATATCTCTTGCTCGTCTCGTCATGGACAAATCTCCCCACTCTTACCTTGCTTTCTCTGGTGCAGAGGATTTCGCCCGTAAACAGGTGTTTATTTACTCTTTTGCCCCTCCACTTTTTATTCTTAACCATTTGGTTAAATAAATCATCTGACCGAAATTCATTGGTTTGATGAAAAGGGAGTTGAAATTGTGGACAACGAGTACTTTGTCACGGACGACAACGTAGGAATGCTCAAGTTGGCTAAGGAAGCTAACTCCATCTTGGTACGTTTTGACTTAAATCTCCACCGTTCATTTATTCATCGCACGTTTTTCTTTATTATGTATGCTCAACGTTTTTTTTTCACCAGTTTGACTACCGGATTCCGCCGATGGGATGTGCCGGTGCAGCTGCGACCGACAGTCCAATCCAAATGAACGGTCTTCCGATCAGCATTTACGCGCCGGAGACAGTGGGATGCGTCGTGGTTGACGGAGAAGGACGGTGTGCCGCCGGGACATCCACTGGTGGTTTGATGAACAAGATGATGGGAAGGATCGGAGACTCGCCGCTTATAGGAGCCGGGACGTATGCGTCGGATTTTTGTGGTGTGTCGTGTACCGGAGAAGGAGAAGCCATCATAAGAGCGACCTTAGCTCGTGATGTGTCAGCTGTTATGGAGTACAAAGGACTTAACCTTCAAGAAGCGGTTGATTACGTCATCAAGCATCGGCTTGACGAAGGGTTCGCTGGACTCATTGCTGTGTCGAATAAAGGAGAGGTGGTTTGTGGTTTTAACTCTAATGGGATGTTCAGGGGATGTGCAACAGAGGATGGATTCATGGAGGTTGCTATTTGGGAGTGAGAAATATTTTAGATTACGAAAATGTATTAGTATTTGATTAGTGTGCTCTTAATCAGTCATGGCTCTATTAATTTGGTTATTCATTATAATAAATCTGGAGTAGTAAATTTAGGTATTTCGTTATTGATTTGTGTTTAATGTGGTTTCTAATTGTTAATTCGTGTTTAAAAATTGTTGATCTGTCTCAGCTTCATGGCTTATCATGGTTTAGCTCTCTGCTTCCTGAATGAACCTGACCTGTCACAAATAGCAACTAAACGTATAGTAACTGGACTTTGAGAATGGAGGGATTATCAAAATGAGAGGGAATTATTACCTCTTATGAATCCAGTCTCGATTTGATGAACACTTGGAGACAGTCTCTGAAAGTTTCAAGAACTGCCATTTCCTGCTTCATGTATAAATCTGTTTCATGGACACTTCTCTTGGTCTTACATTGGGAATCCTCTTCTCCATTATATTGAGCATCTATCAGTTCGATCAATCTTCGAAAGGATTGTATTTCTTCTTCCACATTACCGCTTTCAGACTCACTCACTACCTCAGTGTACACGTTGTCTACCTTATCATCAGGCTTTATACATATTCTGTTCTGGTCTTCTACCATTTTGAAGGAAGTATGTAGATGAAACCAAGTAAGACAGGATGGGAGATCTAATGGAGGTAGAGATTGTTTAAGATACAATTGATGATACCTGCATTGGCTGTAGCAGCTTCAGATGCTGCTAAGAGAAGTGAGCATATATCTCCCAAGTCTGGAACAACTGTGGAAGCAAATCCAGTTAAAATATCTATGATTAGGAGGTGAAGGAAGAAGAAATATCATTTAGGAAATGCAAAAACCACACCTGTAAGGAAGCTGAGGAGAGCTAGACATAGGGGAACCCAGAGCATTTTGAATGGAATTGTCAGTTATCGAAAATAATGGAGCTGGACAAGAATTCCACTGCTATTCCGGACAGAAAAAAAATGAGTTTTGTGGAGATAAAACCAAAAGTGCCTATTTGTTATGAAGCAAGTAGTATATTTCACTTACCTCAGGTAGCTCTCGGTGTCTTCTTCTCCGGTATACCTGTGGGGAGTTGTGAGCAGAAAATCCAGGAGCATAATTCATACAACCAGCAGTATTGTGGCTGTTAAAGCCGACACTGTCTTCGCTAGGAGAAATGATTTCTAGATCATTGACAATGTTCTCACAGACAATCTTCTTCTCTGGATTATCAAATCCTTCGTCAAGCTTCCTACTGTTTAGTCCCCAGACATTCTTGCAGTTGATGCATTTACAGTTGTCTGAGCACAAAACATTAGCCTGAAAGCATTCACAGTACTTCTTCAAGCACTTGGTTCTTTTGCATTTACAGCCTCTCGAAAGCAGTCCAGGTCTAGTATCAGGTGCAGCCTTACACTATAATACAAAGCACAAACCATTCCAGATACTTACAAATCAGAAAAGATGTGAGATACCTCTTTGAATCTTAACCTAAGGCAAGTGTTTTCTTATATATACCCTTCTTTCTTCAGTCTCACAAAGTGATAGGTTTGAAGAACATACCTGCTTGTAATTTGTGCTGCTGAAAAGTTTTTCATTGAAGGCATTTGGGTTGCGACCTAGTACATTCACCACAGCTGCATCTCTGGCATCACAGTTGTCAGAGTTGTTATGACAATCAGCACAATCACAGTTGGTACATAACACTCCTGATGCAAAACAGTCACAGTACCTAATAACCAAGCGTCAAACAAATGTCCAATAACCCATCAATTCAACCTCAACTTGAGATAAACAAAAAGATAGTATAGACTGAAGTAAATTCTATAGAAGATAAGCTTAGAAACCTCTCTATTCAACATTATAGTCAAATCTCTATCAGCTTAACACTAGTAATTCTTGGATCCTGAAATGAACTTACAACTTTAAACATTTGGACTGCTTGCATCGACATCCTTTGTGCTTCCTCGAAGTAATGCCTTCCTGATCTGTCGTATCCTTTGTTTCTGAATGCTCTCTGCTTCGAAATCAAAACCAGTGGAGATCAGAGAGTAGATTGTGGATCGAAATTACTCAAACGAAAAGCATATGTAGTGAAAATTGGATGAGAAACTGGAACATTACCGATAAATCGGAGGAAAAGGAGGAAGTTCTTTAACAGGCGACTCAAGGAAGACGGGAGATAACTCCAATTTGGTGAAAACGAGCTTCCTAGGGCCTTTCTCTGTCGTGATTTTACCGGAATCTACGTTACCTGTCATATCGATCCTTCACATTATAGTCGCCGCAAACAAGCTATTTCCTCAATTTGGCGAACCGATTTGAGCATGATCGGTGAGAAATCCTCAGAGAAGCTTCGAATCATAGATCAGATCAGTGTAGCGGAGAGTCGCCATGGCTGACAGATATCATAACAAAAATGGTTTGCTGGATCCTAATTCGGAACGATGATTGTCTCTCGTTTTCTTTTTTTGCCCAGCTCCTAGTGATTTTCCCGGAAACAAAAAGGTTCTCTGAGAACAACGCGAAGGTATTCAAAATCGAGAGAGAGAGAGAGAGAGAGAGAGAGAGAGAGTGATCTTGGAGGGAACGAGGATGACGAAGATGGGAGTTGGAGTCATTGAAATCTTTTTTTTTTTTTTTTTTTTTTTTGAAAACGGAGTCATTGAAATCTAATTTTCATGATTAATATAACAAAATTAGTTCTCTCTAATATTCGAACCCGAGACCTAAGATGCACACTCCCTTTGAAAATTACTGTTAAAAAAAAAAGTGTTTAGATGTTTTGTTTGTTTTCCATGTAAAATTATTATTTTGAAAGTTTTGTTACACCAAAATTTTTTTTTTTTTTTTTGACAGCTTGTTACACCAAATTATTAGTAAAATTATTGATTTGTTTTCTATTATCATTTTTTCCTGTTAAAAAAAGTTTATAATAACAACATGTTAATTTGATATAATATGTGCTCTTACATATATTTTTTAATTTAATAAATTCTGTATATTACTTTAAAATTATAGTTTAATGAAAAAACTAATTTTTTTGATATATTTTTTAAAGTTAGACTAGGTCGAAAATACTAGTAGTTGATAGAAGACATTAACTGCATTTGGCATTGAATAGAATCTTCCTCTAAACTTCAAATAATAAAATCAATGCATATCTGTAAAATGGTAGCTAGCTTAACCACAATTGTTTTTTGTCAACGGTCATGATCACATCAATGGAGCTGCAATATTCTGATGGTCTTTAATTTTTGTAAATATATTTCTAATGGTCTTACTTAAAGAAATTCACGACCTAGTAAATGAAAAACTAGTGGCAGAGTGGTTAACCACTAATCCAGTAATTAACCAAAATAAAAAGTGCATAAATACTCCGATCATCCCAAAGGGCTAATAAAGCGTCACCTTTCAATTCATAGTCAGAAACACGCCACGTGCTGAATTCTCCTCTCGCCAAACGCTTCAGTCGCTATTTCATGGTCCACGACAAAGGCTCTGTTTGGCGATTGCAACCACCTAAGAAGAACGGCTACGTAATTTGACTGTACGAAAAAAGTCGAAACCTTTGAATAGTTTTTTTAACGAACCAAACCACACAACATTACTGCAAACCTAAAAATGACCGCTACGACGACATTAAAGAGTTTCAACTACTTGTCTTTAATTAACCATCGACTCAACCACAACCACTACGCTATTCTCTCCTCTCGTCGTCTTCCTCGATTTCATCTGCCAGCTACTACTTCATTTTCCAATTCTGGGTTTCGATTCTTCCAATCTAACCATCTCTTCTTCTGTAAGTTCTCTTTTATCTGAATTCTACTTTTGTTTGACTTTTGCATGTTACATGTTCGACGAAATGTCTTAATGATTCGTGCTTTCCATATATAATAACGTTGATGATCCGTAAACCAGAACAATTTGTTGTTTTTATATTGAAAATTCTCAGAATCTCCAAGGAACACAAATCTGTTCTTCTTTTTTTTTTTATACAATTAGTTTCTATAATTTGAATTTTTTTATTATTAATCTGAATTATATCTATGTGATGGCTCTTTAATCTATGTAATCAAAATGTTTCAGCTTCAGAGTCTGGTTCACTCATGGAAGTGTTTAAAGCAGCTTTTTCAGAAGGGTCTAATTCTTGTGATAGGATTGCGATTAAAGCCGATGGAAAGAGTTACTCTTATGGCCAGCTAACATCTTCTGCTTTGAGAATATCTAAATTGTTCTCCAACGATGATACTACAAATGTATGTGTTATTGGTTTGAAATTGTAGCTATATGTCTCTAACAGCTTTCTGGTTATTGACTTTTTCTTTTCTCTAATTTTATTAGGGAAGTGAAACTAAGAAGTATGAAGGGTTTGGTAGTCTTAAAGGAGCTAGGATTGGAATTGTGGCAAAACCTTCAGCTGAGTTTGTTGCTGGAGTTCTGGGAACATGGTTTAGCGGTGGTGTAGCGGTTCCACTTGCACTCAGCTATCCTGAGGCTGAACTCTTACATGTCATGAATGATTCGGTATGAAATCTACTTCCTTTCCTATTTTCTTGTGCTTTAATTTCGGCTTTACGGCCACACAACCTCAGGAAATTGTTTGTTAAATTATTCATGTGGTCAATCCTTGGGTATACTTGATCTTAGTTTTGTGATCTCAGAATTTTGATCCATATTCCAAGCTTTTGGTTTTTCTAGCATCAGTTATTTTCCCCAAGACTAGAAAGGGTGCTCTGTAGAACAAAGTAGATAAGATACTAGAAGGCCTAGGTTTTTCTGGTTGGCTCTGTTTTCTACCGCATTCATGCTTAGCAAAATAAGTGTGTCTTATGATTTATTTACTCTCGAGTAAGAGTCATTAACATTTTCTTGGTCGATAACCTGTCTTTGGTTTCTAGGATATATCTCTGTTATTGAGCACAGAGGACCACAGTGAAACTATGAAAACTATCGCAGCAAAGAGTGGTGCTCAATTTCATCTTATTCCTCCTGTTGTCACCTCAACTTCGGAAACTGTTGCTCGCAATCAGTTTCAGGATGATAGTTTTGAAGCAGGAGGAAAGTTTCTAGGTAAGATTTTGAATATACTTGAATTGATGAACTTACAACTCTTTTAATTTATGCAACCTTATTATTGGTCTGTTTTTCTGCATCACTTCAGCCTTTATTTGTGCAGATGATCCAGCATTGATTGTCTACACTAGTGGCACAACTGGTAAGCCAAAAGGAGTTGTCCATACCCACAACAGCATCAATTCCCAGGTATATATCCGACCTGTATATGTAGTGCATGTCATGTTTCAAATCTACTCAACCTGCAGTAGAATGTGTCTGCGCATGTATTTAAATTATGATGGTACCGTATAAGCCAGAAGCTTTTATATGTTGCAGGTTAAAATGCTCACTGAAGCTTGGGAGTACACATCTACTGATCATTTTCTCCACTGCCTCCCACTACATCATGTTCATGGGCTTTTCAACGCTTTATTTGCTCCTCTTTACGCACGGTCTTTGGTAACTTATACTATCAATATTTGCTTCGTCTAGCTCTTTCAAAAATACATTAACTTCTGAAAGCATCAGGCTTGTTATAGGCTTTTTTTATTGATTTTCACATTCCTCATTTAAGGTGGAGTTTTTGCCCAAATTTAGTGTTAGTGGAATCTGGCGTAGATGGCGTGAATCATATCCACAGAATGATGAGAAAAACGACGACGCCATAACTGTATTCACTGGAGTAAGTCTCCTTTATTGTTGCTTTTATTCCAACAAAAATTACTAGTTTATGCATTAGCTGCCCTGCCTCAAGTTAATTGTTTGATTTCTTGTTGCATAAGCCTTTTCTTAAACATGATCTAGCAAGCTTATTAATGGGTTATATTGTTGGTTAGTATTTGAATTGAGGGAAGTATTCACTATTCAATGCGAGTTTACTCAGTTTTATTATGTAACAAAATGATAGGCTTGGCTGAGTTGATCAGTTCCCACTTTGCTTCTGGCGCTCTAGATTTATAAACAAACATGTTTTGCTTTAGAGAAATTTAGCTTGAGATGAGAAAAAGAAAGAAACAGAGAGAGAATTAGCTATTTTCAATTGGTAAAAGTGATTGTTGCGATATACAGGTTCCAACCATGTACACTCGGTTGATACAAGGTTATGAAGCAATGGATAAAGAGATGCAGGACTCGAGCGCTTTTGCTGCACGGAAGCTTCGCCTAATGGTAATAACCAAATATCTCCTAGAAGCGCCAATCCAGCTTAATGTTTCTCATTTATTTGCTTAAACAGCTATTCTATTTTTAAAATTCTGGTGAAAGTAGAGCTTACATGTTAGCCAATGAAATACATTTTCAGATGTCTGGCTCCTCTGCTCTCCCTCGACCTGTCATGCATCAGTGGGAAAGTATCACAGGTCATCGTCTTTTGGAAAGATATGGCATGACTGAGGTGAGTAGATTTTCCAGTCTCTTTGAGTTACCATAATACAATACCTTAGAAAAAGCTTCTTAAGCCTGTTCTTAGTAGTTACATCTACTGAATTAAAAACATTGTTCAACATTCCCAGTTTGTAATGGCAATGTCAAACCCCTTACGTGGTGCACGAAAGGCTGGTACTGTCGGCAAACCGCTTCCTGGTGTGGAGGTCAGTGACATCTTCTTTATCTTAGGTCCAGATTCAATACCTTTTAACTAATGCCACACAGCTAAGGTACTAATACTGTGACATGAAGTTATGATACTGAAAAAGTGTGTAAACATGATAGGCTAAAATTAAAGAAGATGAGAATGATTCAAATGGAGTGGGCGAGATTTGTGTTAAAAGCCCATCTTTGTTCAAGGAGTACTGGAATCTTCCAGAGGTGACTAAAGAATCATTTACGGAAGATGGATACTTCAAGACGGGAGATGCTGGTAGAGTTGATGAAGATGGATATTACGTGATTCTAGGACGTAAGCAGAACCCATAAGTACATTCAAACACAATTTAAGAGTAGTTTGTGTTCCTTCATTTAACATCTTATCTTCTCTGGCTTCGATCAGGCAATAGCGCTGACATTATGAAGGTTGGAGGATACAAGTTATCTGCCTTAGAAATCGAATCAACCCTTCTTGAGGTAACATTAACATCCATTTGAGTTTTTTGGCTCTTTGAAGCTATCAGAAGGTTTTCTCTCCTTGGGAAATAGGCTATAGATTACTAAACCGAGAGAATTTAAGTCGTTGAATGAAATCTCTGGGGGATGTGTTATGCAGCACCCTACGGTTGCAGAATGTTGCGTGTTGGGGTTAACAGACAAAGATTATGGAGAAGCCGTTACTGCGATAATTGTAGCAGAGAGTGCAGCAAAGAAGAGAAGAGAGGATGAGTCAAAACCTGTAATGACCTTAGAAGAACTCTGCGGTTGGGCTAAAGACAAGCTTGCTCCTTACAAGGTACTCTTCAAAATCTCCCAAAATGTTATGAAAACGCACAACAGTCTTGTCAAATTTTCTTTTCTTGCCCATAATAGTCCGTCTTTTCAGCTACCAACACGATTGCTGATATGGGAGAGCTTGCCCCGCAACGCCATGGGAAAGGTAAACTAAAACCCCTCTCAAAGCTTTTTTTCCTGAATGATTTGAGAAATGTTTGTTTGGTGTAATCAACATTCTCAGTTTTTGAGTATTTATTTCGCGTTGCAGGTGAACAAAAAAGAGCTAAAGAAATCTCTGGATAATCAAGAATAAATTCTCAGACAACCATGGATTACATACACATATGCATAAATGAAATTTCCTTTTTTCCTATATCATGTACTTTTGACTCAATAGTGCCAAGAAATCAAGACCAAACTATTTGGAAAGTAAATCTTTTAATCATACTATTTCTTTGTTTACTCATCATCATGAAAAACAAATTTAATGCAGGCTTTCTTTAAGGAGTAGAGTTGACCAGAGTCTTTAATGCAGGCTTTCTTTAAGGCTTAACGTTGACGTATTTAAATATTCGACATTGGCTAATCAGTAATCACCCCCACAAAGGGTATAAACTAGTGAATCCGATCATATATTCCACTCGCAACTTATTTTGTAAGCACGCAAAAAGACGAAGAAGAAGAAACATGGTAGATCCAACGATCCATAACACGACGACGTATCTCGAAGAGATAGCAAAAGGAAATGGGAAAACCGAGTTCGAGATTTTAATCTTGCAAGGCTTAGAACTCATTCATGTCGGGAAAGGAACCTTACGATGTAGATTAGTCGTCACAGATCGTGTCGCGGTAATAATTACTCATCCATCGATCTTGTTTTAATTATTTTTTGTGTTTTTGATTACGAGAGATATTCTCAGGGAGAAGATGGAAGTTGGAACGCCGGAGTGATTACGGCGGTGATGGACTCGATCGGAGCTTCGGCTGTGTACTCCGCCAGCGGAGGACTCCATATCTCTGTTGATCTCAACTCTTCGTTTTATTCAACGGCCAAGATTCACGTTCGCTTTCCCTATCCTCATTTTCCTCAACGTTTTTTGTTATGTTTTTTATAAAGAATAAATTATGAAACACGATAATACTAAATTAGGTAAATTGCAATATTACTATTATTAGTAATGATTAGAAGTGATAATGTGATAATAATAAGATATAACACTACAAATTGCAGGAAACGGTAGAGATAGAAGCAAGAGTGAATGGAAGCAATGGAGGATTAAAATCAGCTGTGATTGAGATTAGAAGAGAAACAAATGGAGAAATCATAGCCACAGGAAGATTGTGGATGGCTCCACTTAGCCTCAAAGTCATGCACAATGTTTCTACTCTTAGTAAGCTTTGATTTTTTCTTAAATTAAATGATTCAATTTCCCATTCTGAAAATTTGATTCTCTTCAATCAAATATCTTACACACATGGCTTTTTTTTTTTTTTTCGTGTAATAAATAAACACACCCATTAATTAACATCATCCTCTACATCCTAAGAAAATCCAAATCCATGATATATAATAATCTAATTACATACAAATATATAGATTTTATAACACACCATTTTGTGATCAACCAATTGATCTTAGTTTAATATTTTAATAACTTCATCTTCTTCTTCTCTCATACCATTGACCTTATCATTCCTCACCTGATCCACCGTAGGACCATACGACCAGCTACACACAACGTAGTAGATGACATTAACGAAGCTCAAGATCGCTAAAATCCAATAGTAATAGTCGTAGTGACCCTTGTTGATATTATCTTCAATCCAGCTAACGTTGCCCTTCTTTGAGCTATTCTTGACCGCATTGAGGATCACACTAGCCAATATATTAGCCACTGCCATTCCTAGACCGAACAGCGAAGCTGCGATACTAGACATGCTTTTAGGAAACTCAGTATAGAAAAACTCGGTCTGTCCTATCCCGGTTAAGGCCTCTGCTAAACCGTGTAGTACATACTGCGGTACAAGCCACATTGCTGAGATGTTCACTGTTGAGTTGGCATCATTTGCGAGTCCTTGGCTTATCGCGGTTTTCCTTCTGTAATGTTCAACAGTTGCGGAAACCGTCATTGCTAAGAATGATATGAATAGCCCTAATCCCATTCGGATCTTGACATTAACCCTAACTGGTCTGCCTCGGATCTTTGAAGCTAAAGGGAGGATTGCGCGGTCGTACAGAACAACCCATGAGATTAAGGCTATGATTGTGAACATACCGAACGATCCAGCAGGGATTTGGAAGGTCGAATCACTGCTTAAACGTCTGTCCATTGATTTAGCTTGAAGCAACTGAAACGAGTTCTGGCTAACGTTTATCGACATCATTATCCCCGTGGACCATACCGGTATCACTTTGACTAAGGCCTTGAGTTCCTCGACTTGGTCCGTTGTGCAGAGCCTCCATGGGTTTAAGGCCAAACCATCAGAACCAAGGTCTTCCTCGCGGTTGCTTATGGCACAAGCTTTGTTTAGAAACCTAAGCAATTGCAATAAAGTGTCAATATCGAAAAACTAACCAATAAACTATATATATGAAACTGATTTCAATTTACCTCAACTTGTCACTTGGAGCTTTGAGTTCAGAATCTTTCAAACGATAATAACGATCTCTGGAGTCATGATGATCCGGCAAAGTTAAGTTCCGGTTCACGTAAGCTGCAGCAACCACTTGAGCTAAACCAGTGAACAGACTCTTGCTCACATTGCGTTTAACGTAGAGAGGAGAGGCCAAAACAAACAAGATACCAGCGAACAGCATGAGAATCGCGGGTATTCCAAACCCGATTTTCCATCCTAGATGATCTTGAATGTAAACAATGACTGTGAAAGCAATCAAGACAGCAACCGATGAAGAAGCATAGTACCAACCGAAAAAGCTCTCAAGAACTCTCTCGTTCTTAGGATTCTCTTTGTTGTCCAATTGATCAGCACCAAAGGCTAAAGAACATGGCCTGATTCCGCCTGATCCAATCGATATAAGTGCGAATGCGGTATACAAAAGAGCCAATTGGGAAGATGTCGCGGAACTGCAGCTGTTTCCGGCTGTTGCTACACACGGTGATGGCTTCACTTGCGGTAACATTGCAGTTAGCCATAGAACCACCATCCCCTGAAACGTTTTTGATTCAGACAATTTATTAAAACAGTGTAGTAGGTTGATTTTCGCCTTTTTGTTTTTGTTTTTATATATATATAATAAAAATGTGTAGTTTTCAGTTCATTCGTAAAATCTGTAGATGTCTTCCAAAAAAAGTACTTCCAAGAACAAGAATCTAAGTATTAGATCAGAATCTACACGTACGTCAATTGTCACAATCATACGAAAACATTATTTTCTTACGGAAAATGATTGATACTCGAGATGAATGATTGATTGCTAGAAGATTTCAAAATCAATAGATGTCACCATGTATATGGTAAGGTTTATTTCAAGACAAGTGGGTGAAATAATAAGTTTGATCAAGAATGGGACAAGTAGTACAAAAACATGGGTCACCAATCGATATTGCTTTCATGTCTAACACTTATATGTTGGCCAAAAACTAATGTCAAATCCTTAAATGGTGGCAATATGTAGGTCCACGTCAGCTTGACCCATATAAATGGACACATAAATAATGAAACTGTAAGTCTATAACCAACAAAAAGTAATAACAAAATGATTTTTTTTTATAGAGATTCAAGCAGTGTGGTCACTCACAATCACAAGTTGCCAGAGAAAGCCCACAAGGCCATAACCACAAAGAAAGCAACAAGGTTTTTTAAAAAATTAAATAATTTTTTTAATAATAATGATATTAAATACTTTATGATTATTTAAGACCTGTTATTATATAAATCACATGGACATTTCAGAACACCTGGCTTAGAATTTAATTTTACCGACTTTTATATTTTTATGGACACAAATATTAAAAAAATCAAAGGGGTTTAGTTTTCCATTCATTGGACAGCAATTTCAGGGAAGCACATGCAACATGTGAAATTTTGACTCTTAATGGAAAAAGGCTTCTAAAAAGCTTAATCATATCAACTCTTAAATTAGAAATTTCACTGTAGATGATTTATCATTAGATATTATAGTACTTAAAGCAGAAATATACAGCTATCAATGATTCAGCAAACAAACGGTAAAAAATTCTAAAATTTTAGTAAAAAAGCCTTGAAATTTACCAAACCAATTTTTTCTTACTATTTTGAGAATATAAATAATTAAAAAATTACATACAAAAACCTCGTACCATTTAATTCGAGGCCCTTAATTCTATGACTTGGTTAGATTTCATAGAATTCTCTTTTTGTTGTCGACGCAAGTAAAGTCAAGTCCCAATTATCGAAAACTGTCAAACCGGAGTTTAACTCCAATTATCGATGCAAGTAAGTAAGGTCCAATGATCGAAAGCCAACTATCGATGCAAGTGAGTAAGATACACACAAACCAGTCTAAACCGATTTCCAATTTTAACAAAAACTCAACCCTTATTGACAGTAAACCGGATAAACATAAACAAACCATTTCCAAACCAAAGGCTAACTGGTTGTTAAACAATGGTAAGTGTCAAAGAACTAGCTGAATTAAAGAGAGTTGAAACTGAACCGGATTAAACCGGAAAAAGAAGAAGCGTAAACCGGTTTAAAAAGGGGACGGAAATTACCAGGAGACTGGAGAGAGAAGCAATGGCAATGGTGAGAAAGCGACCCAAATATGAATCTGAGAGAAAAGCTCCAACGAGAGGCATGAAATTAGTAGCAGCAACCCACATGAACAAGACAGTTTGTCCTTTAACAAGTCCCAATCTGTAATCACTCATCAGATAAAGAATCATGTTCTGTAACAATCCATAGCTCGCCACTTTCTCGAACCCCTCGTTTGCTTCACTCAGTAACAACAAGAAGAGAGAAATTAGTATCAAGATTTGGGTTTTTTTTTGTCTGAGAAGTGAAAGAGAGAGTGTTTGTTACCAATGATGAAGGGCATAGTGAGAAGACCACCCTTTGTTCTTCTTCTTCTAATGGGTTGTTGTTGAAGAATCTCCTTTGACTCTGTTTGATCCGGAGGGTTCTCCATTGTTGTTACCTTTCAGCTTCCAGAGAGAGAGAGAGGAAGAGAGAAAAGAGAAGAAGAGAAAATCTTTGTCTTTGTGAGAGTTTTGAGTTAATGCGATCTTATTTTCAGTTCAGACAGCGAGGAATCTCTGTTTTCTGCGACGAGTGAGCAATAATAAATGGGTGCTATTTAAATATACATTTTTTTTTCTTAAGGCAGATTTTTATTTTATTTATCAATTTATCATAATGGTTTTTATAGAGTGAAGTTTATCCTATTTGGCACACGACAATTTTCATTCTTAGTTAGAACTTAGAAATTCTTATTTAGTAGGGAAAAAAAAAGTTAGATAAAACGTCATTTTCCTAATCTTAGCTAAATACAAGTTGAAACATAAATGCCAAAAATATTTGTTTTTTATACAGAAAATATCTATAAAAAATGAAAAATAACTTATATAGATGTGTATATAGAGATAATAAAACAGTACATTGTACATCAAAGTTCCAATGTTCCATCATCCATGTTACTTACGTCAAACATAAAAAGGTCTGGTGTTGTTGACTTATTTTTAAAAATAAATCCAATTTTTCTTTATTTCCATTTCAAATTAGTTTAATATTTTAAGGATTAAAATAGGTCACACTCAGAAATAATAACTATTCTATAATTTTTCAATAAAATATTTGTTGGAAGTGAATTTTTTTTTTTGGGCAAACGGATGAAAAAATGTAACATGTGGAAGAATAGTCAATCATAAGAATTTCCCTCAAACAAAGATATTTTTGCGTCTACGCCTCACAATGACAGTCAAAGAGCCTTTCTCCATTGTCCTCCATCAATTGTTGAATCCCTTGAGAGACTCCAAGACTCCGAGATATATTAATATATATATAATTATATGTCTTCTAATCCGACTAAATTTTCAAAAAAGTTTATGATATATAGCTTCAACTATATCATTATCCTGTAACTAAACATGTAAATAGCTTTCACAAATCACATCCCATTATCGCAAAGGAACGGATCAAAAGTTTACTAATAATTGAGAATGGAAAACATCCCATGAGGTTAACACCTTTTGTTTTGGTTCTCTTTATTAATTTGTTGGAAGTGAATTTTTTTTTTTGGGCAAACGGATGAAAAAATGTAACATGTGGAAGAATAGTCAATCATAAGAATTTCCCTCAAACAAAGATATTTTTGCGTCTACGCCTCACAATGACAGTCAAAGAGCCTTTCTCCATTGTCCTCCATCAATTGTTGAATCCCTTGAGAGACTCCAAGACTCCGAGATATATTAATATATATATAATTATATGTCTTCTAATCCGACTAAATTTTCAAAAAAGTTTATGATATATAGCTTCAACTATATCATTATCCTGTAACTAAACATGTAAATAGCTTTCACAAATCACATCCCATTATCGCAAAGGAACGGATCAAAAGTTTACTAATAATTGAGAATGGAAAACATCCCATGAGGTTAACACCTTTTGTTTTGGTTCTCTTTATTAATTTGTTGGAAGTGAATTTTTTTTTTTGGGCAAACGGATGAAAAAATGTAACATGTGGAAGAATAGTCAATCATAAGAATTTCCCTCAAACAAAGATATTTTTGCGTCTACGCCTCACAATGACAGTCAAAGAGCCTTTCTCCATTGTCCTCCATCAATTGTTGAATCCCTTGAGAGACTCCAAGACTCCGAGATATATTAATATATATATAATTATATGTCTTCTAATCCGACTAAATTTTCAAAAAAGTTTATGATATATAGCTTCAACTATATCATTATCCTGTAACTAAACATGTAAATAGCTTTCACAAATCACATCCCATTATCGCAAAGGAACGGATCAAAAGTTTACTAATAATTGAGAATGGAAAACATCCCATGAGGTTAACACCTTTTGTTTTGGTTCTCTTTATTAATTTGTTGGAAGTGAATTTTTTTTTTTGGGCAAACGGATGAAAAAATGTAACATGTGGAAGAATAGTCAATCATAAGAATTTCCCTCAAACAAAGATATTTTTGCGTCTACGCCTCACAATGACAGTCAAAGAGCCTTTCTCCATTGTCCTCCATCAATTGTTGAATCCCTTGAGAGACTCCAAGACTCCGAGATATATTAATATATATAATTATATGTCTTCTAATCCGACTAAATTTTCAAAAAAGTTTATGATATATAGCTTCAACTATATCATTATCCTGTAACTAAACATGTAAATAGCTTTCACAAATCACATCCCATTATCGCAAAGGAACGGATCAAAAGTTTACTAATAATTGAGAATGGAAAACATCCCATGAGGTTAACACCTTTTGTTTTGGTTCTCTTTCTTCCTCTTTTCTTGACAAATTGAAACTTTTTGTGTTTCAATTCTTTTATTTATCGTGTTTTAATGTAAAAAAGGATTCATTAAAGTAAGTGCAATCATACTTTAAAGTTTTTGATTCGCTTTCTCCATATCACACTAATAAGTCAACATCTCCAAAGAGTCGTTCCAAAGAATCTTTTATAGTAGCAATACGACATTTTACCACAACCCTTGTAACAATTGACTTCATGAATATAAAAAAGAGAATAAGAGACTATAGTAATTTTCTCCGTATTTAAGAAGTTTCGGACTTTACGATGTTTAGTAACTTCGAATAAGAGATTATAGTAAATTAAATTAGTAGTTTTCCCTGGCTAATGTCGACTTCAAGACCAAACCCATTTTTCTCCTAAAGTTTCTCGAATCTAAACGGTTTAATTATCCATTCCAAATTAACAATTATATTTTTTATGTGACTAAATCCAAATAATGGATGCAAAAATAACAAACATTCATCAAAACTATTCTCCACAACACAGTATATACTGCTAAACCTGAAATGTGAAATAGTAGTGGAATTTTATATCATTCTGTTAGATTCTATGGATAGAAACTACTGGATCAAAATACTTATCATTAATTTGTTATTATATCGCACAGGCTACAGATCATTGTAAACTAAGTAATTACATACGTTTCCAATTTAAATGATACAAGTATTTGAAAGTTTCTGCCTAACCAGCTTATAATAAAAGTACTTCTGTTTATTACAAAATTGAAAAATGAGATTTGAATGAAAAAGTTCGTACAAAATTAAGGGCGGTGTCTGATGATGGCAGAAGACTCTAGTACGTAAAAAACAGAAAATGAAATTTCATTATCCTAAAATAAATTTATTTGTGGTTTTTGTTGCATCCACATGAACTGTTTAAATACCAAATATCTGATATTTTTTATAAAAAAAAATCAGAATTAATCAATACATCAAGACTTCAACATTAGATTATCCTGCTATTTAAAAAATCTCTTAAACTATTTTCTTAGATATAAAATTAGAATAATTTAAAAACAAAAAGTGAACAAAAAAGCCATAATGATGAGAGTGACATGGTCATTTGCCTTGCACGTGGGTGTTTGGATACTCTGCAATCTCCTTTTTGACAAACTTATTAATCCACTACTCATTATGTCATTTCATTTTTCAATTTGTGATCATCATAACTAGTTACTCTCTGTCTCTGGTACTTAAGTTACTTAGCCTCTTCAGAAATACAAACTCAGTCACGTATTTAGATCCAATTAAAGTGATGGGACACTTAAAAGAAACGAGACTAAATTAACACTGTCGATAAAGCAAAAAGCATATGGTAACATATTTTGTTTTTACTATTTACATTTCGGCGTTTATGAAGGAGGATTGTGAAATAATACAGTCGAAAGAAATGGTCACTATGATAACACTATGCATAGAATTTGGTGAGAAACATTACAGAATCTTTTTTTTTCTTTTGAATTCGGTTTTCGATAATGGTGTGAAAGAGTGAATGTAGATTGTGGACGAAGATAATTCTGGGACACTTCCAAAAGAAGAAGACTGTAGAAAATGAATTGTCTCTGAAACATTATTATTCAAAGATTGCTTGACTTACACGCCACCTCCTCAATTTTCCTCCATTTCTTACTTCAAGAAGGAAAGGTCTATTGAGGTATGTGTCAGGTTTCAGACTTATTTTTTCTTCTGAAATTCAAAAAAAAAATATTATTTTGTCAGACTCATTTTTCTCACCTACTCTGCTTTCTTATTCAATGTTTTCTCTATGTTTTTTTACTCTGTCCAAAGCTCCTTCTCCATTTACACACAAGCTAATTACCTTGTCTTCTTCTTGTTGTGTTTATTAAAAATTTAGAAGTTGGGGTTTTTGTTACTTTGCTATTTTATTGGTTGTTATGGAAATTGTTGGATATTAAGGTCCATTCTGGAAATTGGAAAATTTAATGTCGAAACTGTTTGAGTTATTTTCACTGACCATCAATCCATTATGTCATTTAACACAAAAAGATGCAAGGTATAAGCTATACTATATACGAAAATGGGTTGTTATAACTAATAAGTTGATAAAAGAAAAAAAAATAGTAAATCCTAGTAATCAGTTGAATTTACAAGAGAACGATAAGTAATTTACTAATTATTATATTATCTCTGTTTCAAATTATTATAGATGTTTTAGCAATTTCACACATATAAAAAGAAGAGAAGTATTTGTTGTTGTATTATATGTAGATATATTTTTTAAAAATATATGTAGATATATGTTTTATTTTCAACAAAAAGAGAAGTATTTTTTCTTTTTTTTTTTGAAAAAAATCCATCAACAAAGATATACAATGTTACTTTTTAGGAGTAGGTATTACTTTACTTTAAAACAAATTAATCTATTTTTTTTACAGCTAATACAAATTAATCTAAAAGTAATAGATTTGTAAATACAGATATCTTTCTTTATCAATATGCCTTTTATGAGCTATCTAAAATTCATGAACATGCCTTCGATATTTCAACTCTCTATTGTCCCCTTTCTTTTCATAAGTCAAATCAATCTATTATCCTAGATCTAAAAAATCCTTGTCACATTTTTCTGCACCTTCTATTTTATCCTCGGAATCAATAATCGTAAAATCAAACGTTAAATCATCATATAGCTAGAAACAAAGATATACTATTTTTTAAACGGAATACTATTTTAATTGCTCATATAATTCGATTTATCAAACTGTTTTGGTGAAAATGAAATACATTGCCAACACACACACACACAAAAAAACATTTAAAAAAGCTGATCAATATAGGTATCTTTTTAACAACAAATACAAGTTTAATGTAGCAACTAATTAAAATGGTAGACTTCCATTACATCAACTTGAAAAAGTGGAAATTGAAAGAGGTGCTTGTCTTGTAAAGTCCCCCATTGTTGTAAGGGTTACACAAAGGAATGTCCCTCGTAATCATGAAATGAGCTGTGTTACATCACTCTCTAGATTTCCCCTTCTTTTTCTTTAATCATATAACGTCACTTCAAATATTTTTTATACTCCATTAATATAACATTTTCTTCGCCTTATTTTCTTCCTAGAACAATAAATCATGCATCATTATTTCAGGTACATGCACTCATCTGTATGTAAATTTAAACATGTAATTACAAGTAAGAAAGAAAGAAGATATGTCTAATGAAAATCAATGTGAAGTCTCTCTCAACTAACATAATATGATGATGGCTATAAATTAATGTTGCTCATCATTAAAGATATTACGATGGACACAACATCTAAAGATATTTATATGGCGAAGCTATGTGTCTAAATTTTGTAGGTTTTGAGTGTTAGAAATTAGGAGGAGTTGGTGGAATGAATTATGGAGTACTATAGGATCAAATTGATTGGAATATTACTAGATTAGTGAAATCTTATAGAGGTGGTTTGTTTATTTTGATGAAAAATGAACCAAAATTAGAGGGAACAAAGTGGAGATGGGAAAGCAATAAAGAGAGGAGAGGACAATGAAGTGAGGATAACCATTAACTTCCATTTCTCTCTTTGCCCACGTTACCTTTCTTATCCCCTTTAATCATCAATAGTGTTTTTTTTTTTCATTTCGCAAATATTATAGTATAATAACACAAAAAATACAACTATTATAGTATTATTATTCTTTCAAAATCAAATTCATCACTTACGTTAAAGAGATGTTTTGATAAGAAAAGGTTACTCATTTGAATCCAATGAGATTAATTTTCCAAATTATTTATAGTATTTTATTAAATATAACAATTTTTTTTTTTGGAAGGGAATACAATAATAAGTGGAGATTTTGTAACTTACAACAACAAGATTTAATATTTTCTTTATTACATGTACAAACAAGAAAAAGAAAGATAAAAGGACTTCTTAGGATGATATTTGTGATGTGAATTCTCAAGCAAGTTCTTCGGACCACTCATGTAATGTAGGAGTCTTGACTCCTATATTCTTCATGTCAAGAATATTCGCTGATCCAAAGAACAATGTTAGTTCCTTTTTCGGAGAATGACCAAAGAACAAAACAAATATTCAAGATTCCAACAAAGGTTAAACCACAAAGACAAACACCAAGAGTAAAAAATATGGGTTTTTACCAGTATGGATCTCTGGTGTTGCAGCAGCTGTGGCATCTGTAATAACAGTCACATTTGGATAATCCAGCTCCACTGCATCAAAAACCGTTTGCCGGATACAATTCGGCGTTTGAACACCTGAAAAATGAAAGGGTTACAGAATCCGGGAGAACCGTATAAAAACAAAAAGAGTCCAATAAAAGTATAGTCTCAAGACTCTTAACATAACTCACCAGCAATCACTAACTTGGTAACCCCAGAAGTTTGCAAGAAGGAATGAAGATTGGTACTAAAAAAGGCGCTAAAACGAGTTTTCACAATCTTATAGTCTTCTTCTTCCTTGATGATCAATCCATCAACTAATTCTGCTCCTACAGTGCCTTTAACAGTTGGTCCGACTTGATCAGAATTGTAATGATGACGCCTGAATATCTCAACATCTCTTCCTCGAGGATCATGTTCCCTAACAACCTAAATCGATGCAAAAAAAAAAAACACATTTTCAAATAAAACTACCACACACTGAATCAAGATTAGTTCCTTCTCATATGATTCAAATATTACCTTCAAAACTCAAGCCAGTAACTTTAGAGAAATAAACTTTGATTTGTACAACACTTGACTTGGAAACAAAAGATCTCACATTTTAGATTCTGAAAACAGAACTTGCAAGATTTACGATATCAAGTTCGAATTTTTATAACACAACCTATCAATTTCAGATTTCTAAGTTCTTTCAACACAGAAATGCACAAGTCCATCCATATATATATATACATGAAAAAGGATAAGAGATATAGAGGAGAATTACCCAAATTACGAGAATACCATGCTGCCTCGCGAGTTCAACGACTCTAATAACATTAGGAACTATAGATTTTCCTCCTTTCACTCGAATCATTGAACTTTCCTCTATGAAATCCTTCTGTGAACAAAACGAAAACAAATTCAGACTCTAAAATCTCAGAGAACAAACAAAATCAACACAGAGAGAGAGACCTGCATATCGATAACGAGTAGAGCCGTGTTCCTCCATCTCTCCGCCATGGTTCCGACACAAAGACGATGAAAGATTTTCGAGCACAGATATGCTTCAATAACAGTTATCACTTAGCGAATCTCGGCCCATAGCTTGTAGTCTCCGGCCCAATAATAAAGAAAGTACAATCCGGTTTGCTAAACATTTTGCCGATTTTAAGATAATCTAAACCGACTGGTACTGAAGGAACAAGAGTTACAAAGACAAACGTTGCCTACTTTTTAGCCTGCTAAATCACAACCGAACAAGACACTTATCGAAAAGCCACAGTAGAAAACAATCTCCTGTATTAACAAACTTTAGTTTTAACTTGTAAGAGAAAAGAAGAAAATAAACTAAGGAAAAAAACTCTTCTTTTGCAGGAATCACACAATCTCCTATGACCCGGGCTTGGATATCTCAAGGTATACCATTTGAGTATACCCATTGAACACTGACTTATCAAGCCGACCTAAACCGATTCGTTGGAACAAACGGTGCTTGCCATCTGCTACTATCGGTGGAGTTGCACGAGCTGGGTCATATCGCGATTGATGGGTTAATGAAGGTCCTGCAACTGGAGGTAGCTCCCAATAGACGTCGAGAATCGATTCAACGTAGCGACTGTTTTGAAAATGCTGATTGTATGAGATCGGTGTGTTGGTGTGGTTGAAATCGTCTCTCATTTCTCCTTTAACTCCCCACCATGTTTCCCCTGGTCCGCACAGTTCCTCTGTATCAACTGCTTTTTCCCAGAACTTCTTCCTCTTTGATCTCATCCTAGCTTCATCGCTGTCTTTGAAACAGCTGTGCCCGCCTCCTGAAGAAAACAAACCGATCCATATGAGAAACAATCCAATACCAAACCCATGTATCTATTGTGTGATCTTTTTAGAACTCCCACCTCTTATATATGACTGATCACATATCTGTCTCAGGGAATAGTGATCCCCGGTTCCTGTATCATAATTATCCTCGAAAATGAGATGTCGGAAACCAGCTTTTAGTGCCTGCTTTAGCCTGCTCATTTGAAAATATGTAAAAGAAAATCAGTGAATTCTTAGCACATGCAATACCAGGAAAGAGATGAGAAATGAAAAACTACCTTTTGAGCTCATTCTGATGGTCATCAAAGAAGACAATAACACGGCTGAGATCTGTTATTCCGTGTTTTCTCAACACATTTTTCCAATCAACACTTCCAAAATCAACAAAATCTTTGCCAGCAAAGTATGTGCAGTTTCCATCCACATAGGCAGGTCCCTTTCTCAGGTACTTCTCAGGGTGCCTGGGAGTAAGTGAGATCATAGGTGTATCTGGCATCGCCTGACGCAGAACCCAAGTGGAATGTCCCTTAAAAGCACCACTCTCAATCATCAGATCTGGCTTTAGCCAACGGGCCATGAACCATAACCCAAAGCTGTGATCAAAACCCATTCCATACATGTTGTTCTTAATCGGCCGTGTTTCATATATAGGCACAAACTCTTCTAGACCCTTGAGTAAATCTTTGGATGTCCACTCAACTTCTTTTCCATGTTTCGATCTGCCTTTTGCCAAAGAAAAAAATTAAATACTTCCAGTGACAACAAATCAATTTGTTTATAAACAAGTGCCATAAAACTCATCTTCCTGTTGCTTTAATGGAAAAATTGAGAACAACAACATTGCTATCTCAGAGTATAAAACTCGTAATCAAAGTGAGCTAGAGCAATTTATGGTTCTTATCCATTGATTTGTCTACACACAGCACAACCACTACTATCCAGAGATTAACCAGTGGAAGCTACAAGCCTTGAATTCAATGATACTAAAACCTCATCTGAAACAGATTTAGAGAACAGTTTCTAAATGGACCTGTATACTATCAACAAAAATGGAAACCTAGATCAAATCTAACCAAAGCATTTGAGTAAATCCACATGGAATCACTAGAGATTGTCGAGTGATTACGCCTCAAGGATACACAAAAACCAAATCACAATGCTGAACACAAAACAAATAAAGGCTTAAAAGAAAAAGAGTTGTCGAGTGCTTACACCAAGGAACACCTAGGGCACCAAAATCCGATTCAAGCCCGTCAAGACCGAAAAACCCGATCCGAGCAGCGGGATCGAAGCGGGAGATGCAAACAAAGCTGTGAGAATGGAAAGCGACGGAGATGAGGAAGAGAAGGACGAGGAAGAGGAGAGCGAGAATGAGACAAGGCCACCACTGATGACCGATCCGAGATAGGAAATTGGAAGCAAGGAGGTAGATGTGTGGCCGTTTGGTTTTAGATTCGTCGGTTCCAGATTCGCCGGAAGCAGAGAGATCGGCGTCGGAGTGAGGACGGCGAGAGGAAAGAGCCCGATCTAGCATCGTCGTTGGAGTTTTCGGTGACTGAGAGTGCCAGAGTGATTGCCCATTGTTCATTCCTCTCTCCATTAATATCCTTTCTTAATCTTTTTTTCGAGTTTAATCAATTTTTGTAATCTATAAAGTGTTTCCTCCTCACTTGAATGACAAAAATTATAGAAAACCAAAACCGGGTAGACCAAACCGGTTAGATGAAATTGGTTTGAATTATTGAATTAAAGACCAAACCGGCATGCGCCTTCGAGAGCAAACAAAAGCCCAACAAATGTGTCGTCTTCTTCCTTTAAACGCTGGGACCCGTATATTCCCCAAACCCTAAGAGTTATTCCATCTGTATCAATGAAAAGGAAGAGGAAGACAACGAAGAAAAAGAAGAAGAAGTCGCCGACGCAGCAATGGACATTACATCCGTCACTTCCCGATGATTTGCTATTGATCATCGTGGCACGCGTGCCAAGATTATACTATCCGACTCTCTCACTCGTGTCCAAGAGTTTTCGATCTCTTTTGGCTTCACCAGAACTTTACAAGGTCAGGTCACTCTTGGGACACACCGAGAGTTGTCTCTATGTTTGCTTAACATTGAAATCTCATCTTAACATTAAACCAAAAAAAAAAAAACATTGAAATCTTATAAGAACCAAGGCTGGTTCACCCTCTGCCTGAAACCTGATCAAAACCTAACCAATGACACAAGTATGAAGAAGAAGAAGAAGAAGAAGAAGTCAAGTGGGTATGTTTTGGCTAGAGTCCCAATTCCCGATTCTCCTTGTGTGCACTTTTCGGGTCTTGTAGCGGTTGGTTCTAATATCTACAACATTGGCGAATCCATAAATTTTTCGCTCTCCTCTAGCGTCTCTGTTCTGGATTGCCGGTCTCACACGTGGCGCGAGGCTCCAAGCTTGCCGGTGAAGCTAATTTCACTCTCTGCTAGCGTCTTTGATAGAAAGATATATGTGGCAGGGGCCGCAGGGCGGTACAACGATGTCCGTTCCGATAATTTGAAGACCTCGTTGGAGGTGTTCGACACAAAAACACAAACTTGGGATCCTGAGCCCATCCCTTGCAGTGAGATAAAAGACAGCTTTTATTGCAGAAGCATATGGATTGACGGAAAGTTCCATGTGGCGACTCACAAAGATTAATTTGTTTGCTTACAAATCCAAGGAAGGTAGATGGGACACGGTTGAACCACGACAGGCGATGCATCATTATTTGTATTCAGATTCTTATTGCAAGATAGACAATGTTCTCTACTCTGCTTCTGATGGAGCGTTCAGATGGTATGACACTGACATAAGTATGTGGAGAAATTTGCAGGGTTTGGTAGGACTTCCCAAGTTATTACATCTTGGTTATCGTGTTAGATTGGCTGACTATGGCGGAAAGCTAGCTGTTTTGTGGGAAGAGGAGCTGCCTTATTATTCTGGGACTTCTCTCCGCTATGAGAAGATGATTTGGTGTGCGGAGATTTCGCTTGAAAGGCGCAAAAGTTGGGAAATTTGGGGGAAAGTTGAGTGGTTTGATCATATGCTTACAGTCCCTAGAACTTATGAACTCGTGAGTGTTCTTACTACTACTGTTTGATAAGTGAGTCACAAAGGCTTGAACGTGTGTTGCTATAATCTTGGTTTATATCTCTCTGTTTAGTTATAGTCATATGGAAAAAGCTTCCCATTGAAATTGTTCTTTTTTTTTTTTTGAAAAAGGATTGTTCTTAAACTTTAATGTTCTCTCTTGTGACCTTTTTTATCGACATGTCTCAACTGCACTAAGTATTTCACTGTATTTTGCTCTCATAGTGTAGAACAACTATGAGGAAACAACTCTTCTCAATGACTTTGATGACAATCATGATTTTCTCGACAATGGAATTCCAAAGCTCTGCCTCGATCGTCAATAGACTTGATGCGTCATGTAATATTCACTATTATTGCCCCCAAGTCTTTCAGATGTTTGGATCTTTTTAATTGGACCGTTACCATTTCGAGCAACTTGTCAATTTCATGGACGTATATAAATGTGTTGAATCGTTTGTCACGTTATCTGTGTGGCGCCCGCAACACAACGTTGGAGATTTTTTTTTGGTCAAATAAATATGCGATTAATAATCTTAGGAGTCTCCACACTAGGCATGACCACGGTTACGGTTATTGCGGTTACGGTTTATTAACCCCCGATTATGGTTATAAAATTTCTCTAACCGTAACCTTAACCGTTATATATACGGTTAAAACGGTTACGGTTAAATACGGTTACGGTTACAATGGTTACGGTTAAATACGGTTACTGTTATTTAATTATTACGATACGGTTAATATCAAAGACAAAAGCTTATGTATTTTTAACCTTTAGAATAAAAATTTTAATGATGATATATCAAATAATATTTATTTTACAATATGTAATATATGTGATTATGTACTTTAATATTTATAGTTAATTAGCTATTTTGTTCTGTTAAGTAAACCAACGAATAACTAAATCAATAGTAATAATTATAATGATTGAGTTATTGTTTTATTGACAATAGGTATTCCAAACAATACTATAGAAAGGATGTTATGAGAATTAAGAAACGATTACAGGAGTAGAAATAATCACTTGTAAATTATTTATGATTTGATTTGTGGAAAATGAGTAGTGGACGAGTGGAGTGGTTTAAATTTAGTAGTGGGCGCATTGAACCATTTAAGACAATGTTTTAGTGAAATAATTATGTATTTTAGGTTTTAACTGCACGGTTAACTATGCGGTTAACCGTACGGTTAACTAACGGTTTTGATACGTTTACGGTTAATTAACGGTTACGGTTAGTATATTTTTTAACCGTAACTAATCTATTTTTACGGTTAACGGTTACGGTTATTAACCGTTTTATACGGTTACGGTTCGGTTATGGTTGAGAAACGGTCCGGTTACGGTCCGAAATACGGTTACGGTTAGCTTTTGGTCATGCCTACTCCACACATTCACAGAGAAACCGTAACCCGGCTAGAGAGTTACAGAACCGGACTTGTTCCGATGTCTCGTCTCCGGTTTTGTACAAGAACACCTTCTTCTTCGTACGTTCTTCAGGTTCCATCTCCAAATTATCGTTGTATCCAGTGAATGTTACGACGAGATCGTTCTTTTTAGTATACGCCACGAATTCGACTTGATAATCGTAGATACGATCTTGTGCAGAGATGAAATTCGACATTGAAAGGCTTATAATCTTATTCCATGACCCGGTTTTCTCCATAACCGAAATCCGAATCTCCTTCTTGCACGTTTCATACTCTGTAACTAGATCATAACCCGTGCTGGAACAGCACGGATGAAATTTTAATTTTTAAATATTTATATAAAGTTGGATTATTGTTTGTTTTATTGTACAATTTTAATAATTCTTTACATAATACAATGACATATAAGGATTTTTTATTTTATTTTATTTTGATGAGAAAATATTAGGGGTGGGGTACGGTTTTTTCGGTTTAGTATCGTTTTTTCGTTTTGTAGAAAGTGAAACCATATAGAAACCGTATGTAATTCGGTTTAGTTATAGTTCGATTTTTACGGTTTTTTACGTTTTTTTGGTTAAAAATAGAACGTATGTATTTGATATATGCTAGTAGTAAGTGAAAAAAATTGTGTATATAATAAACATATTTTGGTAAATAATAAGATTAAATTCAACCCGTGCGTACCTATATTTTTATTTTAGAATCCCAATAAAAAAATTGTGTGCACAATCCATCATTCATTATTTTTATATATACTTATAGAATCAAAATTTTAAATATTTAGAGGTGTCAAACCTTATTTAACTCATCTCATCATATAATCTTAACATGGTTTCGGTTATAAAGATCATACCTCTTTTTATCATATAATACATTACATTTAACTTGTTATTTGCTATAAATATTTTAAATATTTATGCTTTGAAAAATAAAATTAGAGTATTTATAAGTTTTATCTTTTGATTTATTAAATATATATGATATTCTTTAAAATATTATATTAAACTATTTTTAAAATTTTCCAAATTAAAATATTTTTTTTATTTTTTATTGTAGAATATAAAATTAAGAATTTTTTAAAAATAATTGTATGAACTTAAATATAAATATTCAAATAATTATAAGGATCATAACTCATTTCATCATATAATACATTATATTTAACCCACCGTCTATTATAAATATTTTTTAAATATATATGTTTTAAGAAAACCAAATTAGTGTATGTATAATTTTTTATTTTTTTTATTTATTAAGTATTGATGATATTTGTTTTTAAATATCAACTAAAACTATTTTTAAATATTCCAAATTAAAATATTTAAAATTTTATCGTAGTATATAAAATTATATATTTTTAAAAAATATATGAAATTGAATATAATTACTCAAATTCTGACCCGTTATTCAGGCGGAATTTTTGTTGAATGTTTTTTTTTTTTAAAGAAATATATTATCCAAGTCTAAATTTTTGACTCGTTAAATTTTTTTTTTATAAATTGAATAATTTCTATTCGTTTTTAAAAATTCAAATTATGGCATATGCGGAAAAAAAATCTATTTTTTATTATTATATGGATGATATGATGATTTATTTGTTTCACAATAATAGAATCATATAAAGATGAGAGGTGAAATATAATGATTAATAACAAATTAATAAGGTAAGTTAGATATCAAATCTTATATATTCATTTTGATTGGTCATCTAAAAATAATAATAATAATGTATTTTTCGTTTTTATAATTAAATTAAATTAATTAAATTGTATAAATTGACTTGTTTATCCTTAATAAGATGAATTAATTTACTTTTTAAAATTTTATCTCTAATGGCATTCTTAAGTAAATTTTTACAAAAGGGAAGGTTAGTTAAGGGTATCTTATAAAGTGTACTCCCCAAATAATAGTATAGGATACAGAGTTTTTGACTTGTAACGCCTAGCCATGAACACGTCACGCCTCGGTTGTAAACCGGGAGAGGGAATTTCCGGTATTCATGGGTTGAGATATTAAAGCGTATGATAAACCGGTCAGCATTAGACCGGTACGCAATCCAATAGAGGTATTGGTCCAAAAATGTACCTCTTCTGTCTCTGTAATGCCAATCAGGATAAGCTATCCGTAGGCTCTCTCTCCATGAACCGGTTCTAAATTCGAAAACGTGCGCTGTGGAAACATCAAGCCGGTCGATAAACGTTACGAGTTTGTAATCATCGTGAACCGGATCATAACCAAAACCAAGAATGTTCGAATCTTGGTAAATACCGGGATTTGGTACGATCTTGAATTGCTTCGAAAACGGATTCCAAACCATGAAAGTGTGATTCTTTAAGGTAACACATAACGTCCCATCACAATGAAGCACACATGTAGATTCATCGATCATTGACTGATCTAAAGGGAAATCGAGCGTTTGAGGGTTTGTAATTACCGGATCCTTGCCTTCCACGTCAAGCATGTAAAAATTCTTGTCGTAAAACGACACAAACTTTGCCGGAGAAAAGTCTCGGTACCTTTCTGCAAATCCACGGTGATTGATAAGATCTCTCCATGTCTTGCTGACGCATCTGAATCGAGCAAGATCCTTCATCGATAGCCTCACTAGTATCTCAATGGCTAATTCTTCCGGGAGAAATTTCGACATTTTTTTGTGGTTGAAGATGTTTTGTTCAAAAATAGAAGAAGATGTGCATAGTAACTTCATATGGCTCAAAAAAAAGGGTAGGAGCCAAAAAAAAGTTTGGTGGATTTGCAAATTGGCATTAAAATTTATAAAAAAGAACATTTCTACACCTCATTCGCGTGTTCCGGCATCACTAACTTCATCTTTCACGATTAGTCTACACAAATTGATTTATTTATTACTAACATATTTTAATGCAATATTTGACACGTATTTGAAGACTAATCAACCATTTTATTTATTTACCAAATTTGCGTCACACCTAATCGGCGTGTTCCGTCATCACTGACTTCGATTAATTTCATAAATTTTTGCAAAATTACAAATCATATAGTAATATATATATAAAGTGATACGGACAGAAATTTTCTTATTTCACAAAGAGTTGGAGTACATTGATATAAACTGAAAAACGTAAGTGGAGTGGTAATACTAGACATACACTATGTAAAACGAAAAACGAAATCAGAATAGCTTTGTGTTGTAAGATCTCTCCACCAATGACGAGATCTTTTGCTTTGCTCTTGAATGCCTTGATAGCAAAGCTGTAAAGATCGTCTTTGGACATCTTAATGAGTGTAAGAATGTTTTCTGGCTCCAAGAGATCCTTCCCATCATCATATAGTCCTTTGGCGTTTGATACGAAAACTTGATAAAACAGCTTTTAAACCCATAAGCAGTTTGTAAAAAAAAAACAATAGTAAAAATCAAATGGTTTGTTTCAATTCTATTCTTCAAAGCAAAGTCTTCGATTTTATAATTAAAGTCATGTACCTTAGCAAACAAATAGAAAAAGAAATAACAATGAAATCAATTAAAGAGAAAATTTTGTACAAATATTTTATTTTGGTGAATATAATTTTACATCCATACAAAACGAAAAAAAAAAGAAGAGAAAATTTGTTTTTGTTTAGGATTTTTTTCTAAACCAAAATTACTAAAAATTCATTAAAAACCAGTTTAATTAATCTTTTACCAAAATTTAATATTTCTTGGCGGATTCTCAGATGTCGACTTTGTTCCCTTAATAATGTTCTAACATTTACCAAAACCGCCATGTTGAGAATCCGTGAAGTTGTGGTCTGAATCTCTTTGTTGTTGCTTTGGCTGGTTACTCTTCCAAGGAATGTTGATTAGGATGAGGTCGAACTCAAGTTGGCGAAGCTCAAAAGAGTTATCTTCCTCAGCTCGGACTATCTCGTATCTGTTGGCCTATGTACTCTTCTTTCGGCGTATGGTCTTGCAATCATCATGTTTGTGAAGGCTTTTGATCTAGAGATAAATCCGTACCTTGTGTTGATGTCATTTTTGGTAACTTTTTCTATTCTCTAGTGTTTTAATATTACGTCTTGTCCGACCGAAGCAGAACTTAGCTCGGATCCCTCCCTGTCGGAGGAATCTCTAAGGTTTGGTTAGAGGTGTGGGTAGAGGGGGATCACTATTTATCTTCACAATCTTGGACGGTCATGCCAAAACCCAGCCTAAATGGATGTTGGCTTCCTTTGCTGGCTTGATCTTCGTTCATACTACCCATGCCTCAGTAGCGTTTAGGATTATGAAAGAATTTGGTTTGGGTACATTCGTGTACGAAAACTGAGGCGTGTCGAGGCTATGGAAAATTTACTTCACAAATGGGATCGTTGCTCCTCTTCTCATCAAACTCCTCTTGTCCTTAGAAGCAGCTTTGTTGAATAATTTTCTAGATACTTTGTTGTAGGCTTGTAGCGTAGAGAAAATCTCAATCTTTGACCTTTTAGTAAAAGGCATTTACCATGTTGCTATACTTTGTTTTTTTTACTACCGTGGAAATTTGAATTCTCAAATGCTTGGTAGATTGGCAGGGCCGGCCCTGAGCTAAAGCTGGTAAAGCCCTTGTTTTAGGTGCCAAAAGTTATATATAGTAGTATAGGGCACCATTTTCAGAAAACATTACGTAGTGCAGTGGTTAGCCCCTAGGAAGTTGTCTTTTTGGTGCAAGGTTCGAATCTCAAATATGTCATTTTGTGACTTTATTAAATGTATGGGCTTAAGAATGCTTTGGGCAACCAAATCTATTGTGACGGCCCTGTAGATTGGACAGGCTCATAGAGAAGTGTTCACACACTTTGTGTCACTTCCATTAGCCATATACCCTGAGTTGAAGAAAAATATTGAGGCTTTTCAGAATTCTCTAATGGGTATCAATGATAAGAATCCATTGACGTTTCAGAGTACTTTAGCTGGTAAGTTCACAAACCAAATAAAGAGAATAATGTTTTTAGTATAAAACTTGTTTCTATGAGACTATGACATGGTTTTTTATATAGGACAGAAATGGGAATCGAAAAATCGATCTTTGTTTCGCCCAAAATTTTCCATTTGACTGTGGATACTGGATATGTTAAAGTTAGAGAAAAATTTTCCATTTGACTGTGGATACTGGATATGTTAAAGTTAGAGAACAACGAATCTATGGTTAAAGCTCATAATATCCTTAATGTATAATTGATTGCTCTTCATTAAAAGATATAGCTTATATCTTTAATTTGATGATATCCCACTTTTAATCCATGCAATATTGTGAGAAGTAAAAGTGCAATCAAAATAAATAAAAAAGACTTACTTCAAATTAAAACTTTAGGAATGACGCTTTTGATCAACAAAAATTGGAAAATAATAAACATTACCTAATTTATGACATCAAAGTACAACATAAAACCTCCTAATACCTTGACATGGATGTCCTCCACACACAAATATTCAAATATATTTCAAAGAGCACAATTTGGAAGAAGTTGTGGATATGTGTGGAGGACCTCCCTGCCAGGGGATTAGGAGAATTTGTGTAACATAACTTGCCGGTTATAACTTCTCCAGAAAGTGGCAATAAATTGTGTTAAGCATAGATAGGAGAAGTGAAAGCGAAAGAAGCCAAACGAGACCAAAGGGTTTTTATAAGCTGGGAAAAAATTTAGGGTTTTGATTTTTTTCAAATCTAATTCTTTTTAAAAATAAACTAAAAATCAGAACGAGATCTTATAAAAAGGAAAGGAGATATTTTTCCAAAATTTTCGGGAGATTAATATTTTCATTTTCAATTATGTGAATAATACTTTGGTTTCTTTTTTTTTCATTTCTTTGATATCTCAATGGCTAATTCTTCCGGGAGAAGACAATTTTTGGCAAAGTCGCATTATTAGGTTTAACTCTTTGTATGACCTCAACATTTCATCCCACATTGCATCTATACGATATGTTTTAAAAATAGAGATACTGTATTTTGTGCTTCTTCTTGGGTTGCTTTGATGATATTAGGTGTTGTCGTTTCTAAAAATCAGAGTATTTCTCCTAATGTGGGCAAGCTTTGTTTCGGAGATGCAATAAGAGATCTACCAAAAGTATGTAATGAAATAAATCATTAACTAGTTAAGGGTTTGATTACAAACCTTTGGTAGATCTCTTTTCATCCCCAAGAATAAAACATGTATCAAGCAGATTCTGTGTTAAGATTTAAAGACTATGGTTCAAATGAACAACATGAAAAAAAGCCAAAGGAAAATTCTAGGAGTTTGTAACAAAAGGCTCCGAAATATTTCATCTAAACCATAACATTGTCAACATACAATGGGTTTACAAAGGAAAATTCAACGTGTTTGTGTGGTCGTCATTGACCAGGTTTCTTGCAACTTATTTATATGTTTCCAAGAAAATGTCATTAAATGTAAAAAAAGTCTCAAACGGCGGCAAAAAGTCTTTCTCAATTGATTATCCTCTATTGTTTCTTTGTTTGGTTTGGATACATTCGTGTATGAAAACTGAGGCGTGTCAAGGCTATGGAGAATTTACTTCATAAATGGGATTGTTGTTCCTCTTCTCATCAAACTCCTCTTGCATTCAAAGGCAATCAGAAGCAGGTTTGTTGATTAATTTTCTAGATTCTTTGTTGTAGGCTTGTAGCGTAGAGAAAATCTCAATCTTTGACCTTTTTACATGTTGCTATACTTTGGATCTTTTCTTACTTGTTGTGGACACTTGAATTCTCAAATACTTGGTAGATTGGACAGGCTCAGAGAGAAGTGTACACACATTTTGTGTCACTTCCATTAGCCATATACCCTGAGTTGAAGAAAAATATTGAGGCTTTTCAGAACTCTGTATTGGGTAACGATGATAAGAATCCATTGACGTTTCAGAGTACTTTAGCTGGTAAGATCACAAACCAAATAAAGAAAATAATATTTTTAGTATGAAACTTGTTTCAATGACATGGTTTTTTTTTATATTGGACAGAAATGGGAATCGAAAAATCGATCTTTGTTTCGCCCAAAACTTTCCATTTGACTGTGGTTATGTTAAAGTTAGAGAACAATGAATCTGTGGTTAAAGCTCAGAATATCCTTAAGGTATGATTGATTCCTCTTTATCAAGAGATATAACATACTTCTTCTTCTTCTAGGATTGCTTTGATGATTGAGGTTTTGAGTTTTTCTGAAAAGCAGAGTCTTTGTTCTAATGTGAGGCAAGCTTTGAAGGACCGACCTGTCTTCATAAGACTCAGGGGATTGGTAATTGCTACATTTCTAGTGGCTTGAAACATAATCTTTGAATCAATCTCAATGGTTTGCTTTGTATATATTTCTCTTGTTTAAGGATTGTATGAATGGATCTTTAGACAAAACCCGCGTTCTCTATGTTCCTGTTGAAGAAGTTGGGCATGAAGGTCGCCTGCTAAATGCTTGTCGTATCCTAATTTCTCTAAGAGCTTATATTTTCCTTGTGTGCCATGGTTTTAAGATGGACTTGGTATTTAATATGTGGAGACCAAACACATGACTTTAACTCTCTAGTTCAGATGTTATCATTGATGCATTTGAGAATGCTGGATTTGCTGGTAAAGACGCAAAGTCACGCTTGAAGGTAATCCTTTAAACTCTCCTTATGTTTTACTCTTTCCCTTTTGAGTATTCCATTGTATTAGAAAGTGCAAAATCACTCTGCCACTAGGACAAAGACAAAGATTGATATAACAATGTCTCAGCTTCTCCTTCATGCTTGTTCCTTATCTGCAGCTACACGCCACAGTAATGAATGCAAGCTACAGAAAAGATAAAAGCAAAAAGATGGATACTTTTGATGCTCGAGAGATACACAAAGAGTTTGAGAACAAGGATTGGGGAACATATCTAATCAGAGAAGCTCATATCTCACAACGCTATAAGTATGACCCCAATGGCTACTTCCATTGCTGTGCTTCACTACCTTTTCCTCATAAGTGACAGTGAAAACAATCAAATATATCTCCTCCACAAGCTATAGCATAGCTAGAAAGCTAGTGGTGAGCAAGACGACCAAGCTAATAGAGTTAACACAAGTGTGGCAGTTCTGCTTTGTGTTTTTTTCCCACTTGTTAAGGATCGTATGAGTAGAAATTCAGACAAATTAAACCGCATGCTCTATGCACCACTTTATTTTTATTTTTATTACACATTTCAAGTCTCTAAAGTTTGCACCCTGTGAGCAATAAAAATGATTCTAGAATGATTCCACGATATTAATCACAGGGTGCAAATTTCCGAGACATGAGAGGTGTAATAATAATTAATTCTTTGGTAGATCTATGGTTGCATCTCCAATTAAGAGTAAGAGTTGTTCCTGCAACATAAAGATTCATAATAAATCTGTGAGACACCATCCATAATAATTTTCATTCAATTGAAGAGGTTAGTGGTCATAATGCCAAATCTAGATAGTTCAAGAAGCTAACCAGCTCTTTCAAGACGAATACCTTTCATCTTTTTCTTCTTCTCATAATTAGTCACCTGTGGCATAAAGGGAAAAGTCAAAAAGGAACTCTGGAGTGAATTAATTTAGTATGCAATTAAACAAAGCATTTACTAGATAAGGGTTTGATTATACACCTCAAAGTCGTAGGAGGATTAATTTCTGTAAACATAACTTAAAGAAAGTATTGGCTATGTATAACTTTTTCTTGAAACCTTCTTCTACAAACGCCTTCAATTTTCTTTAGGTAAGATGAAAAGGCTAAAGTTCAAATGAACAACATGAAAAAAAAAGCCAAAAGAAAATCCAAGGCGTGTGCAAAAGAAGGTTACAAAAGGCTCAGAAATATTTAATCTGAACCATATAACCTTGTTAACACACGTAAAGAACAATGAATCAGTAATGGGATACACGTCCATTTGACGGCTGTGATGGAAGGGATTTTATAAGGTAAGAAACTTTAGGGTTTTGATTTTGAAAAACTTAATTAGTTTTCTAAAATTGATCTAGGAAATAAAAAAAATCCGAAAGGAGGGGAAGTAAATATTTGTTTCGAAATTTGTGGAGATATTTCCCTTTTCAATACTCTGATATTTCTCTCTTTTGGTTTTTTTTTTTTTTTTTTTTTTTCTAACTTCTCCAAAATATCGGGCCTATAATGGGTCAGTCAGCGAATCACGAAGACTCGAGTTTTCTCACGAAGAGTTTGAGAACAAGGATTGGGGAACATATCTCACAACGCTATAACTATGACCCGAATGGTTACTTCCATTGCTGCCTTTTCCACATAAGTGACATTGACAACGATCAGATATATCTCCTCCACGTGTTTTGTCCTAGAAAAATTGATGTCTAAACTTTGGTCAGTGTGGTATGTTACTACGTAGCTGGTTTTATATATGTGTATGTGTCACAGCAATTGGTAACTATAAATTGTGTAACTTGTGTGTATGTAAGATAAGTTGTGGACAGTAATATTTTTCTCTTATACTAATTTTCTCTATCATTCATTAAGTTTTGTTTATAACAACGAAACAGTAGAGGAGAGAAGCAGTATGTCTAATAAATTCAGGTAGACGTCCTTCTGCTAGAGTTGACAATATTTCAGGGTCCTAATAGTTAATTTTGAAAGTATATGGTAAAAATATAATTTATTGGAAGTTATGGGTTTAGTAGTATATAATCGTAAATAGTGGCAGAAGAAAAAGATCTCACGGCTGATCACCGGAGAAGGAGAGGAAGATGTTAGCTTGCAGGACTCTGTTTAGGTTCGTTTTCTCTTCAAAGAAAAATTGATACTTTCTTCTAAATTCTATTATCAATCATCAATTTCAACAAAACCCGAATTTTAAAATTCTTCCTTTCGAGGATTTGGATTAGAAAACTCGTGTTAAGTGTTTGATTTTGTCTTACTTGTGTTTAAATCTCATGTTGTTTCTTTTGGTAATTTTGTAGGATTGATCGTGTGTTTGGGTTTACGAGTAGATGTTTTCTATCGAAACCGGTAAGTTCAATAATTTGTTGTCTCCTTGGCATTTGTTACTCTAGTTTTTGGCAAGTGTAAGTGATTTTGAGATTGTTTTTTCGTAGAATTTGGATTTGATGTTTTGTGACTACATTACTTCACGTTGCAGGAATCTTTTAGTATCTTGAGCTTTAGGGGAAGTGAGAACAGTGCCATGGATGGATTCAAGAAGCAGAAGATGGTAAATTTAGTGTGGAGACCAATTTCCACTCAATCCTCTTTAATTCTTACAGGTTAGTATCTTTACCTAAGCAGTTTAATCGTATGATCCATCCCGGTTTTGAAAGTTTCCACCTTCTGTGGCTTTCTCATGATGAGACAGAAGCTGGAAATGAAGTCCAAGAAGTAGCTCAGTGTAGCAAATCAAGTGATGTTTCTAAGGAAGTTATTGAAGGAGAGACAGCTTCGGTTGTTTCAGCTGGAAATCATTCAGTTTCTCTTGAGGTCCTTTGTTCCTTCTGTTACTTGAAGTTTCTTTGTGCCCTTTTGTTTCAACTACTTTAACAGACTTTGTGTAATTGGTTTCAGGTTGGGGCTTCTTTGATTAAGTTCATTAGAGGGAAAGAGTAAGAGCTCTTGTTTGTTAATCTTATACTTCGAGGTTTACTTACGTACTAATGTGTTTGCATTCTTTGCAAAAGAGGAACTACACAGATGAAACTTGAAGAGGAAATGGGAGTGAAGATCATTCTTCCATCATCAAGGGACGAAGATCATATCAGTAAGATTTTTTGGAACCAACTGTAATGTATAGTTTGATGTCTGAGCCCTTATTCCTAGCTGGCTTAGCTACCATTTTTAAACTGATTTTGGTTCATCAAATCTTGTTTTGTTGTGTCCTTTTTTCTTTGCAGGCATTGAAGGCGGTTCAGTGGATTGTGTGACTAAAGCTTCAGAAAGAATAGCAACCATTATCGATGAGGTCTCTTATCGTTTCCCTTTGAACTTTTATTATAATACTCGGCTTTTTATTTTCCTTCTTGTTCTACTTATTCTGATTGTGCGCTTTGGAATTCATATTCTAGGTTGTAAGGAGTCCGAGTCTCGACTACTCACACTTTGTATCACTTCCATTAGCCATACATCCTGAGTTAGTGGACAAGCTAGTGAATTTTCAGAACTCTATCCTCGGGATCCATAGCATAGCTAGTGATAAGCAAGACGACCAAGCTAATAGAGCAACCACAAATGTGGCAGTTGATCTAAAAGCTAATAGTGAAACAAACCAGGTCAATGTGGGTATCAAGAGCATACCAATTGTCAGTTACCCGCCTAAGGCCAAATCAAAGTCATCTACTTTATTGGGTAAGAAAATACTGAAGTCGTTTGATTTGATCTAAGAAAGAAGATAAAGTGTTCCCTCTGATATGCTCAGTAACTTTTTATACATTGACAGACTTGGGAATTGAAAAGTCCATATTTATTAAGCCAAGTACTTTTCACTTGACTGTGGTTATGCTGAAGTTATGGAACAAAGATCGTGTCAATGCAGCGCGTGATGTTCTGAAGGTAATTTCTTTCTGAAGAGAGGTCATTCATTTATTAGGAATGCTTAATGAATTTGAGTTTTCTCTATTCTACAATCCAGAGTATATCTCCTAGTGTGATGGATGCTTTGGATAACAAACCAGTATTCATTAGACTTAAAGGATTGGTAAGATGATACATCCTTAGCTTTAGTTTTACAATTCATTTATGTACTTGGTCAGCTTATGTCTATTCACTCATCTGTCATGTTGCTTATTTGCTATATTCTTAAGGATTGTATGAGAGGACCATTAGACAAGACTCGTGTTCTCTATGCTCCTGTTGAAGAAATTGGTGATGAAGGCCGGCTTTTACGTGCTTGTCGTATCCTAGCTTTTAGTACGAATGTTATCTATAGTAGTGGAAATTTAGGCCGTTAAATTAAGAGTTTAACGTAAGTGCTTTCGATGTTCTTAACTCTAAATTCAGAAGTTATTACTGATGCATTTGTGAAAGCTGGGCTTGTTCTCGAGAAAGATGCAAAGCAAAGCTTGAAGGTAAGAGCTTTATGAGTATGACGAGATTGTTGCAGTCACTTTACTTTTAGCCAAAATCTCAGAACGAATGGAATTGAAAGTAGTGAATCGTGCTTCTGTTTCATACTTTTTACTTTCTTTGCAGCTGCATGTGACCGTGATGAATGCGAGGCACAGGAAAAGGAGGTGATTGATTCCCAACTCCAGACTTATCTTTAGATAAAGAAAACAATGTTACAAAACTCTGATTATCTGAAAACCCTTTTGGTCTCAGAAAGAACAATAAGAAGAAGATGGAGACGTTTGATGCAAGAGAGATACACAAACAGTTTGGAAACGAAGACTGGGGAGAATATCTGATCCGAGAAGCTCATCTCTCACAGCGTTTTGTGTTCGACCAGAACGGTTTTTACCGTTGCTGTGCTTCCCTACCATTTCCAGGAGAACAGAAAGCCTGAGAAGAATCATCTAACCACCGGCCAGAGTCTCAAATCTCAAGCTTCTTCACAGGTTTTGGTCCCATTGTATGAGCACTTCAACTTTGAGAAGAGAACCAAATAAAATTGCAATGTTGTACCGGTCATCTTGTGTTAACCAAATAATTGTCTTCGGTTTGTTTTTTCTTGGTCTTTGTTCAATAAACCGAGCCAAAACGTTCTTGTACTCGTTTTACAGAGGAATAGAAGGGTTCTTAGCAAAATACATTACATTGAATATTTTAGTAGAAAAATGGTGATTTACAGCTTTATTAGAGGCTATTGATTGATTTAGTAATGAACTAATAATGCAAGTCAACAGATCCAAAATTGGAAAGATTATTGGGCATGGAGGCAGGACAACGAAAATCAAGCTTATTAAACTCTTTAAGATTCGTATAATTACACCGGCCTAACCAGATCTCTAAGCAATTGTTGTTTTATGTATTATAATATAGTTCATCTATCTATATATTTAAGCTTAATAAACGAGAATCTAATACATAACCGTATATAACAATTAGTTAATGATCCGATCCAAACGACCCTTGGCGTATTTGGTAAGGTAGCAGTGATGTGCTTATTAACCAACGATGTAGTGAGTTTCTAGAATTAGTAAGAACCATAAGAGTTTTAAAAAGTGTAAAACGTAAAACATCAACACATGTCATTCCAATTAACATGACATACATTATGAAAAAGATTCCAACTCATATATCTAACTTGTAATTTAATCGATCTAACAACTCTTTATTCCCTATTTGTTATTTAATATCAAAATATTTATTTCCATCGATCATACTTTATATGTATAAAAATTAAACTTTTAGTTAAAAAAGAGGAACATGAAAATTGATATATTATGTAAATCTCAAGTTTTTTAATTCAAAAGAAAAATGTTATTACCATTGCAACTACCAATGGAATATAGCAACCGTATATCTCAGCATATGATACAAAAAAAAACAAGAAGAATATCATATTCAAATTTCTTACGTTCAAACCAATAACCTGATTGCTAAACAACAAATCTAGATAGCATTGGATTCATCAGTAAGAGTTGGAATTGTACAGCATTTTGAATCATAGATGTTGTACAAGATTGTGAAATAACAAATCATATTTGTACATTCATCAAAAAAAAAAGAAGGATTGTGGATCAATGAATATGATGGAGAATGTTCATAGAAGAGGTAAATAAAGGAGGGACCCAAACTAACATTGTTGAAATGGAATATAATCATAAATGAGTCACATCTTCAAAATCTGATCAAATCACTTGGAAAAAAAAAAAAAAAGAGAAGATCATGTCACATGCAACCAGTAACCACAATCATATTTTGGCCGGTCTATCACCATACACATTGTTTACAGCTCACACTTGTCCCTCCTTATTTTTGTTCACATCCATTTGTTTTCTTCTCTCTCTACTCTAATCTCATCTTTATGTTTATCCCTTTTTGAATTTTGAAGCTACTCTGTCCTTTGGGTCCACCCTCCACCACCTCTAATTTCAATCACGTTAAACCGGCCATATTACTTTAAACCGACCTTTTTTATACTATTAGGAAAATCCCATCCAAAATTTTGACTAATTTATAAGACATACCGCCGCTATACCATGATATTTGTCAAATAAAAAGTTTCTAACCAAAAAATCCATCACTAGCCAGTCTTAAACAAAACAATAACCACTATAGACTAAAAAACTTCAAATAATTTGTTGATACTGCATTGAATATTTTACTTATCTTGGGTAGTAGTATAGTACTATAGTTACCTTGTATTTCAAATAATGAGAACATCGGGAAGACTAGCCGTTATTGGATTATGAATGCGTGTATAAGATGAATGCATTATACATTATAATAAAATGTATATAGCACACATACACTAAAATGTATTACTAGATAATAATTTGTGTTAGTACTCAAAGAAATAGAGTTTTCTTATGTAAATGTCATATATTTTAGTCTTTTTAAGCACCTTCCTAACTCAAATCACGAATAGATAGATATGTAGCAAAATGGAAAGTTGGAAACACATGAAATCATTTATTAATTCGTGTCCAACCCACCACAAGAACTCATTAAATAGTAATTTTTATAAAATTTAAATTATGCATGGATATATGAACGAGGCTCCTATATAAAGAGAAGAGCATGCAAAAGGTCTTATCATCTTCTTCACTAAGCAAAAAAACCTTCAAAACATTTCCTTCTTCTTTCTTCTTCAATTACTACAATGGCTGGAGTTGCCTTTGGTTCTTTTGATGATTCCTTTAGCTTGGCTTCTCTAAGAGCTTACCTCGCTGAGTTCATCTCCACTTTGCTCTTTGTTTTCGCTGGTGTTGGCTCTGCCATTGCCTACGGTTCGTAGACTCGTAGTTAAATAAATCTAAATATTTTTTGTAACTTGTAACAATTAATGGGTCCAATACTTAATGAATGTGTCACATTTATATATGTATATAGCGAAGCTGACGTCGGACGCTGCCCTTGATACGCCGGGACTAGTGGCCATCGCGGTTTGCCATGGTTTTGCCCTCTTCGTGGCGGTTGCAATCGGAGCCAACATTTCCGGTGGCCATGTGAATCCAGCCGTCACTTTCGGTCTTGCAGTCGGTGGTCAAATCACAGTCATCACCGGAGTTTTCTACTGGATCGCTCAGCTTCTCGGCTCCACCGCCGCTTGTTTCCTCCTTAAATACGTCACCGGTGGATTGGTATGTCCTCATCACCATTCCTTGCTTACTCGTAAAATAAAATCATAGTATAAGCAGTCTACAAAACAACAAAAAGAAAATAATACAGAATATAGGGTATTTAAAGAAAATCTTAGCTTAATCGATTGAAACTAGGGGCTTGATTGGTTCTCCCGCTACTACCCGCAAACGCTGCGTTTGCGGGCGGTTGCGGTTGCTAGCGTTTAAAACCAATCATAAAAAACGTTTTATACCGCTCCGAACCGCTCTAGACCGCTCCGAACCGCCGAATTCAAAAGCTCCTTCCCGCAAGCGTTTGCGGTTGCGGGCGGTAGCGGTTGGCAAATTTGTTTTTGTTTTAAATTCAAATCCTATATATATATATTAAAAAAATACATAAATAACAAATAAATTAAAAAAAAAATATCAAACCCTATATATATTAACATTAATTCTCAAAACCCTAAATTTTTTCTATTTACCAAAATTATGGCGTCAATCTAAACTCAAGAATGACAAAATACAAACTAAGTATTGTAATAAAATTATTAATCCAGAGGATCTAAGAATTCAAAACATCTATTTTTTAGTTTGTCATATTATTTTTTTGTAACTTGTTATATTACTTGATGCTGTTTTTTTATGAACCAAATGCATGAAGTAATAAGCACTTAATTATGAAATATATTATTTTGAATAATTATGTAATAATTTTATATATTTTATTATTATTAATTATATATAAATTGTTTTGTATTTTATCATCATAATAATATAAATATTTGGTGTTTTTATACTTTATTATATAATTATAAATTATATTTCTTTTGATCATTTTCGATTTAACCGTTGTCGCATCCGCTGGTTAACCAGTCATAAAACTCTCGCAAACGCACCAATTTTTAACCGCTTAACCAGTCGTTCAAAATGCATCATAACGCTTGAAACCGCAACCGCCCGCTTCCGCAAACTCCCGCAGACGCAACCGCACCCGCTGCGTTTAAACCAGTCAGGCCCTAGGTTACAAAATAAGATAGTAGTTTACAAGGTCCAACAAAATATATTCTCTATGATTTTATCGTATATATTATTCCGTCTTTTATGTCAGCGTTGTTACTTGTTAGCTATATAGTAGACACATGATTTGTTTTTTTGGACAAAAGGGCTTGATTTGTTTAAAAGTGAAGTTATAGAATATTATGGGTTTTTCTATATATCAAATGAAAAAATTATTGGAGTTTTCGCAGGTTTCATTTACACTAGTATACAATTCTTGAGGCAGTTTTTAATTATTAGAAACTAATGAACAAATGCTAAAACTATTGAAAACGCAGGCGGTTCCAACCCACAGCGTTGGGGCTGGACTAGGAGCGTTAGAAGGAGTAGTGATGGAGATCATTATCACCTTCGCTTTGGTCTACACCGTCTACGCCACCGCCGCTGATCCCAAGAAGGGTTCTCTCGGAACTATCGCTCCTCTCGCCATCGGTCTTATCGTTGGTGCCAACATTCTCGCCGCTGGTCCATTCTCCGGTGGATCCATGAACCCAGCACGTTCCTTTGGACCAGCTGTTGCAGCCGGAGACTTCTCTGGTCACTGGGTCTACTGGGTGGGACCACTCATCGGTGGTGGACTTGCTGGACTTATCTACGGAAATGTCTTCATGGGTTCTTCCGAACATGCTCCTCTTGCTTCTGCTGATTTCTAAACAAACATGTGATGATTTGATTTCTAAACAAACATGTGATGATTCTTGATTCATGTTTCTGTGTTTGGTTACTTTGTCTCGATCTTTCTTGTTTTGTTTGGACTTTAATCCGGTTTCTGTTGATGGTAGATTTCGGGCTCGGGCCCAAAATCCTTAGCAAATCCAGCATCTTCGGCGGCCCAGCAAACCTGAAATATTTTGAGGCCCAAGAAGAGCCCAGTGAATGTTTACCCACCGACCAAAGGGTAAAAAGGACATTTCAGACGCGCAGGGTACCCTACCTCTGCACCCTATAAATAGGAAGAGGAAATGATTGCGGGGGGGATCCCGAAATAACGACTTGAGCAGAGAATATTGTACAAACCGTCAGAGAACTTTTCGGCTCGGCTCGTTAACTTAGAAATTAAGCTCGTCTATTTTTGTAGTGTCAAGCTCGTCATTTAATAAGAGATTCTTCTTTCTTCCCTTGAGAATTTGTACTTGTGTGATTTGAGGATCAACAGTTGGCGCGCCAGGTAGGGGAGGAGCTCGAAGATTTCTCTCAGAACGACGAGCCTACAACACGGAAAATGGCAGATGCATTTCTCAACGCTCTCGGTGCTAGCGCGTCCAGTTCGGGAGGGGAAGCGTGCACCCCAGTCGACGCACCGTCCTCTTTGCCCCCGACACCGGAAGGACCAGTTGCGGCAGCAACGGGGTTGCCTCAAGCACCGCATCCTGACGCCCTGGCGGCACCTCCGAGCGGACGTAACCCAACGAACCCCCATGCCGATGCCAGGGCCGGGACGAACCAAAGGAGCCAAGGCCGCGCCGAGCCGGACGACCTGCTTCAGAACATCCTCGCGCATCTCAGCCAACAAGAAGAAAGGACGAACGTGCGACTCGAGTCTTTGGCGGCGGCCCAAGCTTGCGCTCAAGACGAAATCAACCGCCTAAACGCAAGCCAGACGCAAGGTGTGCGACCCACTCAAGGAAACCTAGTGCCAGCTCGGCAGATCCATCCTGTAACTTCATCAAGCGAGAGTGCCCGGGACCTCGAACTCGCCGAACTGCGACGCATTGTCCTGGACATGAATGCAAAGGTTCACAAGGCCATAAGCGCCGCACCAGAGCTTGACCGCGTCCTCGACGAAACGCAGCAAACACCCTTCACCCGAAGAATAACCGGTGTCTCACTTCGAGGACGTCAGAAGATCAAGCTCGAGCCCTACAACGGAAAGGGCGATCCGAAAGAATTCTTAACGTCGTTCAGCATAGCGATCAACCGAGCCGAGCTAACTGACGAAAACTTCGAAGCAGGACAGTGCCAGATTTTTACCGAACATCTGACCGGCGCCGCCCTCAACTGGTTCTCAAGGCTTAAGCCGAATTCAATCAGCAGTTACCGACAGCTGTCCGTAACGTTCCTCAAGCATTACTCGCCGCTCATACAGAACCAAACAACTAATGCCGACCTCTGGTCCCTCTCACAAGGACCTACGGAGTCCCTCCGATTGTTTATCGACCGTTTCAAAGACGTCATCACCCGAATCGTCATACCAGACGAAGCCGCGATCGTGGCCCTACGCAACGCGGTGTGGTACGATTCCAGATTCAGAGACGATATCACTCTCCACGTACCAAACACGCTCGAGGACGCACTTCATAGAGCAACGAGATACATCGAGCTAGAGGAGGAACGGCTCGTCCTCTCACGAAAGCATGGTGTGGCGAAGACACCGGCGCCGAAAGAAGCTCCTGTAGTGAAGCCTACGGAGCCGAAACAGCACCTAGACCGCAATCCGAGCCAAGGAAGAAAGCCGGCCACGTTCGCCATAAATAGCGAAAATACGACGCACAAACCTTGGAACAAATGGTCGAGAGACACCGACGCCGATGCAACGGGGCCAGTGTATTGTGCATATCATAAGAGCAAGGCCCACGCAACAGAGGATTGCCGCTACCTGCAAGGACTCCTCATGGCCAAGTATAAAAGCGGCGGTATCGCCATCGAATGCGACCGCCCCCAAGGGAGTAACAAAAACCAAAGACGTAACGAAACGGCTGCTCAGCAGTTCCTCGAGGGACTTGCCGAAGAAGCTACTGGCGACGACGATCAAGCGAACGACCCGGCCAAAAGACAGCGCCAAGGCAAAACTATCGCCGACGCTCCCAAAGTTGTCCGACAAATTCACATGATTATGGGCGGCCTCCAAAATTGCAACGATTCAGTCCGATCAATCAAACAGTACCGAAAGAAAGCCGAAATGATGAAGACGTGGCCAGTAACACCGAGCCAACCTTCCGAGGAGATCGAACCCATTTCATTCACAAAAGACGACCTCGTCGGAGTCGATCTTCCACACAACGATCCCCTCGTCGTCGAGCTCATCGTCAGCGACAGCCGCGTCACACGCGTCATGATCGATACAGGCAGCTCGGTCGACCTGATTTTTAAAGATACTCTCACCGCGATGAACATCGCCAACCGACGTATAAAGCCGCGTTCTCGACCATTGGCAGGATTCGATGGCGACTTCATCATGTCCCTAGGCACCATCAAGCTGCCCACGTTCGTTGGCGGCACGATCGCCTGGGTTAAGTTCGTTGTCATTGACAAACCGGCGATATACAACGTAATCTTGGGAACGCCGTGGCTTCATCAAATGCAGGCCATCGCGTCTACCTACCACCAGTGCGTCAAATTTCCCACTCATCAAGGAGTCTTCACCCTCAGAGGAAATCAGCAAGTAGCGCGGACGTGTTTTCTGATCGAACACAAGAACCGCGCCGAAAAGAAGTTATAGCAACCAAAGAAAGAGGAGCCCGCGCCTAGCTCCGTAACAGAAAAGGCGCCGGGCAAGTCCTATGAAGAATCGGAGCTGAGCCGAACAGAACTCGTGAACATTGACGCGTCAGACCCAATACGGTGCGTTAGTATCGGAGCGGAAATTAGTTCAGAAATCAGAACGGCCCTCGTGGCCCTCCTCACAGGGAACTCGTCGACCTTCGCTTGGAGCGTCGAAGACATGCCGGGTATCGACCCCTCAATCACATCTCACGAGCTCGGCGTGGATCCAACATTCAAGCCTGTGAAGCAGAAAAGACGCAAATTGGGTCCAGAACGAGCCAAAGCGGTAAACGACGAGGTCGAAAAGCTTTTGGGCGCCGGTTCCATTGTCGAAGTCCGCTATCCGGAGTGGTTGGCAAACCCCGTCGTAGTAAAAAAGAAGAACGGTAAATGGCGGGTGTGCGTCGACTTCACCGATCTAAACAAGGCATGTCCAAAGGATAGCTACCCTTTGCCACATATCGATCGGCTCGTTGAGGCCACGGCAGGGAACGAACTCCTATCGTTCATGGACGCCTTCTCCGGGTACAACCAAATCCTCATGCATAAAGACGACCAGGAGAAGACATCCTTCATCACTGACCGCGGAACGTATTGCTACAAGGTGATGCCTTTTGGTCTGAAAAACGCCGGGGCAACGTACCAACGCCTCGTCAACAAAATGTTCGCCGAACAGCTCGGCCGAACTGTCGAAGTCTACATCGACGACATGCTCGTTAAATCTCCGAAAGCAGACGACCACGTTCAGAACCTCCGACAATGCTTCGACGTCCTAAACAAATACCAAATGAAATTGAACCCAGCCAAATGTACATTCGCGGTTACTTCTGGCGAATTCTTGGGCTACGTCGTCACCAAAAGGGGGATAGAAGCCAACCCAAAACAAATTCGCGCTATACTGGAGCTACCTTCCCCCAGAAACGCTAAAGAGGTGCAACGGTTAACCGGACGGATCGCCGCCCTTAATCGGTTTATCTCAAGGTCAACAGACAAGTGCTTGCCATTCTACAACCTCTTAAAGCGGAGAGATAAGTTTACTTGGGACGACGCAAGTGAGAAGGCATTCGCCGAGCTTAAGACGTATCTGACGACGCCGCCGGTACTTGCAAAGCCTGAGAACGGTGAAACCCTGTTCTTATACATAGCTGTATCTAGTTGGGCCGTCAGTGGGGTATTAGTGCGAGACGACCGCGGCGAACAGAGGCCAATCTTCTATGTAAGCAAGTCGTTAATCGACGCCGAGGTCCGATACCCTACAATGGAGAAAGCTGCGCTAGCAGTCGTCACGTCGGCAAGAAAATTGCGTCCCTACTTCCAGTCCCACACCGTAGCCGTGCTCACAAATCAGCCCATCAAAGCCGCATTGCATAGTCCTAGTCTGTCTGGGAGAATGACTAAATGGGCCGTCGAACTCAGCGAATACGACATCGATTTCCGGGCTCGGCCAGCCATGAAATCTCAAGTCCTCGCCGATTTCATCGTCGAACTACCAGCAGCAGATTCGGGTGATGCTGCGCTAAACACCAATTCGAGAAATGGAACTTGGATCCTTTACTCAGATGGCTCGTCATCGTCACACGGTTTTGGCGTCGGAATCCGGCTTGTCTCACCAACCGGAGAAATGTTGGAACAATCTTTCCGGCTCCGTTTCACGGCTACTAACAACGTCGCCGAATACGAAGCACTCATCGCTGGACTCCGGCTCGCAATCGGAATGAATGTCCAACGACTACGAGCCATGATTGATTCACAACTCGTAGCAAGTCAATACAGCGGGGACTACGAGGCGAAGAATGATAGAATGGAGGCCTACCTCAAGGTCGTTCAAGGCCTATCAAAGCAGTTCGTAGAGTTCGAATTAACTAAGATCCCGCGCGGGGATAACGCTCCTGCAGACGCACTGGCCGCATTAGCCTCAACGTCCGACCCAGACCTTCGCCGCGTCATACCAGTCGAGAGCATCGACCATCCCAGTATTGAAGGAATAGAGTCCGTCAATTTCGTGTGCCAACGCGCCGCGCCCGATCCAATTGACGATCCAGATGATTGGCGCCTAGCAATACGCGACTTCCTCTCCGACGGGATAGTCCCACCAGACAAATGGGAAGCCCGGCGGCTCCGAGCGAAAGCGTCAAAGTATACTCTATGGCGAGAACACCTGCTCCGATACAGCGCCTCCGGGGTCGTCTTACGCTGCCTTCACAAAGCCGATGCGATCGACGTCATGAAAGAAACCCACGAGGGAGCCGGCGGGAATCACTCCGGAGGCCGATCTCTTGCTCTTAAAA